AGGCGGGTGGATCACCTAAGGTTGGGAGTTCGAGACCAGCCTGGCCAACATAGTGAAACCCCATCTCTACTAAAAATACAAAAATTAGCTGGGTGTGGTGGCGCATGCCTATAGTCCCAGCTACTCGGGAGGCTGAGGCAGGAGAATTGCTTGAACCTGGGAGGTGGAGGTTGCAGTGAAAGCACTCCAGCCTGGGAGACAGAGCGAGACTGTCTCAAAAAAAAAAAAGAAAGAAAGAAAAAAAGAAAAGAAAAGAAAAAGAAAAGTGAAAGACCGAAGATACCTAGTGTTGGCAAGGATATGGAAAAACCAGAATTCTCATGCGCTGCTGATTAGGGAATAAATTAGCACAGCCACTTTGCAAACTGTTTGGCAGCATTTACTAAAGTTGAATCTATTCATACCCTATGACATAGTAATTCTATTCCTAGGTTTTTACCCAATAGAAGCACATAATTATGTGTACCACAAGACATGTACGTGGTTGTATATAGCAATACTATTCCTAGTGGCTGAACATGTCCACGAACATCTGAATAAATTGTGGTACAATCATATAATGAAATTTCCTATGAGGATAAACAAGTTATTGTGACATGCAGCCACGTGGATGAATTTTACAGATACGCTATTGCGTGAAAGAAGACCGACATTTAAAAGTGTATGTTGCAGAATTCTATTTATAAGTTCAAGAAAAGGGAAAATGTATCGGCAGTAAAAGAGGTCAGGATACTGTTTACTTTTGGTGGAAGAGGTAGGGACTGAGATAAGGGCTTTAGAGACTGGCCATATCCCCTGTTCTGGTCTGGGTGCTGGTTACCCAGGTGTGTTCATTTTGTGGAAATTCACTGAGCTCTTCATTTAAGGTTCACGCACTTTTCTGCATTTTATGCCTTGATTTTAAAATGTTCTTTTAAAAAGTTGAAAATGTGCCTGCCCTTTCTCCGATTACAAGTTTTTACAGCTTTCCTGAACTTCTCAGACTACCAAGTGGAATGAAATGATGACTTTTCCTTCATGGATGAAGGCAACAGTTTTGCTTATATTTTTTATTTTTCCTACAAGGAGATGTTAAATTTCATTCTGGACAGCCTATTTGTTTTTCTAAACTAGCTACTGCCAGGAAAACAGGCTGCAGAATGTAGAGGGATATGTGTGTGTGTGTGTGTGTGTGTGTGTGTGTGTATGCTTTAGGTGTGTGTAATTGTGATGCATTTATGTGCATATAGGTGTGCATTTGCATGTGTTTGCAAGACACACACATGACCGGGCATGTGTGTTTATATTTCCTTCTTACATTGATATTCTTGGATAGCAACAAAAATAAACGAAGTCGTTTCTAAACATCTGGCTAGGCAAAGAAACGGCCCCTTCAATATTATGTCAATGTCTGAGGCACATAGCACATGTTCAAAAAATATTTGTTGAATGAATGAAAGAATGAAAGAAAATTAATGAACAAAAGAAAATGGGAGAGTAGAAATGGCTTGGACGTATGTCTTTAATTTTGGATATAGTTGTTGCTGGAGAAGTCAATTATTCAACTACGTTCCCTCCTAGCCTGTCTTCCGGACACTGCTGAGACAGACGAGGAAAGGGCGTCTGACTCATTTTACTCAGTTAATGGCTCTCGACCCTCCTTTCCGGATTCTGGGCCAGCCAAGGCCATGCCCGCAGTTGCCGCTCAGCTTCTTTCCTGGTAGGGTCAAGGGCCGGGTGAGCTAATATTTGTTCAGCTTGTCCCACTACTGACACGTTAGGGAAGTGCAGATCCATGTTGTGAGTTCCCATAATGTCACGGCCTCCACATGTCCTCCTCCCCAGGAAGTAGACTGCTCTGTCATTTAAATGATTTTATCAATATTTGCAATTTTTAAAATTGGGCCAAATAGCTCCCTCTCTTCTCATTTCCGAGTCTGTTTACCGTCTTCCCTGGGCTCTGCTCCTCTGCCTGTTTACTGTCTCCCCTGGGCTCTGCTCCTCTGTCTCACTTTGAAATGCTCCTGGCACATCCCTGTCAGCAACCACTGGAGCTTCCTTGATTAGCTGCTCCCTTTGCCCCTTCGAAGTTTGTAGCTCAACTCCCCTGGTGACGCAATGCTGGCCCAGGCTATCCGTGACTCCCTGCCGTCTCCCTCCACCTCCGCAGGGAGCAGAGGTGCCTCAGGGCAGCCCGAGCCCTCCAGTCACCAGCCCTGCTAGGCCAGCAGCTACAAGGCCCCCCGCACTGTCGCTGGTCAGCCCTGGGGATCGTCGGCAGGGGATGGCAAACATGGATCCAGGGCGCCACCAAGCCTGGCTCCTGCATCCAGGATAAACACCGCTAATCTACTGCAACATTCTTCTCAGAGCCTAGAGAAAAGCTGAGAATCCTTCTTGGGCTAGTGCAGTCAACGGGCACCACCCATCAATAGAAACGGAAATGTGTCTCCTCTCTCTATGGAATCAAGTTGCCACACACGTGGCGTTCTCTGAATTTTCCATCAGCATTTAAGACCCACTTCTCTGAGAAGAACGGACCTACAAAAAAATGGACCCAGCACGGTGGCTCACGCCTGCAGTCCCAATGCTTTGGGAGGCTGAGGTGGGAGGATCACTTGAGGCCAGGAGTTCAAGACCAGCCTGGCCAACACGGTGAAACTCCGCCCCTACTAAAAATACAAAAATTAGCGGGGTGCGGTGGCACATGCCTGTAGTCCCAGCTACTTGGGAGGCTGAGGCACTAGACTTGCTTGAACTCGGGAGGCAGAGGTTGCAGCGAGCTGAAATTATGCCATTGTACTCCAGCCTAGGTGACAGGGTAAGACCCTGCCTCCAAAAAGAAAAAAAAAAAACAAATGTACCCAGCACAGTGGCTCATGCCTGTAATCCCAGTGCTTTGGGAGGCCAAGGTGGGAGGACCACTTGAGACCAGGACTTTGAGACCAGCCTGCACAACAGAGTGACCCTATTTCTACAAATAATAATTTTAAAAATTAGTCAATTATGGTGACATGCTCTTGTAGTCCCAGCTACTCAGGAGGCTGAGGCGAGAGGATGGCTTGAACCTAGGAGATTGAGGCTGCAGTGAGCTATGGTCACGTCACCGCACTCCAACCTGGATGACATAGCAAGACCCTGTCTCAAAAAAAAAAAAAGAAAAAAAAAAAGAAAAAATGTCTGATGGGGACTCATGGTCCAGCAAGGTGCCAGGCAAGTTGGGGCAAGAGAAAGGATCATAAGCCCTTTGTTGAAGCTGCTTATGGTGTCCCTAGGAGGGGCAGGACATATACATGAACTAAGGGGTTCATCAGGGGCTGGGAAGAGCACCTCTGGTGGGAGGCCCCCGTCACGGATAGACAGAGACGAGGCAGAGCAGGCAGGGACTGGGGGAAGCAGGAGCAGTCAGAGCAGACCCCCAGGTGAAGGAGCCCAGGGCTCAGGAGATACATTTGGGAGATGGAGGCTGATGACAAGGACACAACTGCAAGGTGCTACCACTCTGGGGCAGGAGATGAGCTGGGCAGGAGGAGAACCATCTGCAGTGCTAAAAATGGGCCACAGGGTCCTCCGTGCTGACAGAGTGGGCCTGGACAGTGTGCAGGGGACAGCATCCAAGCCCCACGCTTTCCCATCTTTTCTCCCAGTCTGGCGCAAAGCTTACTGGAGAGAGGGGAGGGCCGAGCAGGGAAGGAGGGAGGTTGGGGAAGGGACACAGCAGGCTCTGGCTGTCTGGAGCCACCACCCCCCCCCCACCCAACTCTACATTGAGAGGACTCGGCCCCTGTTGAAAGATTTGTCATCAGTGCTTAGGTCGGGGCAATGACATGATTTGGAAAGAAGCAAATGGTTTCCAACAAAGAAAAGTGTACAGGATCAGGGGGCTTGGGGAAATGCATGGTGATGTGAGCTCTGGTACAAATCAACGTCGATTCGAAAGGAAAATGGAAAAGCCGTGGTGGTGAGAAACACCCGTGTGCCTGCCACTCCGGGGAAGAGCTGTGGCGTCTCTGGCTCAGGAGTGCAAGCGAAGGCCTCGGAAACAGCAACTTTGGCAGGGAGCCCACACCTTGATTCCCTTCTCCTCACTTGCTTCTCCCACATTAAAAACACAGCTCTAATGAATCACCACATTCTAGCTCTTTTCCTATCTCCCAGTGCTAAGACGTTTCCAGTAGGAGAGCTGACCTGGAGCCAAACAGCAGTTCCTCCTGGTGGTGCATGACTCATTGGAAAAAGTGTCTCATAGGCTATTAAAAGAGTGGGGGAGGGCGGGTAAAACATTTGGCTTCAAAGCAAATTATATGGAAACTAAACAAAGTACATGTAATTCCGACACTGAATACTGCTTTCCTCAAATAACAAGACAGAGAAAAAAATGGGCTCTTTAGTTAACGCAATGCACAGATGTTCCAGAAATGAATTAAATGCTTCAAAACAATGCAAATGAAACTCGGCTTAAACAGGTCAATATGTGAATGCGTGTTTATCTGCTAAACTCACACATGCAAAAGAAATGAAGCATCTTTACTTCCTTAAACTCACCTCGTCATGCTTGGAAGCCCTCATTCCTGAGGATGTGGGGACCAGAAACATAAACCTAACAAGGTAATGCCACCAGTTACTTCCACAGGAAAAAAAAAAAAAAATGAGTTTTATTCAACCTAAGAAAGCTGATTTTTTTTCAAACGAAGTTTTAAAGGTCAGGTTAGTGTGGTCATTTTCCTGAACCGAGGAGTACCTTTTGCATCATGCCTATTACTGGACACAACAAGTTCCCAGAAGCATCTGATTATCTCACAGTACAACACCTACATGTTGTTTACTTTTCCAGGTAATTTGGTGGTTTGAAAGCATCCTATAATCTTAGACCCTATTTTAAAAAAAAAAAACAAAAAACTGCCCTCTGAATGATGCTATAAAAAATTTTATCACTGATGGTTTTCCCCCGTGATATTATGAGCAGTGTTTGTACATTTCAGTGTTTGTGTATTTCATCAATCAACATTAAGTTATATTACCTCTTAAAAAATGTCATCACAGTTTCATGAGTTGGAATTGCCTGAATCTTGTAGTTTAGTTGCAAGAAGACCCACAAAAGCATTGTTTTCAGAAGACGGAATTCACTAAAGGTAAACAACCTGGCCAAAATAAAAAGATGGAGAAGAAATTTTAGAAATAGCACAAAATCATGCTGCTTGTAAGAAACTGGTTAGAATGAGTTTGGGAATGAGGTGACACCACCTTTGAGTCAGAAGGTAGCCTCAGACACCGAGCAGGTAAACAGCTTACTCAAGGCCACTCAACTGGGAAATGGCGGAGCTACGATTTGACTCTCAGCAGCCTGACACGGGGGCCTGTGTTTTCACCCACCCTCTGTGCCCCTGCAATATCATGATCATTATTTAATGAGCTCTTATTATGTGCCAGGTGTTCCCAAGATGTTCTCTGTAGATTCTTTCATTTAATCCCACACAACCATCCTGCAAAGTTAGGATATAGTCCTTATTTTTATAGATGTAGAAATTGAGATTAACCCTATATTTATTTAAAATTTCAGTATTTTGTTCATCATGGCATTTTTTGCATCAATTTTTTTTATAATTTATTTTCATTTATTTTTGTAAATAGTGGCCTTTACCACTATTTTTCTTTTTCTTTTTTTTTTTTTTATTATACTTTAAGTTCTAGGGTACATGCGCACAATGTGCAGGTTTGTTACACATGTATACATGTGCCATGTTGGTATGCTGCACCCATTAACTCGTCATTTACATTAGGTATATCTCCTAATGCCATCCCCCCCCAACCCACAATAGGACCCGGTGTGTGATGTTCCCCTTCCTGTGTCCAAGTGATCTCATTGTTCAATTCCCACCTATGAGTGAGAACATGTGGTATTTGGTTTTCTGTTCTTGGATTGTTTGCTGAGAATGATAGTTTCCAGCTGCATCCATGTCCCTACAAAGGACACGAACTCATCCTTTTTTATGGCTGCATAGTATTCCATGGTGTATATGTGCCACATTTTCTTAATCCAGTCTGTCACTTTTAATTCTAATATATTACAGTAAAATATGCTGCATCTTCATGACTAAGTTTTTTTGGTGCTCCCTTAAATTTTGCACCAAGGTGCCTCACTCACTTCACCTGAGTTCTGGCCATGATTGAGGGCTGAAACCTGAATAACTTATCCAAGGTCACACAATTCTGGGCTCAGACCTGGGTACAGGGCAGGTTAGAATCTCAGTTTCTCACCAAACTGGCTGTGGAACCTCCTGTGAGTTGCTTAATTGCCCTGCAGCTGCAATGTACTCATCGGTGAAAGTGTGATCACAGCAGCTTCTCAGAGGAGAGTGGTGCGGAGCGGATGAGGTGAGTGTACGAGTTTCCTATCACTCCTATGACAAATTGTAACAAACCAAGTGGTTCAAAACAAAACGAATTTATTTTCTCATCATTCTGGAGGTCAGAAGTACCAGACAAGGTAAGATCAAGTTGTCAGCAGGGCTGTGTTTCTTCTAGAGGCTCAAAGGGAGAATTGTTTCCTTGCCTTTTCCAGCACCTAGAAGCCACCCACATTCCTTTGCTTATGGCCCCTTTCTCAGTCTTCAAGTCAGCAGTTCAGCATCTTCAAATCTCTCTATGGTTCTGACTCTTTGGCTTCCCTCTTCACATTTACATGGTCCTTGTGATCACCATGGGCCCACCCAGGTCATCCAGAATAAGCTCCTCATTGTAAAGCCAGCTGACACTATTAACAATAGCAAAGACATGGAATCAACCTACGTGTCCATCAGTGGTGGACTGGATAAAGAAACTGGTACATATACACCATAAAATACTATACAGCCATAAAAAAGAACAAAGGCATGTCCTTTGCAGCAACACGGGTAGAGCTGGAGGCCATTATCCTAAGCAAATTGACACAGGAATAGAAAATTAAATGCTGCATGTTCTCACTTATCAGTGGGAGCTTAAACATTGAGTATACATGGACACCATTAAGGGAACAATAGACACAAGGCCTACTTGACAGTGGGGGGTAGGAAGAGGGTGAGGATTGAAAAACTATGTATAGGGTTGTATAGTTTTGTTCTTGAATTGCTACAGAGAAATATCTGGGACTGGGTAATTGTAAAGAAAAGAGGTTTACTTGTCTCACAGTTCCACGGGCTGTACAGGAAGCATGATGCTGGCATCTGCTTGGCTTCTGGAGAGGCCTCAGGAAACTTACATTCTTGGCAGAAGATAAAGGAGGAGGAGGATTTCACACAGCCAGAGCAAGAGCAGGAGGTGCCACACACTTTTAAATGACCAGATCTCAAGAGAACTCACTCACTATCAGGAGAACAGCACCAAGAGGATGGTGCTAAGCCGTTAGTGAGAAATCCACCCCCAGGATCCAATCACCTCTCACCAGGCCCCATCTCCAACACTGGGGATTACAATTCAACATGAGATTTGGTGGGGACACACATCCAAACTATATCAAGGATATTATACTGATCACCTGGGTGACAAAATTATCTGTACACCAAATCCCTGTGATACGCAATTTACTCATGTAACAACCTGCACATGTACCCCTGAACCTAGAATAAAAGTTGGAAAGAAAGAAAAGAATTAGCTGATTAGTGACCTTAGTTCCCTCTGCAGCCTTAGTTTCCTTTGCCATGCAACCTAACATATTCACAGGTTCCAGCAAGTGGGATGTGGACATCTGTAGGGCCATCATTCTACTGACTGCACACACATACATAAGTACAGTGCCTGGCACATCATGGCATGCTCAGCGGATGGAAGCTCTTATGGATACGTGGCAGAGTCAGGTCCTAGCTGCAGAGCCCGTGCAGTACCTGCTGCAGCATGAGGCCTCTCTTCCATAAACAAGCATTGCCAAAGAATAGCTGCTACCCCATAATGTCAGCTCTGTAAGTACGGCTGTTTCCCAGCCCCCTTCTCTAGCAGCCTCTGATGGTTATCTATGGAGCCATTTCAACATTTCTTAAACCCATTGACATTTTCAGTCTCTGACCATGGACATAGCACCCTGGCCTTAAAATACATCACCACTTCCACACTCAACCACTGTATGTGGTTATGGTGGGTGGCACAAAAGACAAATCGTGACTCTGAAGGACAATGAAAATGTCACCTACCTCTCATGCTATTTCTGAACAGAGTAAAACTGTCTCTTTCCTCTCCTTTGGTTTTCAGGCCACCTACAAATGCATGGACTTTCACTCTGGCCAGACAGGACCAAGTTTGTCACCATCTGGGCAAATCATCGTGAGGCCAGAAAGGGAGACTCTCTTCAGAGCCACTTGGTATGATGTCCCTGTGAAGAACTTTGTCAGCTGGGCTGGCAAAGTGGTGTGACTTCCAGTGTAGACTCCACACCTGAGGTCCTCAAGCCCAGAAGGTCCTCTGAGGTCTTACTAAAGAGGGGCTAGCAGCAACACTGGGGAGTCCTTGGGAGCTCCCCGAATCAGAATCCTGCTTCTATTATTTATGAAGGATAATTATTAAAGTCAATTCCTCTGTCTTTAGGTCAATATCAGACCTGAAAGTATTTGTTTGTGCAACAGATAACCACACCAGAGACATTCATACACCTTTTCATTTACCTAAGAGCTCCGATGGCCTCAATCAAGACAGAACCCACAGGGACTTGAACCTCCCTCTACGGGCTGTACCATGTGTGTTTAATGCAGCCATTGGAATGTAAATGGCATTTGTTCTTTAGGGGAAAAAATGCTTTTCATAAGACACTGTCCTCTATTTTTTACTGAGAAAATTATATATCAACAATAAAAGCCCTCTTTTGCATGTAGACCATACAGAAAATCATGACCATGTGAGTAAGATATGAACAAGGATGCCCACTGCTACATCGCTTGTCACAGCAAACAAACAAACAAAACAAAACAAAAGGCCGTTAGGAAGGGAGTGAAAAGAGATCATTGTGCATTCATTCAATAGAACCCTGTACAATTAAAATTTTAAATGCTAATTAGATATGTAAATATCAACATGGAGAGAACACAGCACACAATGTCCGCGAATAAGTTGCAGAACGTTACAATCACGATGAGAACGTGTATTTCAAGTTTAAATCTTTTAAAGCAATATTATTTATGTGGTAAGAGTAAAATCACATAGATTAAATCTGCACGAGTTCCTAACAGTGGTTTGTCTTCAGGAGGGGAAGGAGGCAGAAAGTGAGGAAAGGAATGGGACTGGGAGGGGAACATAGGTGACTTCTGCTTCATTGGAAATGTTTCATTTTTCAATTTCAGACAAAATACTAATATTCGTTCATTTGGGGAGATGAGTACAACTGTGTTTTGTATTATCATTCTACCTTTATACTTTTTTAACAGTAAAAATAACATCAATATTCTTATTGTTCTTGACCATCAATAAGGAAAAAGAAGGCCTCATGCAGAGCACATCAGCGGGCTGGTAATAACCACAGGCTTTAGGCCACTCAGACGTGGGTTCAAATCCCAACTCTCATGTTGCATGAGGAGACCTTCAGCTGATCCCGTCATTTCCTATCATCTCTATTCCACAGGCAGGAAACGCCAATAACAGTATCCACCTCATTAGGCTGCTGTAGGAATCAGTCTGGATAGTCCACTTAGAGTATTTTGCATACAACTAGTGCTTAATAATTGGTGGGTATTGTTAGTATTAACTAAAGAAGCATTGGATTCAAGAACTATCATATTTGAGATGGGTGCCCGAGGTGTCCCAGACACCCTTGGGAAACTTGTCCCATGCTAGAGGGCAAGCCGTGGGACAGATGCAACAAGGAGGACATGCGTAGCTCTTATTAGGGAACTCCTGAGACCTCGAGACTTCTTGGGTTATAGGCGGGAAGTCAGGGAGAACTGGAAACACAGGGATGCAGTGCCCCTGGTTGCAAGGTAGTCTTTTGTTGAGATGGGAGCTGGACAGTGCTCTGAGATCTCCATCCTCCTAAGTCCGTGAGGAGCTTGGCTTCCAGAAAAACAGAAGTTGGAAGGAAGGTTTCTTAGAGTTAATAGAAACAGGGTTACCCAGTAGTGACCTCTAAAAAATTAACTGAAAACCAAATGCCAGGGAAATAAATTAAAACCAGAGGCTCAGGAGGTCAGGAAAACTGTTGCATATTTTACCCCAGGTGGTTTACAAAATGGAAAGCAAAACCTGAAAGAAGTTGAGCTTGAGGGACTTCAGATGGAGACAGCTGAATGGCCCAGAAGCTGCAGCATCTGCTAAGAAATGGATGTTGTTCCAAACACCTGTGATCACAAAGAGGGGACTGGACCCACAGCTGGAGGACCAGATAAGTCAGGCCAAGGGCCACTCCACCCCTGACCTTGGAGTCTGCTTTTCCACACATCTCATTCTGGGGCCACGTGGCTCCTTGGGACCACTCGGTTCTCGCTATGTCTTTTTAGTTGCTGGTAGCTTTGGCCTCCATGACCAACGATGAGGGGTGCAGCACACAGGGCAAGGCGTGGACTTTGGAGCCAGTGGAGGTCCTGTCCTGCCCATCATTAGCCCTCTTATTTCAGGGATGATAACTGTGCCCACCACATGGGATGGTGGGGATAGAAAGGGACAGTGCACGTAGCACCCAGCACACACCAGAATGTTTTCTCGAGAAAGGTGCCTTCTGAAACAGCTGTGGGCCACGGTGCCAAATCCACCAGCCAGCAGTCTGAAACTCACAAGCACCCTAATATGAGAAGCCCTAGCTGGTGAAACTTCTAACAAGCCCCCTCTTCCCGAACCCTGTCTCCCACCTCTGTCAAGCTTTAACGCAGGCAGCCACTGGAGATCAACCTCAGAAGATGTGAGCAGAGGCTGGCGAGTGTTCAGCCTGGGCACGTGGCTGATGACAAGCCCGAAGCCACACAGGGCTCTTCTCCCCTTCAGTGATAGCCCTGGACTGTCTGTGCAGACAGCTCCTGGGGAGGGGCCGGAGGAGCAGGACCCATTTTCCACATCAGTCATGTCTGCCAAGCTGGTGAGTCTAGACACTTGACACGTAATGCTCTTGACCTCTTTTCCTGCCCCGCGTACGTTTGTCAGGCTTATCCCACCACTAACCTTCTGGTTGTGGTCAGACACTTTTTTCTCCTTTCTTGGTTAATGCTGCCAGGGTGTGACAGCTCAGCCTTTCCAAGGGAGGGACAATGTTATGAAAAGTCTAAGGGATGCCATGTTTATCTTTTCTTCAACAATTGCGCAACCTTTGCTCGCTGGGCAGTGGGGCAGCACCTAAGCAGGGAAAAGCCGAGAACACCACGGAATGACGTTAGGAGTGAGCCAGTGCCCTGGGCTGGCATGAGACTGGGACTCCTGGAGGCTTCCTAGAGAATATGGTCTCCTTCCCTCTGTCCCAGATCTGGTCTACCTGCCTCACATCTCCATAAATGTGAGGGCATTGCACACGACGCAGCCAATTCAGATCAACAGTAGAATAAATCTTTCCAAATCTAATTTCTGAAATCAGAACACTTTCTACGCATAAACATGAGTAAACACTCATTTTCTAATATTCTACTAGGATTTTAAGCAGAATTGAGTTTTCACTTTTGAAATTTACTCAAAGGTAATAAAATTTTGGTAACTTGGAAATGGGTACCAAGATCCTTTTAAATAGAGTCCTAAAGAGATATGACAACTAATGGTCCTAAACAGCATTGAAGAAAGAAAAAGTGTTATAAAAGGCAATATTGGGCAAATGACATTAAAGTATTACATCGATGTAAATTTCTTGAAGTTGATAACTGCACTATAGTTATATTTTTCAAAAATTATTTTTCTTAGGAAATAAACACTGAAGCATGTGGAGTAAAGGAACTTAACAAATGCAACTTACCCCCAAGTATTAACAGTTCAGAAAAAACAAGTGTATATGTAGATACACATAGAGATGCAGATGATATAGCAAGCAAGGCAGAAATTGAACTCTATGGTGATTGGCAGTACAGAGTGTAACTACATATTCTATGCATTATTGTGTATATATTCTATGTATATATTCTATGCATAGAATAGAATATATATTCTATGCATTATAGCATATGTTCTATGCATTATATATTGTATATATTCTATGCATTATTCTTGCAACTTTTCTTTAAGTTTGAAATTATTTTCAAATAAAAATGTTTAAGAGACTAATACAGAATAGAAAGTTCTTTTGACTTAGTAACTTCACTTCTAGGAATTTAATGTGGGAAAAGAATCTGAGATAAAGACAAATGTTGAACGATGTTCACCAGTGTGCTATTTACATTGGTAAAACATTGGAAATAACCTAAAAAGCCCGGCATTGGGAAACATCTCCATGAATTTCTGTAAGGGAGAAGGAGCCTGGCAGGGGACAGGCATTTCAGGCAGGAGGATGGGCATGAACCAAGGCCTGGTATGGGGAGGTGTTCAGCAGGGAAGTTTCAGGAGGGGGGCCCGTGGCTGCACTTAAGCTGTGTGAGTTGAAGAAGCCAGGTCACCAGAGGCAAAGGCTGTTGGCTAGAGATGCGATTAGAAGGGGGTCCAGACCAGAAGCAAGACAGTTAGAGGTCACCTTGGTCCAAAATAAGAGACATTGGACCTCCAATCTTGGGCTGGGGCTGCTACCCGTGGAGAGAGGCCCATAGCGCTGGATTTGATTTGGAAGTAGAAATGACCTCAAGGTTGGGGTATGGTCAAAGTGGCATCCAGGACTATCAAGGCTCTAGCTTGATCCGCTAGTCAGATGGTGGAGGAACACTGGGGGCAGGGTTGAGGTGCAGGAAAGGGCAGGGGCACCGAGAGATGAGTTTTAATCTTAATTGTCGGAGAGGTCAAGCAGGTGGTCAGATACGTGGGTGTAGAGTTATTCAGCAGAGGAGTCAGCGCTGGAGATGTAAACTGATTTAAGGTGAGAGATTTTATTTTCTATAATGAATGTGCATTAATGTTGTCAGGATTTTTTTCTAAAAATTACTTAGGTTATTAAGTCTTTCATTTTTTGCACCCAGGCAAAAATACCTGAGACAGCAGGTACTGAGAGGGTCCCTACCCACAAGAAGGAGCGTGAAGGGAGCCCTTTCCCCAGCCCCACACACAGCACCCTGAGTTCCAGCCCCAGCCAAGGCCCAGCTGTCCAGGAGGGCAGGAAGCTTAAGGAGTGGGTGCAGCCTCCCCCAGAGCACCTCCCTCCCCAGGCCGGCCCCTACTTTCTCCCATCCCCCCGTCAGGGGCCGCACCCTGGGAGCCAGCTCTGACCTGGGGGACTTCAGCACTTTGTGGAGCAGGTCCTGCGGGATTTTGCGGAGGTGGATCTGCATCCCCACTAGAGGAACCAAGTTCATTTCCAGCCACTTCTCGCAGGCGGTGGTGAGCTGCTCTTCCTTGTACTAAGACAAGAAAAACCAGTTGATGAAGGAAGTCCTGAGCTCTTGGCGCCCCCTACTGGCCTGCGACGACACTACACGTGTGCTCAGAAGGAGGGTCTCTGCAAATGTGCTCAAACCTTTTCTACAAAATAGCTGGAAACCATCATTCTCAGCAAACTATCACAAGAACAGAAAACCAAACACCGCATGTTCTCACTTATAGGTGGGAATTGAATAATGAGATCACTTGGACACAGGAAGGGGAACATCACACACCGGGGCCTGTTGGAGGGTGGGGGGAGGGGAGAGGGATAGCATTAGGAGATACACCTAATGTAAATCACGAGTTAACGGGTGCAGCACACCAACATGGCACATGTATACATGTGTAACAAACCTGCGCGTTGTGCACATGTACACTAGAACTTAGAGTATAATAAAAAAAAAAGAAAAGGCCGGGCGCGGTGGCTCACGTCTGTAATCCCAGCACTTTGGGAGGCCGAGGCCAGCAGATCACGAGGCCAGGCGATCGAGACCATCCTGGCTAACACGGTGAAACCCCGTCTCTACTAAAAATACAAAAAATTAGCCGGATGTTGTGGCAGGTGCCTGTAGTCCCAGCTACTCGGGAGGCTGAGGCCGGAGAATGGCGTAAACCTGGGAGGGAGAGCTTGCAGTGAGCCGAGATCGCGCCACTGCACTCCAGCCTGGGCAACAGAGCGAGACTCTGTCTCAAAAATAAAAGAAAAGAAAAAAGAAAAAATACATGAATTACAGCGTATACCTTTTCTAAGTGTTTTCTATGCTCGAGGCGCTGCCCTCAGTTGATTTAAATCAATCCTCATTGAAAACTTATGACATGGGATTACTGTTATCCCTATGTCACTGGTGGAGAAACTGATGCTCCCAGTTTCCTGCTCTTGCCTGTGGTCACACAACTTGTAAGTGGCAGAGCCGGATGCAAACGCAGGCAGCCTGACCATAGGCCTTGCCACTGGCTCAAGTCAGTGGCCGATCATGGAGGGCCCAAGGGGTGTTCCCCGCAGGAGTTCTGAGGCTATGATGCGAACACACCCAAAAAGCAAGAATTAAAGGGCAGTGAAAGTGGAAAAGGCTTCCCAGAGCCAGGGACCTTGAGAGAGTTTTAGTACATCTCAAATAGCTTCAGGGCCTGGGGTCATTCTGCAGCCCAAGCATTGCTGAGAAATGCTGACCAGGATGCAGATGCCACCACAAGTGGCCTTGGAATTACCACTGGGGCGAAGGGGAGGACGCAACGATAGGAGAACTGTGGCCTGCTGACTGGTATCCCCCCAGGTCACAGGTGACCACACAGAGAGAGCTGGAGTCAGGAGTCCTGGGGTTCGGACCCAGCTGGTTACCCTGGGCAGGTTGCTGCCCTCTTTGACTCTGTTTTCTCCTCTGACAATGAGGTTGGATTCTATCATTTATTCCTAACCCTGACACACTGATTAGATCCAGGTGAGTCCAGACCTCACAACTCCAGCAAGAATGTCCTGGAAGCTCTTCTGCTGTTTCAGTGAGAAAGGCTATGCTGCTTCTTCTCCCATCTAAGATTAAAGTCTTTCTATTTTTTTTGGTGTTAAAACATCCTTTTAAAAATAAAATGATGTTTTAAAAAAAAATGTGTTCATGTGGCAAAATAAAATATTTGGTGACTTCAAATCAATATTCTGGGGGGAAGTAGGCCTGGCGGGTAAAATCCCAGCATGTGGGCTGCTCCTGAAGCCCCCTCAAGGGGCGATGTGCCCTGTCTGTGTTGTTCTCACCTTGCAGCCGGCCTCGTAGAAGTTCTTGATGGTGCTTGGCATGAGTCTGGTTATCATCACATCCACGCACCTGGAGAGAGAGAACTGCCGTTTCTGGAGGAACCCCACACTGCTTTTGGAGAAGCGGGAAGTCCCAGAGGTTCTTATTCAACTCCAGGGCAGCAGCAGACTTTTGCACGGAAGGGAGCCTCACTTTAGGGATATGGACATTTGGCCAGAGGATAAGACCAACATGGCTTGTTAGAAATAGCTCTGGGCCTGGGAGATGAGGCCAGAGATCAAATCCTTCAAGAGAAAACAAAGTAACCCTATAGCAGGGAACAAGGATTATTGCTCAAAGCTGAATTGCCACCAGGTGCTGAGTTGAGGTTTGATTTTAGCCAACACAGCCATCTGGTCATCCCCCTGCCTGAGGATTGTCTTCCTGTACAGACCCTTATGGTGCCACCAGAGGGGCCTCAAGTCCCATTCCTCTCTGCCCACAAATGGAATTAAAGAGCAGCTTTCAGATGAAGGTCTCTGTGAGCTCATGACTAGGACCCGTTGATTTGGCTCACCCACCCATGAAGGATCTATTCGCTGAGCACGTACCGTGTGCTAGGCACCCAGAGAGGTCCTTGGTGTGCAAAGAGCAAAACTGATGGGCCATTGAGGTGACATGTTAAGTCAGCTTTCAAACAGATAACCACATTTGACAGTCATGTTAAGGATTAAAAAGTTAAAGAACAAGGTGTGATGGGAAGGCAGAACATGGAGACTTCAGCCTAGTGTGGTTAAATCAGAAAAGTGACCGGAAGTCAGAAGAGAGGCACTTAAAACCTGAAAGAGGAGGACAAAGAATTGGCCAGGCCAGGGATTGGAAGACCAGCATTGCAAGAAAAGGAAACAGCATGTGCAAAGACCCTGGGGCAGGAGCAGTTGTCACACTTTGAGGGAATGTCGGGGCTAGCATAGCTGCAGTGCTGTGAGTTTAACACTGCTCCACACTGTCCCTCTTTGACTACTGTAATTCGTCTGGACTCAGCTCCAGCATCACCTCCTCTTGGAAGTCTCACTGATTGCTCCTCTCCACATACTCCTTTAGCTTTGATTTCCATGACTCCCTTCTTCTACCTGGTTCCTTGCCTTCCTCCTAGAAGGGCATGAGCCAGGGTGGATGGAGTATGGTAGATGTGCTATGTGGCAGGTAGGGTCACAGACATTTCAGTGACTGAACTTTCACAGCTAATATTAACCTCTCTGCAGCAAAATTGCCTTGAAGCATGTTCACTTCATTGAGTAGGGCACCACAGAGTAGCCACTGGGATCTCATACTGAAGCACAACCTTGAACTCATTATGACTCAATGGTTGTTCACTTCATTGAGTAGGGCACCACAGAGTAGCCACTGGGATCTCATACTGAAGTGTAACCTTGAACTCATTATGACTCAGTGGTTGTCCTAAACTCAGTTGAGATACACACTGCTCATGGGCAGAGGCCTAAAGGACATCCAGTACCTCTTGCACTTATTCTAAAATGTATCCTTCCATAAGGCCAGACCAGAAGACAGCTGGGGTCTCATTGCCCCCAACAACCACATCCCTGAAGTAGCTTTTACTGAGTTGCATTTTGGCGTGCCGCTTTTGCCAACATCAAGGAAAAAAAACATTATAAGATTTATTGTTACATTTACTCTACAGATATTGTTGAGGACATTGATCATTAGGTTGCTCGGGGTCATCTGCTGAAGACATCCACCATTTTAATATTAATAGTAGCTGTACTTCTCCCAAGTGAATTGCTTTTTAAACTTTTGTCTAGTTTTTATCTAATATCACTGATCAAGTTTCCCTTTTTATCTGCCACTAGCAAGCTCAGAGCTAAATGTATGGCCCATCTTAGGAAGAGTGTGGGTTATTACAGTTAGTATACAATGGTAGCCTCTCCGTCTTTTTCTTCCTCCTTAAACAAACAAACAAACAAACAAACAATTTGGTGTTCTGTGGCTTCTTCATTTCATGTATTCATGGGAGTCACTCAAAGCCTTTACTAGAACAAGGTAAGAAATGATAAATGAATAAATAATCTGGTCATGGCCAAGGCACTCTACCTCCTTGTATGCTAGGATCGGCCCTTCAGACAGGGAGACTGACTCTACCCATTAGGAGGTGTCCTGAGTACTGGGGAAACCTGTGCTAAGTAAACATGAGGTGCTGCTGTCATCTCCTGGGCATTTTGCCTTCTAAGACTGCTGAGTCCTGTCAATCCTGTATCTTGGCTGTCTCTTGAGCATGCCCCTCCTCTCGTTCCCACTTCCCCTGCCTATTTCAGACCCTCCTGGTCTCTGGGCTGAGCCTCTGCATAGCCTCTCAACAGCCAGCCTCCCTGCCCTGCAGCCTCCCACATATCTACCACATCCTTCACACAGGAGGGGCGCAGCCTAAAGCACAGAGGCTCTGCCACTCTCCCCTCCCAAGCCCAGGCTCCCCGCTCTGCTGACTGAACCAAGACCTGCTCATGTGGCTACAAGATCCTGCATGACCTGGACTCATCCAAACCTCCGGCCATTGCAACTGCACTGGGTCTCAGTGGCCAGGCTCATCCCAGTTTAATGCTGCTCTGCCCTGTCCCCTCTCTCTCCCCCATTGACTGCCGTAATTCTTCCAAGCTCAGGTCCAGCACCACCTCCTCCTGGAAGTCACCCTGATTGCTCCTCCCCACATACTGCCTTAGTTTTGATTTCCATGCCTTCCTTCTTCTACCTGGTTCCTTACCTCCCTCCACCTCCCAACAGACTGCTGGGAAGCAACCCTCCCCATCCACATCCATCCTGAGTGCCAGCTCTGTGCTGACCTGCGCTGCTGGTTCTGGAAATGCCAGCAGGGACAGATGGAGGCCCTTTCCTCCTGGAGCTCACGGCCTCACCAGTCAGCACAGGGGGAAGCCCAAGGTATGACGAGGCTGAACAGGAGGCTCGGGCCCCACCCTCATTGGGCACAGGAGCCTTTAGGTGCTAGCTTTTGTCTGTCGAAACCTACAGGGAGCACTAACTGGGCTTGGAGTTGCGGAGGAGAAATGAGTGTCCCAGGAGGCTGACACCTTCTCTTATGCTTCCCCTTCCTCACGGTCAAACCCATTGGCTGGGCTGGACTGGAATAATCAGACTTTCCAGACCAAAGGAAGCAAAGAAAGCCACCCAGGCTCGCCTCTGGGCTGAGGGAGGTGGGGGGTTTCCACTTCCGGAAATTCTAAGGGACCAGGAAGTTGCCCACAGAGGAAGCTCAGCCCTGCATGGAGGCAAGGAAATGCCCCTCTGGCGCTGTGAGCCTGGAGGAACCCAAGTGACAACCAGGGAGGTGCTCCATGTGTATGTGTGTGAGCGTGTGTGCATACACATGCATGCACACATGTGCTGGGACGTGCATGAGACAGCCATAATCCCAGCTGTGACTCTAGCCCAAGTGCCAATGAAGATATTGACATGAGAGTCAAAGGAACATCACCCAGTGGACGCTGTGTGCACACACTGCATCCCTTCAAGATGGGAGGCCTCGGGTATGTATGATTCAGAATCAAGCAGTCATCTGGCAATTTCCCACTGTGTGGGAGCTCAGCTGAGATAACCTGTGAGGTCTCATTCAGCACCTGAACATTGTGATGCTATCAGAGTGACCTGGGGCGCTTCTGTTACACAGAAACACAAACACACATGTATCCGATGACGCCACACCCTGTCAACTGCGCCATCAGCCTCTCAAAGGCAGGCAAGACTCAGCCCAACTGTGTGCAGGCCCGCCCTGGCCTCTGACCTGGAATCCCAGCCCCACCACAATTATCTGGAGAATCTTGGGCAGGTCCCATCAGCTTCAGGCAAGCCTATGTTTGCTCATCAGTGGAATGAAAGGTTTGGCTCATTAGCTGCAAAGCCCTTCCTGCTCTGGCATTCAAAACAAGGTGGGGGGAGGGGAAAGGAGGAACCAAGAAGCTGATGTTTTTGGTTCATCTCTGGAGAAGCCAGGGCGAGAGTTCTGAAGGTGAGATGTGGCTTCCAGTCTGCTCCTACGGTAGGGCAGCTGAGGCTTGGAGACAGAAGGTGGCCAGAGGCCCCACTTCAAGAGGGAAGCTGCCCTGCCAGCACTCAGGTCAGAGATAACTTCCTGGACCGCACCAGGAAATAGCTGCTCAGAAATTCTCTGTGTAAAGGAGCTTCGATGTCATAGTTATACATCACAAGACTATGCTGGGCTGACAGTGGGAGATATATACAGTGGAAGGGGCATAGACATCTCAGGAAAACCTGGACTTTTCACCCCACCACCTTCTGGGTCAAGGCCAGATTCCTTAGATGGTTCTAAGATGCTACACCAGTTGGCTCTGCCTGCAACTACTCATCTCCCATCTACCACGGCCACCTAACCCCACAGTCTGACCATGCCGACACACTGGAGTGCCTCTTCAAGATTCCAGGCCCTTCTCAATGTGTGTCCCCTGCAGAGGGGTCCAGGCACTTGCGTTCCCAACGAGGCTGCCAGATGCTCCAGATCAAAGGCCTGGACCCAGTCATTTCAGGAGTCCCCAGAATGAGGCACCAGATCAAAAACGTGCGTGGGGTTGAATCTGACTGTGTGAACTCTACAAAAAACGAATTGAAACCTGTAAGATCCCCAGGAGAGATCTGTCTCTCCCATCTGCAGAGCAGCTAATGTCTTCTCTTGGCTTGGATGGTATACTCATTCATTCCTTCACTCACTCAGAAAAAGAGACTGACATTTAAGAAGTAAACAAAACAGGCAGACCACCTCCCGCCCGGATCTCTTCTTTATACTGAATCGCATCAGGAATTAGGGGAAAAAAGCCACAAGATACCACCTCTGTCTTCAGGACATCAATGCAGTAGGCACACATCCCCGAAAAAGCCCAGGAGATGAAACAAAATATTCAATAGAAATGAATCCCATGAATGATTTTCCACTTGGTTCACTTACCCTTTCATAAGCATTAATGGAATGAAGGAATATTACAGGACACACAGAAAAGGGAGGAGAAAATCTAAGAAATGCTCTTTCTTATTATAGATACTAATTTTGCTTGAACTTAATAATACATAGCACAAAATTTTCCAGTTAGGAATTCCCAAACTTCATTCTATCCACCTTTACTCACTTCTGGTGTCTTGGAGACGGTTGGACAGGAGATTTTAGAGGGCAGGGATCCTGCCCATCTGGTCCCTCACTGTCTCCTTGGCCTCCCAGAGAAGCCCAAGAAATCGTCCTTGAGGCAGATGAATGAATGAGTGTAGGTGTCAGTGAGTAAACTGACAAGTGGGATACCCTAAGCAAACCTCTCCTGACTAAATGCCATCGAAGGGAGGGTCAGAACCACAAATGCGCAAGTGACAACATTACCACCTCACCCAAGCAAAGTGGAATAGTACAGTGTTAGAGGTCCAGGTTCCAGGTCCCATTGACCTTCCAGTCCTGGCTTCTCTACTTGGCAGCTGTGTGGCCTTGGCCAAGTTACTTACTTCCCAAAGTCCCAGTTTTCTCATCTGTAAAATGAGCATAGTAATAGTCCTACCTCCTAGGGTTGCAGGGAAGATGAAATGAGGTCATCCCTGCAAAGAGCTGAGAACTGAAAGGCAAACACTCCATCCCAAAGCCCTATGTGCTGACATCCCCTACTCTCCAACAAAGTCCTGGGAAGTAGATGGGACAAATGTTATAAGCCACATTTTATGTCAGAGACTGCCAAGGTACATGGAGACCAAGGGGCACCTTATTGCAGAACTGAGCACAGACCCTGCACGGACCCAGGTTGCTTTTGGCTTCGCAGGAAAAGCCCAACGCAAACTGGGAGCTCTGATCTCACCCCATCAGGGTGTGCTTCCTGGGTCGCTTGGAGGCAGGCGGAAACACCCAGCAATGTCTGTTACCCCCTCACGCTCATGATTTCCGCATCCATGAGCCCAGGCAACCCTTGTCAGGATGAGGAAGCTTTCACATTCAATGCCAACCCACTTCGAATGCCTCCTGGCCCCCCACCACCTCCTCCCCACACCGACACACCCTGAGGAACCCTCCTGCCGGCAGCCCAGGTGGGCCAGCAGGGTCTGAATGTCCAAAAGAGAGGCTATGCCTAAAATGGGCAGGGGCATTGTTGGGCAATTTTAACTTTGCATTTTCCTCTCTTCCAAAAGACCTACAATGACCGTATGTAACATTTATAACAATAAAAATATTATTAACAAGAAAAAACAAGACTATCTCAAATGAGCAGGAAAAACGAGGACTGACAATGATGGGAAAGTCAGCTTACCCTCCAGTTGCCAGCTTGTGTGTGTGTGTATGACTTGAAGGAGAAAGATTTTTTTTTTTTTTAGCCAACAATGAAAAGGGGTGAAATTGATAAGCAAGCCTGGTTTGACGGCTACTAGGAAGTCACTGTGTATACGCATGAAGTCTCTCCCAGTGGTAGAAATCCCCCCCATTTGCATTTCATTCCTGCGAGTCGAGAATCGTTTGGTTAAAACTAGTATGTTGCTGGAGAGATGGCTCACCTGTTATTGTGAATGAGTGTCTCAGTTCCTTTCCAGGCTCAAGGCCATGCTTGGCACAAAGACACCTGAGGCGTCTTAGCCCAGTGAAGAGGAATGTTCTACCAAATGGGCCAGGAATTGCCCTTCCGATTTCCCCCAGGCCTGGCTCTGCCCGAAGTCAGCCTTGTTTCCTTACCTTTGAAACAGGCCACTGAACTGGAGGATGTGGGCGGAAGCCAGCACCCCCAGTACATCTTCCAAGTTAATCTCCACCTCACTCACGTAGAGGTTCTTCAGGGCCGTGGCGAAGGCTGGGGAGACACAGCCAAGACAGCCGTCAGTGTGGGGCTCTGCACACAGGACACCACCCAGGGCCCTCCCTCACTACTGCAGCTGGGCAGGCAGAGGTGCCCTTAGAGAAAATGCACCATCTCTGACCTGGATGCAGGCACCACCCGGAAGCTGACGGTCTATGCTGCCAGCCTTCCCAAAGGAGTTGAGGCTGAAGCTAAAGAAAGCAGAGCTTCTGCTGAAAGGATCCTCCTTTAAGCCTGTTCTCAGGGGTGAGACCATCTTGGGTTCTCTCCTAACCTGGGGTCTGTGGCCTGTGCAGGAATGTGACTACTCAAATATGTGCAGAATGTTGTGTGCAAGTCATGCATTTTTTTTTTTTTTTTCTGGAGACAATATATATCTTATAGCAGATTCTCCTTGGAGTCTGGGGATTTCCAAAAAGGTTAAAGACTCTCGGAAAGAGCTAGAATAATTTGATGGTTCAGGAACTGAACTGCATGGCTAGGGGCCAGATGGACTTGGCTGATTCACCATCAGAGTGTCCTCTGGTGACAAATGGCCCAACTAGTGCTGAAGTTTCCTCACCAAGCGATTCCTAAACAAGTGCCATCACATGGCCTCCCAAAGTGCTGGGATTACAAATGTGAACCACCGCACCCAGCCCATAGATGCATTTTTAAATATCTGCTTATTTTGAAATAGTTTAAGACTCATAAGAAGTTGCAAAAACAAGAGAGACAGGGGCAACAAATAAGTCCACCCCTGAGTGGCTGTGAGGGGATGGGGAGTGAGCCCAAGTTCGGGGAGGCAGGGGGTGGTCCTTGGCAGGAAGAGGCAGGTGAAGTGCTATTTGGGAGCAAGGCTGGGCCTGATGGTTGCCCTGGGTGGGTGTGAGCCTAGAGCGGCAACTCCTCTTGCGCTGGGTCTGTCTCTGAGAAGCCGCTATATTTTCCCGGTCTCTGCATCCTTCACACCCTTTCTCGATGACAAGAACCTCTCTTTAGTAATATTCCACCTTCTTCCATTTCCCCAAGTCACCCTAGCCTTCTCGCCCCTTCTTTCTTTGCACGTTCGGGCCTTTTGAATAAGAGAGCACTGAACACTGTCTACTGTTGGTTTGTTTTGCTTCGCTGTTGCTTGTTCATTTTTAAATCTGGGAGGACCATTTGTTCAATGGCATTCTCAGAATATAGACAGGTATATACATACCGACTTTAGTGACCAGTGGGTCATTGATCTTCAAGGAAATGATCATCCTCTTTGCAGGGGATTTTTCTTTGGTCTTCTTAGGTGATTGAGCTAGTAAAGGCAATGAGATGATGATGGATGGAGGTGATAACCATGGTGAAGACACAGTGGGAGGCACCCACCACCCTGGCATGACCGTGAGGTATCAAGACATGTATCACACTATATTTTCTTTGTTTCATAGATGTAATCTATCTATCTATCTATTTATTTATTTAATTTTTGTGTGTGAGATGGAGTTTCACTCTTGTCACCCAGGCTAGAGTACAGTGGCACTGTCTCAGCTCACTGCAACCTCCGCCTTCTGGGTTCAAGCTATTCTCCTGCCTCGGCCTCCCAAGTAGCTGGGATTATAGGCATGCACCACCATGCCTGACTGGTTTTACATTTTTAGTGAAAATGGAGTTTTACCATGTTGGCCAGGCTGGTCTCGAACTGCTGACCTCAGGTGATCTGCCCGCCTTGGCCTCCCAAAGTGCTGGGATTACAAATATGAACCACCGCACCCGGCCCATAGATGCATTTTTAAATACCTGTTTATTTTGAAAGAGTTTAAGACTCATAAGAAGTTGCAAAAATAGTGCAGAGTTCCCTCATATCCCTCGCCTAACTTCCCCCAACGATCCTGCATAGCCCTCTGCATTGTCAAAACTGAAAAACTGATGCTCACACTGCATTTTACATATTTATGACCTCCCTTATCCTTTCTCTTATTAGGCTGTGAGCAGTTTGAGGGCAGAGTGAACCGCAGTCATTTCTGAACCCAGAGCACCTGGGGCAGTGCAGGCAGGCAGTGGGAGTGCCACCGGCTGAAGGGTGAACATGGGACTGAGGTGTCCATATGGTGGCTACTGTCACTCTGCCCCAGACAGCTCCACTCTGGGGACCCCTGCCACCGAGGATTTCCAGGAGGAAGGGAAAAGGTAGCCCAATTCATTGCTAGCCAATGCCATCCACTCAGTCATCCTAGAATGTGAGTTACAGAGTGGCATTGCCCTCAGGTCTCCAGAGGTACCCCACAACCTTGGCACAAAAGCCAAGGCCCTACCAGCAGCCCCAATTCCTACATGGCCTACAATCCCTGCCCACCGCTCTGCCCATCACACCCCCACCTGCCCCCCCACCCCCCGCCCCACCCACCAGCATGCTCCACGGGATGGTGTGGGACTCCCGCCCTCCCTCCCTCATCAGGGGTCTTCTCACTTGTCCTTCCCTCTGAGAGGCCTTTCCTGACTCCAGATGTAAGGTAGCACCCCACTCCCCCGCTAACTGGCTTTATTCTTCTTCAGAGACTAACTTGACCATGACCTTCCATTTACTACTCTGTGCCCCTGTTGTGCTTTTCTCCCTGGCAGCTCAGCTGAGGTGGTTCACTCACCGCTCCATCCCCTGGGCCCACCCCAGGCTCGCACACACTGGTGCTAGTAAATATTGGCTGAATGAATGCAGCACGTGGATTCCATCACCAGGGAGCTCAAGGTTCCAGATAATGAAAAATGATGTGAGCCAGAGCCAAAAAGTCCATCATCCTGTGCAGCTACAAAGAAAAAGAGAGCAAAGGATCCTTTGCCCTCCGTTTCCCCGCGCTGTCGTCCATCACCTGGCTCTGTGCTGGCTCTCACTCAGCAAATACTCACTGAGAACTTCCTAAGCACCAGGCTTATTCCACTCTGGGTCACATGCTTCTCCGGCATGACTACACGGCCTCCCATCTGCTCATGCCAGCCTGCCATCCATCCCATGGCAGGGAGTAAATGTGAGGATGCATGTGAGTGCCTGGCACACAGTAGGCATGCAAGAGGTGGCAGTTAATATTATAATGTGTCACAGTATTTGTCATGCTTTCCCATCATTTTGGGTTTGTCTGTCCCCTCAGATGGTAAGCTCCTAGCACAATGCCTGGCATAAGCTAAGCATTCCACATAGGAAGGAAGGAAGAGAAGAAGGAAGAGAGGGAGGGAGGGGGGGAATCAGTTCTGTCAGAGTAAGTGAAAGGCAGAAGTTCAATATTCCCTCCAGGTTGAGTAAAACCCCCAAATCGGATAAGATATCAATAATTTGTTCACACTCTTCTCCAAGGTTCTCCAAAGCCAAGGTGGTTAGTTTGTTTTCGGTAAGTGGGCCACTTCCTTCTTGGATTCCCCGCTAGAGAATAAACACGTCCTCTCCAGACAGCTGCTCCTCCACTCTCCATGGAAGGAAATCGAGCAGCTGGAGAGCCTGTGCATCTCTGCAGAGTCCAGCACTCCAGGGTCTGGTCAGAAGTTCCAGGATGAGCAACACAGATGATCTCAAGAACATGCAAGTGATAACTGTGAGACAGGTATGCAAACCACCATTGTGAGATATGTTCGCTTTCAAAGGCACATGAAGGACTCTGACTGTTCCTATTGAAAGACATGAATCCCAGGGCTTGATCAGTCCATGGAGCTTGTGAGGAGACATTGGAGTCGTGACAGTCCAGGGCACTGGGGTTTCATCTCTGCACCTTCCCTCTTGTCTCCCAGCCAGGCGCAGCCTCTAGCAGGAAGGCTTGGATCAGAGTGGCTGTCTTAGCAGGGCCAAATATTTTCATTTTAGTGACCCATTCTAGACACGTTAAAGACCATAATGTTAATGACTCCATTTCCACTTCCAAATTCTCCTGCTTTTCCATGAACTCACTGTCTGGCTCACCAGAGCCTTTCACAGATGGTCTGGTGAATGTTTTGACTTGGGTACAGGGGAGATGGAAGAGCCCAGTCTGGCTGTTGAAGACACTGGGACAAAGGTTTCAGAAGAGCACAGAGGCTCATGAGCCAACACCGAGGTTGCCGCAGTCCTGCAGAGCCCAGCTGGCTCTCACTGCCTGCACCGCGGGGAAGGACTGAGTCAGATTCCCGCAGGCAGCGGGGCTCTCCCTCCAGGCTCAGGCTCAGGGAGGGGGAATGACTGGGGGCTCCGGCTGCCTGTCTGACTCTAGAATAACAGGGCTTTGCTGTCATGTCTTGGAAATGAAAGCCCATCATGACTGGTATGCTGGCTGGCTTTGGGGGCCTCAAATTTTCCATGGCACCTGCTTATGAGTCAGCCCGAGGGGATGCCAACCTGTAGCCCAAAGCAGCAGCTGGCAGTGCAGATGGAGACAACTTAGAGACCAGGTGAGAGGAGGCTGGGGTGGTCAGGCCTCCCTGCTGGGAGACAAAGAAAGAAGTGGCCTACATTCTTTTTGGAATGAGGTAGAAGAGAGATGAGAAGAGAAGAGGAAAGAAAAGCAAAGACAACAACAAAATAGATGCACACATATAGGCCTTGAATAGCACACTTAGGGCCAAAGAAGTCACAGATATCAGAACTCCACCTTCCTTCCAAAAAGCTCTTCAGAAAATTCCCCACAGCCCATTTTTCCTTTTCAAAGAAGTAGGTAGAGTCTGTATGTCTGGGCTGGCCAGACAAGACTCGGGTTATTTCAAGGATAATAATTGGCATGTACTGAGTGCTCGCTGTGCGCCAGACCTTGTTCTAGAACCTCACACCTAGTATTTCCTCTACTCTTCAAAGCCGCATCCTAAGAACTATTATCCCCATTTTACAGTTGAGGAAACTGAGGCTGTCACGGGATGAGATAACACCGTGGAGCCTTGCTCTTGACTGCTAGAGTGACCGTGGTCTCAAAACAGATAACCATGTTCCAAGCTGGGACCCTCAAGCTAGAGGGCACTGAGGCTCCAGCACTGGGCACCAGAGAGGAAGTACCTCGCAGAAGCTCCTCCAGCTCCCTCAGGGGGTATGTGGTGCCCTGCATCAGGGCTTTCAGGTAGAGCTTGGCCAAGGTCTCAGACTGAAAAAGCTGGGGCTGGTGGAGTTCCCATTTGAAGCCCAGGCACTCGAGAATCACATCTGAGGAGAGAAAATGATGCTGAGCAAACACATCAATAACGTCCCCACCCAAAGATGCATCAGCTTCCTCTCCCCCAACTCCTTTGCTCGGTGGATCATTAAGCAGATGAAGCAGGCAAGCAGCAGGCATCTCAGAAAGGAAGTGGTGAAGTGTGGGCCTCGGGGGCTTAGTGGCTTTGAGGGGGACACTGAAGGAGTCTTACGAGGTCACCCAGGACATGCCACATGTCCAGGACAGCTGTCGGCTAACAGCTGTAGGACTTCAGAGGCACTCGCGCTGCCCTCCAATGTGGGGAATCAGGAAAAGCTTTGTGGAACAGGGACGTTGTCTGGGGCACTCCTGGGGGGCCAAGGCAACAAGAACGTTCTGGCTTCCCCTACGACAGTGTTTCTCAGCCCTGACATTGTAAACATTTTGGGCCAGATACATGTGTTTTGGGGAGCTGTCCCGTGCACTGTAGATGCCCAGTAGCAGCCCTGGCATCTACTTACTACATGCCAGTAGCACTCCCTCCTCAGTGGTGACAACCAAAAATGTTTCCAGACATTGCCAAGTATCCCCAGTGAAGCCAAATCACCCCCCGTTCCCTGTTGAGAACTACTGCACTATGAGTTCCAAAGCATGACCCATCTGAAATGTAATAGCAGGCCTACCAAAGAGAGTAGGATTCTCGTGACCCTCCCTTGACAATAAAAGAAGGCTCTTTCCAAACTGTAGAAGACTTTATTCAGGGGCATCTAACCTGAGGATAAAATCAGTGATCACTAAAAGAAGAGGCTTTTTGATAAAGGAGGGCAGAGGGCGAAACCAAGGATGCCAGGCCAGGTGAGGCTCGAGAGGTCATGGGGAGAGGACTCTGCATGGCTCAGCTCCTGTGTTGTTAGTACAGAGCTGGGGAAAGGAGAGGTGCCTAAAACCCTCAATCTGAATGCCAGACAGGACCTGTAGGGCCACTAGCCCCATCTACGTATTTCTTGGTTTTGCCATTAGTTTCACAGTGTGACCTTGGGTACCTGATTCTTCTTCCTGTTACTATTATTGTTATTCACCAATATTATGATATTGTTTGGTGCTGGAGTTCAGGGGGTTTGCATCTCAAATATTACATCGCCTTAGGTGGACTGGTTATGTTGAGTTAGAAAAAGTCTCAGCCCATTAGGGTGATTATAGGCAGGGGCAGAATTGTGGATACAACATATTCATTCACTGGATGTCAATTTCCACTTTCAGGATGGCCAATGCATGGCAGCCATCACTAATCAATCCAGAGCTCTTTCTCTCATGCCAGGAAATGGTCTCAGACTACTTCTCCTGTTCAGAGTTGAAGGTGAGAAAAGAATTTATTAGCCTCTCTTTGGAAAGGAGGCTGGCTCTGATCTCAGGCAGCCACACCATGCCGTAGGGTTTATCCAAAAAAAAAAAAAAAAAAAAAGGCTGCTTTAAGAAGCTGTCCAGCCTCCTCATGAGGCTCAATGAACCTTTTTCTAGCAAAAAAGAACCTATCCTGATTCTTGATCCTGCCTCAGAAAAGTCCTCTTGAACAAGTGCAGCTGTGAACGTCCAAGTCACGACTGGTTAGAGCCCAAAGAGACGGAGAACAGCTGCTTTATGCTTGCTGCATTCCATTTAGTCTTTCAATACAAAGACTACTTTTTTTTTTTTTTTGAGATAGAGTCTTGCTCTGTCACCCAGGCTAGAGCTCACTGCAACCTCCAACCTCCTCTTCCTGGGGTAAGTAATTCTCCTGCCTCAGCGTCCTGAGTAGCTGGGATTACATGTGCGTGCCACCACGCCTAGCTAATTTTTGTATTTTTAGTAGAGATGGGGTTTTACCATGTTGTCCAGGCTGGTCTTGAACTCCTGACCTCAAGTGATTCACTCGTCTGGGCCTCCCTGCTGGGATTACAGGTGTGAGCTATTTATTGACACCAACACGTTTGTCTTTATCACGGCGAGAAGCATATGAAAATGTGTTTACCAAGCTTGGTTTCACTCACTGCACATTTGACAAATATTTACAGGGCACCTATTGTTTCTCAGATACTGGGAAGTGGATAAGAATCGCAACTTATGGACGAGCGCCCTGGCTTATGGGCTGGCTTTCTTCCGTAAAGACCACAAGATACCCCTGAAGTCAGCAGCATTCTGACTTAATCCACGGAGAACACAAACTCACCTGCTTCCGCACTTTGGATGTCCTTGTTCTTGAAATTCTCACAGAAAAACTTCTGAATTTGTGAAATGTATAACCTCAAGGGGAAATGCAAACATAAAATCCAGGAGTTAATGTTGACATTTTTCTCCAACTACAACATGCATTATTCTAGCATAAACTTCCTTAAAGCACCCATTGATCAAGCTACTCATATCTCGCCCTTTGGAAGAGTTTCCTCAGGTCACCATTTGTCTGTCGATCTTAAAAATCTGTAGCCTTTCTGATAGCTGGCTTATAACGCTGATTCCTGTTTTCAGTTTGTGGGTAGGGCTTACTGAGGGGGTATTTGAGGTCGTACTTGGCTGCCTGAATGACACTTTATTCAGTGTCTAAAACATTATCTGGCATATAGTAGACACTCAGTAATATCTGCTGGGAGAAAAGAATAGAGGTGTCTGCTCATTTCTAGGATGTTAATTCATCAACGATTTTGTTTAGAGGTCATACAGGTCCCACTCTCAGCGTGTCCAAAAACTAAACTTAGCATCTACCTCAAATCCTACCCTGCTCACTCAGATTCTCATTTCAGGAAATGGCACCACCAGCCTGCAGTTGCCCAAGCCAGCATGCCGAGTGTGGTTACATCTCATCACTTGCCTGGATATTTTGAATTTGTCCATCTCTCTTTGCTGTTCTTGCTATCGCCTTCCTCCAAGCCCCTACGATCTCCCTTCAGTCACTGCCAAAGTCTCCCAGCCTCCAACCCTGCTCTGCTTGGACACCTGCCTCCCACAAAATGCAAATTTGGTCTTGTCTCTCTCCTGCTGAGCATCCTCCAGTGTTTCCCCATTGCTCTTGGGGGAAAGTCCAAACTCCTTAGCATGGCTAACCAGCTCCTGCATGTTTCTGCAGCCTGGTCCCTCAACGGTCCCCACTCCAGCCCTTCTCAGCAGCCTGCACCTGGACCTGCCAACTGCTGCTTTCGTCTCTTGCATGCACTACTCCCTCTCCCAAATGCTCTCCTCCTTGCCTTTCCCCTTGCTAAGCTCCTACTCATTCTTCAGAATGAGCTTCATTGCTGCTTTCTCTGGGGATGCTGGGCCAGTGGCTTTCCCCTTGCCCGTCCTGGGATTTCCCCTTAAAACTCCTTCTGGAGTGTCTTGTGGCTGCCTGTTTACTTGTGTATCCTCTGCGAGACAGATTGGGCATGTGTTTACTGCTATGACCCTGGCACAAGCCATCACGCAGGTGCTCAGCAAATATTCATTAAATGAATCCATGACCACATAGATAAACACCATGGACTCATCATGCTAAGCCAGGAAGTGAAACAAAATTTGAGTCACATATTCACAGCTTAAAGACAGTCATCCCAGAAAGCCAGCCAGCCAAGAGACATTTGTGACCACAGCTGGTCTGTGTCATGCAGTGTCAACTTTACCATGCTGTCTCCAACAATCCCAGGAGACCCCGTGGGCCAGGGTGCATGCAGGAAGCATGGGTGGGAGCCTGTGTCCAGAATATTACCAACTACGTGCTGCCCTGTCCAAGGGGGGAGGGTGGCTGCCAATGACTCAGCCTAAGGCAGGCAGTGGGAGCTGGACTTGCTTATTCAATAGGAGCAGTGGAGATCTGACCCAAGCCACCCTCGCTTCCTCCCTCGATCCTCCTTGTGGCTTGGGTGACACGTCTGGAAAGAGCTGGCCAGAGTCAAGAGTTCAGACCGTGATCTCAAAATGGAGCCATGGACTTTGGAAAATATGGCACAAGGTCCATGAACTCAACTACCCTCACAAACATCAGTGTCATCAGCTGAGCCAAGGGGATGCCAGGAAACAGAGGTGAGCACACTGCCTTCTCCTGGGTGTGAGGGCTGCTTGTCAAGATATACCAACCATCATGTAGGCTCTGCCATTCCCAAGGGCTGCAGTTGATTTTAGGATCACTGGAAAAGTGAACGGAACACATGGCATCTGTGAGTTGTCTCACTCTTTGGGACTAAGTGGTCCGAGGTGAACTCCCATTGCAACGCCTGGTGCGGAGATGCTGGGAACGTGCTGTTAGGCTGGAGCTCATGTCCCCAAGTCATGACCATGATGGAGAAAGGCAGAAGGGGAAGAAGGGGAAGTAAGTTTCTCATGGACACACGGACTTCCTGGAGCAAACTATCCAAAGGTCAAAATGCCAATTTGATGAATTAGAAAGAGTGACATAGACCTGGGGCTGGACCTCAGTCCTTCCATTTTCTGCCTCTTGGTCTCAGAGGAAGGGAAGAGTGAAAGAGTGAATGTTTGGAATGCCTGGCACGGACTTGCCTTTGGTTAACATTTTCTCTTTCATTGTCTCTGTGAAGGGTGCCAAAATAAAAATGGAGTTATGATGCCTTAAAAACCCTGACGGAGCCTGGCATGGTATCATGCTCCCGTAGTCCCAGGTACACGCAAGGCTGAGGCAGGAGGATCACTTCGGCCCAGGAGTTCGAGGCTGCAGTGAGCTGTGATCATGCCTGTGAATAGCCATTGCGTTCTAGCCTGGGCAACTGGGTGAGACCGCGTCTCTAAATCTCTTTTAAAAAACAAAACGGCCAGGCACAGTGGCTCACGTCTGTAATCGCAGCACTTTGGGAGGCCGAGGCAGGCGGATCACGAGGTCAGGAGATCGAGACCACCCTGACTAACATGGTCAAACCCCGTCTCTACTAAAAAAATGCAAAAAATTAGCCAGACGTGGCAGCGGGTGCCTGTAGTCCCAGCTACTTGGGAGGCTGAGGCAGGAGAATGGTATGAACCCGGGAGGCGGAGTTTGCAGTGAGCTGAGATCGTGCCACTGCACTCCAGCCTGGGCGACTGAGAGAGACTCTGTCTCAAAAAAAAAAAAAAAATTCCACCCAACAAATAGAGGTGGGGAAGGCCAGGAAGGGAGAATTCTCACACACGAATGCCTGATAATAAGAACTATCACAAAAGACTCTGCAAAACCTACAACTGCACACAAAGGCCATCATAACCTCACACACAAAAAAGTACTGCGAGAACATCTGCCTAGCAGCTCAAACTGGTGTCACCCTTGTTATGGATCCTGCTAGCCAGGGATAATTATCTCAGAGCAATGATGTAATCCTCCTCACTTTTCTTTTAAAAACCTTTGTCTTGCCAGGCATGGTGGCTCATGCCTGTAATCCCAACACTTTGGAAGGCTGAGGCAGGAGCATCGCTGGAGCCTGGGAGTTCAAGACCAGCCTGGGCAACATAGAGAGACCCCCATCTGTACAAAACATTAAATAAAAAATTTAGCATGTGGTGGCCATGTCTGTGGTCCCAGCTACTTGGGAGGCTGAAGCAGTAGGATCAATTGAGTCTGGGAGGTTGAGGCTGCAGTGAGTTGTGATTGCACTACTATACTCCAGCCTGGGCAACAAAGCAAGACCATGTCTCAAAACAAAACAAAAAAACCTTTGTTTTCCTTTACTTCCCTGAAAACACACGTAGTTTACGGTGGCACTGGTATTCCATTGCAATGCCCGTTCCGGAATAAACATCAACTACTTTTAGAGAGTCTTCCTCTCCTCCCTGTTTGTTATTTAGGTTAACACCTCTCTAACGTGGATCACTGGTTTCTAGTCCCACTATCCCAGAACTGCTCTCTGGTTAAAAATAAAACAAAATAAAAATATAGGGGTCCCTTCTTCCCATCCTCACCTCTTAAGCACGACCTCCTCCCACCCTTGAATGGACTTGGCATTGCGGGCAGAAAGGGAGAAAACCACCAGGCAGCTTCCCCAGCTGGGGACAGGGAGGGCTCCAGGCCTTTCCTAGAGCCACAGTCCCCTAAGCCTTCGTGGGGTGGGGGTGCCCCCTCCCCAGTCTGGCCTGAGTCACACTCCCGTGCTGGATCTCTGGGTTTCCATGACAGCATGCATCCATACATGCCAGTGGACCCCAGGGACACACTTGACACATGTGCATTGAGTGTATATGTGCCATACACTTTTCTAAGCTCCTTACATGAATTATGTCATGTAATTCTCACAGCAACCCTGTAAGACAGCATCCCCGATTCACACATAAACTAAGGCACGAAAAGATTAGGGTGCTTGCAAGGAAGTTCACATTTCCTCCTCTCAGCCTCCTCTCCCACGCTCAGTGCCACAGAGCCTGCAAAAGGTCCAAGGCAAGAAGACCAGCAGCCTGAAGATCAGCTCCCCTGAGTGGTTGACCAGGAACTCCCTGCATCATGAAAACCCACAGACACGGCTGAGGGAAGTGTTGGCCAGCTGGGCACAATTACATACCCAAAATAGACAGGAAACTGGGAGCCTGCTCCCTCCGCTTTCCACCATGAATGACCCTTTCCATAACTCAAGAAATACAGATTGGGCCAGCTCCTGTCCAAGCAGACAGCACCCCCAGGTGGGAAAAGCAGCAATGACACCATCCATGACATGAACACAGCTTGCCAGGTGGGGCAGAAACAGTCATGCAGTGCTTTGGGGGACAAAATGTATGTTTCATGGAGCATTCCAGGCCCTTACTGACAGTGGAGTTTGCCATCTGAGAGTTGCCTGATGCCTGAAGGTTCACAAGAGTTACCAGGAAAAAGCCTTTCATGTTATTATCTAAATTAAACACAACCTTTTTTCTTTCTAAGAAGTTTCTCATAATCACATGGAAGAAATTCCTCTTGTGAAGACAAAGAAAAGGGGTGTGTGGGTGTGTGTGTCTTTCTCTTTTTTTTTTTTTAATTTTTTTATTTTTAGAGACAAATCTTGCTCTCTCTCCCAGGCTGGAGTGAAACGGCACAATCATAGCTCACTTCATACAGCCTCTATCTCCTTGGCCCAAGTAATCCCCCCACCTCAATCTCCCAAGTAGCTGGGACTACAGGTCCTGGCTAATTTTAAAATTTTTTGTAAAGACAGGGTCTCACCATGTTGCCCCAGGCTGGTCTCAAATTCCTGGCCTCAAGCTATCCTCCCACCTTGGCCTCCCAAAGCACTAGGATGACAAGTATGAGCCACCGTGCCCAGACACGTTTGGTTTATTACAGCACATCAGTTTCTCCCACACTCAGTAGACTGCCCCAGGGACTTCAATTCTTCATCCCTCCCTCTGTCCAAATCTTTTACCTCCATATTGCAAAATTTCTCTCCATAAGGAAATGGAGCGTGTTTTCTGTCCCTTGACTGGGAGTTTGGCCACGTGACTTGCCTCAGTTCACGGGGCCTAGTGGATGTGAAATGGTGGAAGGTCTGAAAGACACATGTGCTCCTGGACTTACCCTCATGCCCTCTGCTGTCACCATGATAAGCATGTGCCCAGGCTAGCCCACTGTCTCAGGAGGAGGACAAGAGGCTCACGGAACAGAGCCCAGGTGCCCTGGCAGAACCGATCCTGGATCAGCTGAGCACCAGATGCATGGCTGTAGACTTGCCCAGAACCCCTGAGAGTATCTGCTGCCTCTGGACATGCAGCTTCCCAACATCACAAAGCAGAGGGCCAGATGTGTAAAAGCTGCTCCCTGGAAGACCGGGTCCTCCGCCCCTGTTGTGCTGGAGGAAGGTGTTGTCCTGGAGGAAGGAACTGGGGAAGGTGCAAGGAGGCAGAGTGAAATAAAGGAGGTGTTGACTGGCAGAGCACAGAGCTGAGACACCCCAAGATGAAATAACGGGGATTAATTACTAAAATGCTGCTCAGGCAATAAAGAAAATAATTCTGTTTACTAAGCATCTACTATTTGCCGGAAAAAGTGCTAGGCATTTTCAATAGATGGCTTCATTTAATCCTCAAGATGACTCTTCATCTTGAAGAAGGTGCTATATAACCATTTTAGAGATGAGGAAACTGAGGCCCAAAGAGGGTTAGCCACTGACTAAAGGTCACAGAATTAGTAAGTGAAGAAGTGGGGATTCCAACGCTGTTGATAGACTGCTGTTAACAGTCCAAATGCCCAGCACCAAATGCCATTTCTGCACCCCATCCCTCAGGCCACTGCCTCCAGTTTAGCTCAGTAACTCCTAGGGACTTAGTTCCTGCTGCCCAGACCCTCTCATCAGCTTTTGGGATCACTTTGTCTGTATTCCTAGGCCTAGCTCCAGCACCTGCATCCCTGGCCTAGGCCTGGCACTAAGGAACTCAGCAACGGAACAGGGTTGGCCAGTGGCTCTAGAGAGGGAAGATTTGGCTACTCGCTGAACAAAGATTGAGCAGGCAGTTCTTCTGTGCCAGGTGCTGCCCTAGGAGTACAGTCCATGCTCACTTTGATTTGGCTGTGAGCTCACAAGACAGATGCTGCCAGCCTAGGGATGGTAGTGGCATCAAGCCAGGTCCACGGCACCAGGGAAATGAGGTATGCCTTCTGCAATAGGGGTGGTACAAATTGCGTGGTGGCTCAAGCCTGTAATCCCAGCACTTTGGGAGGCCAAGACAGGCGGATCACGAGGTCAGGAGATCGAGACCATCCTGGTTAACATGGTGAAACCCCGTCTCTAATAAAAAATACAAAAAACTAGCCGGGCAAGGTGGCAGGTGCCTGTAGTCCCAGCTACTCGGGAGGCTGAGGCAGGAGAATGGCGTAAACCCAGGAGGCGGGGCTTGCAGTGAGCTGAGATCCGGCCACTGCACTCCAGCCTGGGCGACAGAGTGAGACTCTGTCTCAGGAAGAAAAAAAAAAAAAAAAAAAAAATTTGATCCCCAATGTTGGAGGTGGGGCCTAATGAGAGGTATTTTTGTCATAAGGGCAGATCCCTCATGAATAGATTAATACCATCCCTCGGGGTGAGACTTCTCACTCTCTCAGTTCCCACAAGAGCTGGTTGTTAACAAAAGCCTGGGACCTCCCCTCCTCTCTCCTGCTTCCTCGCTTGCCATGTGATCTCTGAACCCTCGGCTCCTCTTCGCCTTCTGCCATGAGTACAAGCAGCCTGTGGCCCTCACCAGAAGCTGAGCAGATGCTGGCGCCACGCTTCTTATACAGCCTGCAGAACCTTGAGCCAAATAAACCTCTTTTCTTTATAAATTTCTGATCCTCAGGTATTTCTTTACAGTAACAGAAACAGACTAAGGCAAGGGTCCAGCTATGTGTTTCCAGGAGAGGCAAGAGAGAACTCATCACATGGGGAAGTGCCGGTCTAGCCTGCTGCTTGGAATACTATGAGATTGAGAGAGGATCAGTTGATTGGGTGAAAATGGACATTCACAAGCTGTCTACACACTGAGCCAGGACTAACTAAGTCTTGTTTGTCAAAAAACCAGTTGGTTCCTGGATGATAAACTCAGAATCCTGTTTGGGTTCAAAGTTCCCAATGGGAAGAAAAATTGTTTAAAAAAAAAAAATCAATCTTTCTCTGCCCTTTTGTCACCACCCACATTCTCAGAGGTAGTAGTCACTTATGACCCTGTCGGTGCCTGAAAGCTGGCTCCAGAGGGAGCCTTCCTGGCAGATGTGCCCTTGACAGCCACTCCAGCCAATCAGAGTGGCCCGGTCATCAGCCACTCCAGCCAATCAGAGTGGGCCGGTCATCAGGCACCTCCCCTCCCAGGAATGATGGGCCATTCCTTCCCACAAATCTTTAAGTCTCCCTACCTGTCTGGGTTCCTCAGAGCTTCCTCAAAGTCTATGCTCAGAGCCTTGAACATCTGGGAAAGTGAGAGCAGGTCCCCAGTAAAAGGCTGTTTGGGGAAACGCCACCGGTTGGTTGAGCCAGCGATCCGGCGTTCCAGCCGAGCTCTGTGCTGCTTGGTAATCAAAGAAAGAGAAGACATCTTTTTTTCTAACTTCACATAAATGCCAGATTTTCCAAATTGTACAGCAGGAAGGAAATCAAGACAAATTTTACAGTGCTGGTTAATTTTTGAACATGGCTAATATTTCTCACGAGACATCTCAAGGTAAAGACGCTGTATTCCACAGACCAAGGATCTCAAGCTACAAAGTAATTTGGAATTTAGGATCTAAGACAAGAGGTGCCAGAGGGCAAGAGGTCAGGGAGAAACACGGTTTTTTGCAGGTAGCTCTCTGAAGAATCCACAAGCAGGGATGGTATTATGCTTTAAGTACTGCCCTTTGAGTACTTATCCTAACTTGTCATGCAGAGAGATATTAAACTGTGGAGATATTGGGCAAGGAAATTTTTTTAATGGTGGTAAAATATACAAAACATAAAATTTTATCTATTTTACAGTGTACAATTTGGTGGCATTTAGTACATTTACAATGTTATGCAACCATTACCACTACCTAATTCCAGAACATTTTCATTACCCCCAAAAGAAATTCCATACCTATTAAACTGTCACTCCCTGTTCCTGCGTCCCCAGCCCCTGATAACCACTAATCTGCTTTCTAAGATTAGCCCCTATGTTCTGATTTTACGTTTTCACCTGTTCTGGGTGTTGCATAGAAGTGGAATCACACAATATGTGGCCTTTTGTGGATGGCGTCTTTCACATAACATAATGTTTTCAAGGTTCATCCATGTATTGGTACTTCATTCCTCTTTAAGGCTGAATAAGATTCCATTGTGTAAATATTCCACATGTTGCTTATTCCTTCATCAGTTGATGAACACTTGGGTTGTTTATACCTTTTGGCTATTGTGAAGTGTGCTGTGAGTATTCATGGACAAGTTTTTGTTTGAACACCTGTTTTTTTTATTATTTTGGTTATATACCCAGGAGCAGAACTGCTGAGTCTTTGGGCAGGGGCTTTTACTTAGACATTTTCTTGAGGTTCCAGGAGAAATTCAGCAATTTACATAAAACAGAAGGACAATACCCAGCATGGATGCAAACCTTAGACTGAAGGCCCAAAGCAACCTAGCAAGGAAAAAAGCACCAGGAAGGACCCACAGGAGTGGATGTCATTGATCCCAAGCCAACCAGGGCACCAATGGAGAGGTGGCGAGACCATGGGCCACGGACTAGAGCATCTGAGTTCAAATCTTGTTATTGCTCCTTTCTAGTTGTGTGACCTTGAGCAAGTTATGTAACATTCTGAGGCTGTCAGGTCTCATGTGTAAAATGGGAATAACGGGTGGTGGTGGTGACAGTAATGGTCATCATGACAATGATGGTGAGGATGGCGGTGGTGGGGATTCTGGGGATATCATCTTGTTTCCAATGTTGTAAAAAGTATAAAGTAGAATAAAGTTTGGGAAATATGCCTTAGTATAGTGCCTCGAAGATGGTGGATGATTAAAAACTGTGGAATCTGAGTCTAGATATAGTGCTGCTCTCATGTGAGAAGTAAAACATTGCCAGCTCAGACCACAAGCCTGCTCTCTGGACGGCCCGCTGCCTGGACGCACTCTTTCCAGCCGAGTCAGCCAATAACGCTTAAGGTCCTCGGTGGTGCAGGACCCAGCTCCTTGTGGAAATTTGTCAAAATGACCATAACCAAGTGCTTCTTCTCATCACCTACCTTCTTGAGAAACTGATCTACTTACCGTGTTCGACATTATCGTGAATGAAAGTGGAGATTACACAGGAAAGAAAAGATAAGCAACCTAGAAGACAAAAGAGGTAAAGGTGAAATTTTCCATACTTTTCAAAATATTATGGAGGAGATTGGCCTAAAGAATCTATATTTTGCCACAGGAACGATAATGAATAAGCCTTGAATGTGGGTTTTTTATCAATCAAGAGAATATCTTGTTGTTGCCGTTTTTTGTTTGTTTGTTAGTTTTTTTGTAAGCAGATGAGTAGACAGATCTCTGCTGTTGTTCTGGGAAAGTGGCTCAGATCAAGCAAAACAGAAGATAATCCTCTGCCAAAGTGAGGAAGAACGAAAGATAGCTATAAGTAGGCTGATCACATAATTGATCATTCAGACCAGGGGACTAAAGGGATGATATTAATGATTAGGCCTAGACAATGGCTGTAGGCCAGGGCTGCCCTGGAGTCCTGTAGACTGATGGTCACCCTGGCTTACAGGTCATGAAAGAGGACAAGTGGAAGGACTTTCCAGCTATCTCTGAACATTATCAGGGCAGTTGGGTTACAAGCAACAGAAACCCATTTGATGATGGAGTTGGGGGGAGGTTAAGATAGATTGGAAGGATGGTGATGAGAGGAGGGTCTCATAGACTCAAAAGGAAACTGGAGAACTCTGGGAAAGAACAGGAAGCAGCTGCAGGGGCCTGGGTGGCATGCACCAGCAGTTGGTGGCTGTTGTTGTCAGGCGCTGCCTCTAGCATGAGTCGGCTCTCCCACAGTCCATTTATGCAGGGTTCTGTTCAATCCAGATTCTCAGCAAGAGGCCCCAGCTGGCCTGGCTTAACTCAGGGGCCCACTCTTTGGCCCCTGAGGGCAGACACCTTGACTAATTCTCCCAAGAAGAATGTGCACTGGTGAGTGGGTAGTTCCCCAGAGCAACATCAGAGAAGAGAAGAAGTGGACAAGCTGGTAAAACCAGCAGAAGCCATGTCACTTGATGACTAAGAACCTCAGCTGACCTCCCCTTTGCTCCCCAAACAGCACTTCACCTGCATCACAGTCATGGCTATGTTCATCCATTCACCAACAAACATTTTCTGTGCAGTCGCCATATGGAAAGAGGTGTTAGCCGTTTCTGAGAGACAGCAGTGAGCAAAATGCACATGATCCTTGCCTCATAGAACTTCCATTCCACTTGGGCAGACAGGCTTTTCTTTGCCTTTTAATTGCCTTAATTGGACTTTTTAATTGCAAAAGTATTAATAATATATGCTTGTTGTAACAAGCGAACCAATACAATGACAGGAAAGAAAAATTTAACATAGCTGCATAATATTACTTTTTCTATTTTTGAGACAGGGTCTTGCTCTGTTGCCCAGGCTGGAGTGCAGTGGTATGATAAAGGCTCACTGCAGCCTCAAATCTGCTGGGCTCAAGTGATTCTCCCACTTCAGCCTCCCTAGTAGCTGGGACTACAGGCGTCCGCTACCACACCTGGCTAATTTTTTAATTTTTCTAGAGCCAGCGTTGCCCAGACTGATCTATATTGCCCAGACTTGTCTTGAACTCTTGATATCAAGCAATCCTCCTGCCTTGGCCTGCCAGAGTACTAGGATTATAGGCATGCACCACTGTGCCTGGCCCTATAATATTTCATACAGTAACTGCATCATTATTTATTAAAATATTCCTCTGCCAAGTCATTGAGGTTATTTCCTATATTTTATTCTCATAATAAGAACAATGGAAACAATATGCATACACATTATTATGGCAGTTTGTGTACATGTGTGTGTGCATATATCTATACATGTTACCTATATCTCTATCTGTATATATATGTGTGTGTGTGTATATATATATCTTTGTGTTACTATTTTTATTTCTATGAAATAGTCTTCCAAGTGGTATAGTTATGTCAGACATCTGTATCTTCAATTGTTGTTGCTGTTTTTTGTTTGTTTGTTTGTTTTTTGTAAGCAGATGAGTAGACAGATAGATCTCTGCTGTTGTTCTGGGAAAGTGGCTCAGATCAAGCAAAACAGAAGATAATCCTCTGCCAATTCATTTGCCCCAAAATTGCAGCAATTAACATTTCTCTCACCAATTTATAAGTGTTGTTTTTTTCACAACATCTCCAGTACTAGGTGCTATCATCATATTTATTTTTGCCAAGCTGGTGAGTGTCGGATGGTTTCAGATTCTTATTTTAATTTGAACTTTCCTGGCTACCAGTGGGGTTGAGCATTCTTTTATCTATTTATTGGCCCTTTAATTTTTCTTTTCTGAAAACCGCCTAATCGTAGGCTTTCCGCATTTTTCTACTGGGTTACTGTAGTTTCCTGAGCATTTTTTAAGGAGTTCTCTATGTACTGGGGACACTAACATTGTGTCTGCCATACATGTTGCAGAAGTGTATCATTTGTCTTTTGACTTTGTTTATGGTAAACAAATTGTTTCATTAGGTATGAAAATATGTTGTGTGTGTATGTGTGTGTGTGTGTATTTCCTTTGCCAATCTCTAATTTGAAAACGTATCTGGGGGCCAGGCCTGGTGGCTCATGCCTGTAATCCCAGCACTTTGGGAGGCCGAGGCAGATGGATCACCTGAGGTCAGGAGTTCAAGACCAGCCTAACCAACACGATGAAACCTTGTCTCTACTAAAAATACAAAATTAGCTGGGCATGGTGGCGCATGCCTGTAATCCCAGCTACTTGGGAGGCTGAGGCAGGAGAATCACTTTAACTCGGGAGGTGGAGGTTGCAGTGAGCCAAACTCGCACCATTGCACTCCAGCCTGGGCAACAAGAGTGAAACTCTGTCTCAAGGAAAAAAAAAAAAAGAAAGAAAGAAAAAGAAACGTGTCTGGATACAAACACGGCCCTGGTGTTTGTACCCACCTGCCGGTGTCCTCATTTGCTATTGCATCCATGTATGCATGTGTGTTAAGAGCATCTTTGTCTGTTCAAGTAGCTTTCGAGGTACACTTGGGTTTAGAGCAATGTGTGTTTTCCTTGATGGCTGAGTTTCCACCTTGCGTGAGGAGGCTTCTCCCACCTCAGGGAACACATACATGCTTTTCTGATCCTTTTACCTCACAGGAGCCAGGTTGATGAACTCCTCCGCTTAAAACCCTTCACTAGCTTCCCACTGCCCTAGACATAGACCCCCAAATCCTCAACGTGGCCTAAAGGAATCTGAGAAGAGAGAAGAGGGTTCCATTCTGAAGCAGACCTGGTCAGCACAGAATAAACCCCACACAGGACTCGCTATGCCCACGGAGCACCGCTTCAGTTACAGAGAGAGGGAGGCTGGGGATGGCACTCAGCGACCCAAAGCTCCTGCTTTCTTAGATCAATATCTAAGAACTTTTTTAGCTGATCTTCAAATCCAGGGATATCTCAATGGCCTGGAAATGTGTTCTTTTTTCATCCTACCAGGCCACCTGCCCCTTCATGTGTTTTGAGAGCCTGTGCCGAGGTCCCTGTGCGTGGGCAGGAGCTACCTACAATGGTATCTCGGCTCCCAGACCCCTCCTGATTCCCCAAACTCCCTCCCTGCCAAGTAGACCAGAAGGACCCAAGTCTAAGCAGCACCTGTCCCTAAGACACCCTTCTTGGTCTCTGAAGTGGCTGAAAAGTACCCATCGTACTTACCGTTCTCAAGCCCTCTTGCCCACCACCGGCGTGTTCACAGCGGGAGCTTGCTGAGTGGAGGAACTCGCATCACACTGGCCTCTGAGTTACAGGAGAGCCGGGGGCTGGGCACCTTCTGAGCCTGAAGCCCGGGAGTGCTCATCACATCTGGGGCTCACCCTTTTCTTCTTATGGGCCAAGGTGCTTTGACAGGGGGAGCTTGCCTTTGGTTTCCTGGGTGGTTGTGAGCACCACGGCAACAGCAGGGAAGGTTCCGAGCACTTCCTGTTCCAGGGCCGGGTTTCAGTTCCGGCTGGGGCTGTGTCCAAGGAGAAGATGTGAGTGATGGCATCTCAGAGACCAATGTGGGTGCCAAGTGCTTCCATTCCTGTTCCTCCTGGGGCAACCCAGGACAGAGCCTCAGTGAGAGTCAACCCCCAAATCCTCAGGCCTCATCTGTAAAAGGAGGAGATTAGACTGGAAACTTCTCAGATCCCTCCCAGCTCTGGCATTCTGGGGTCCTCTATTTCTAGTGTTTTCTGGGTTTTGACAAAAATATTTCAATAAAAATTGAGGGTTCTGCATTATTAAAAACTATGCCTAATGAGGTACTTCATTGATTATGATTTTTAATGCTGCTCTCTCTGGCAGCTAAGGACTGCCTAAAAGTCAAGGACAAGACTAAGAGCCTTCAAGCTGGCATCCAGAGTGAAGACGTTTGTGTTTCTTTGTTTGTTTTGTTTTGTTTTGAGATGGAGTCTCACTCTGTCACCCAGGCTGGAGTGCAGTGATGTGATCTTGGCTCACTGTAACCTCCGCCTCTTAGGTTCACCGGGTTCGAGCAATTCTCTTGCCTCAGCCTCGTGAATAGCTAGGATGACAGGTGCCCGCCACCACATCAGGCTAATTTTTGTATTTTTAGTAGAGACCGGGTTTCACCATGTTGGCCAGGCTGGTCTTGAACTCCTCACCTCATCCGCCCACCTTGGCCTCCCAAAGTGCTGAGATTACAGGTGTGAGTCACCGCGCCCGGCCCTGAGTACAATCTTGCAGTGTCCTCAGCAACGTGGCCTGTGAAGCCCATGACCCGAACTAGGGGATGGGGAGGTAGAGGCCACATGGGTCAGGGCCACATGGGTCACCACGGGTTCATCAGAGGCCTGGACCACCACCCCAGGGATCACAGTAATCCCTAGTTACAGTAACAGGAACCCGGAGGCAGTACGGCCTATAAGACCCGATGCCAGCCTCTCCTAGGTCACATACATCCTAAAGTAAAACAGGAAAGTAGCTGTGCTGTCTCCTGTGGCTGTGATCTAGAAACTATGAAATACTCTAGAAATGGGAGGTGCCCCTGAATTTATCTCCCCCTCAGCCCTCAAATCCTGTGATTCTACCCCTCCCAACACCGTATTCTGCTTTGCAGAGAAGCTGATCACTGTGGAATGTTCTGTGAGTGGCTTACCCATCTCTGCATCCCCAGAGCCCAGCAACCAAACTTGGACTTTAGAAAGTGCTCTATAAACATCTCTAGAATTGGGTAATTGGATGTACTAGTCCGTAACCACCACTCTGCCTGTGCACATGCTTGAGTGCCACATGCATACGTGTGCACGTGATTATGTATGCATAGGTATGTCTGCTTCTGTGTTTGGGTATGAACATGGCCCTGGTGTTTGTACCCACCTGCCTATGTCCTCTTTTGCAATTGCATCCATGTATGCATGTGTGTTAAGAGCATCTTTTGGCTGTTCTAGTAGCTTCCAGAGGTGCACTTCAGCTTAGAGCAATGTCTCTTGTTGTGCACTGGATTTCGGGTTTGGGAGTGAGATGACAGGAGGTTTCGTGGTAGTATACAACTGGTCCCAGCAACGGCCACCTGGTTGGGGAAACAGCTGATTGTCAGGTTTCTGGTGTTTAGTAGAAGCAGCAGCAGCTGGTGCTGCAGTCAGGATTTGAGGTGGGGTCCAAAGGAATCCACTGCTGCTCACCTCTCAGTGTAGCTCTTCTGGCGATCAGGAGGTAGGGCGGGACGTGCACAATAAGAAAACCGGTGGGAGAATAATGTAGGCGACAAGGGGCCGAAGACACTGGCATGTCTTGGGGAGGGGGGTTAGGAGCCCCAGTTCAGGGTCTGCCCACCATCCCTAGACCCTCATGGGCAGCACGAGACAGGACGCAGGCCTCTAACAGCTGCTGCAGGGGCCTCAGGAGCCAGAGGCAGAGGCTGCACTCCTGAGCCAGGTGTGGGCCTCTCTCAGGCTTGAAAAACAAACACTTGTTAGTTTATTTTCCTGTTACAAATGCAATGCATTTATAGGCACAAATTCAGAGGCAAAAATTCTTAACAATAAAAATCATTTGGATTCCACAGCCAAATTCAGCATCATTAATAGTACATCAACATTTTGTATGTATACACACATTTTTGAAAATGTGGTCCTACTGTACTTACTCTTTAACCTGAGTTGTTTGCTAAGTGTTAGATGTTTTCTCCTGCATTTTTGTGCATGACTGTTAATAGCAACACTGTGCTTTGTTTTTGTTTTCGTTTTTGGTTTTTTTGAGATGAAGTCTCACTCTTGTCCCCCAGGCTGGAGTGCAATGGTGCAATCTTGGCTCAATGCAACTTCTGCCTCCTGGGTTCAAGCATTTATCCTGCCTCAGCCTCCCCAGTAGCTGGGATTACAGGCGCCTGCCACCACACTCAGCTAATTTTTGTATTTTTAGTAGAGATGGGGTTTCACCATGGATGCTGTGCTTCTTGATGCAGAGGCAGATGGGGACTAGGGTAACCAGCCCCTTCTGCTGGACATGCGGCAGCTGGCGGTACAGCCCACTCCTCAGGCTGAGCTCCCTCCCCGGGCAGTGACAGAGGTTCATCTGGGCACCCACGCACGGGTGTGCACACACAGCCGCTGCGCACCTTCTCTCTTCCCTGACCATCATGTTGCTCTCCACTCCCCCTCAGGTCTGGTCCGTGGCTTCCCTCCTAGCCCAGTGCCAAGAACATGGGGGCGGAGACGGGCTGAACAGAAGTCTGTGTACAAACAGACAGATTTCCTCCCTCTACACTGCTGCTTCCCGGCCACCCCAAACTTTTCCCTGCTAACTGTCCCTGGAATGTAGGGCCCCATGTAAGATTTCAATTAACAAGTTTGAAAGACATTACCCTGGACCAGCTTTATATCCCACCTGCTCCATCATGGGCCAACCTAGGGATGCCCTCCAGGTATCACTTCTGCGGTGCAGTTGAGAGCGGGCTCCCTCTAGTGGCCAGTCTGGGGAAGCGTCCCAGGATGCCACGCTCCCAGCAGTCCCCAGGCAGAACTCTGGCCTTGGCTGAATCCATCGCTTTCTGCAGGGTCCAGCTCAAGGATCCGAGGCCTTCAGCTCACTCCCAGAGCTCTCAACACATACATCCCCACAGATCTCCCAGGAGCTGAGCTATTGCCCAAAGTCAAAGACAGCAAATACAAATAAATGGAAATAGCCTCCAGTGTGTTTCCCTGAGAGCTCTTTCCTGGGGGTGTCAGTAACTGAGCCCCTTGGGCCCAGCCCATGAAGCAGCCAATGAGCTGGAAATCCGAAGAGCAAAGGTCTTCAGTGACTCCGACATCAAACCTCGCTGAGCACTGCCCTTAGCTGGAACCCCATTATGCCAAAATCTCCTATGTCACAGTTCCAGGGCGATTATGAAGGGAAATCCATCTTCTTCCTGCACACTCAGGCATGGGGAGCTCGTTACCTTGCCAGAGAGCCCATTTCAGCCCACTCCATCCAGTCACCCAGATGGAGAGGTGGCGGAGCACACTGAAAAGAACACCCAGTTCTGACCTGGTTCTGACTGGCTAGCTGTGCGACCCTAGACACATCCTTCACCTCTACTGAGGAAAAGAGAAAATCCGGAGCCTCAGGGGACTGGAAGATGGAGATTCTGTGCCTGAGAGCCCCAGTGCACCCAGCCAGGGTACAGGCTGCTCTGGGAGTGCTGCCTCCAGACCAGCCCCTGGTGGAGGCCTTGCATGAGCCAAAAGACAGACAGAACATGGCCGGGCGCAGAGGCTCACACCTGTAATCCCAGCACTTTGGGAGGCTGAGGTGGGCAGATCGCCTGAGGTCGGGAGTTCGAGACGAGCCTGACCAACATGGAGAAACCCTGTCTCTACTGAAAATACAAAATTAGCCGGGTGTGGTGGTGAGCACCTGTAATCCCAGCTACTCAGGAGGCTGAGGCAAGAGAATCGCTTGAACCCAAGAGGTGGAGGTAATCCCAGCACTTTGGGAGACTGAGGCGGGTGGATTTCTTGAGGTCAGGGGTTCAAGACCAGCCTGGCCAACATGGTGAAACCCTGTCTCTACTAAAAATACAAAAATTAGCTGGGCATGGTGATGTGCACCTGTAATTCCAGCTACTCAGGAGACTGAGGCAGGAGAATCACTTGAACCCCGGAGGCAGAGGTTGTAGTGAGCCGAGATCATGACATTTACTCCAGCCTGGGTGACAGAGCCAGACTCTATCTCAAAAAGAAAGAACGAACGAACAAGATTGGGTCAGAACTGGCCATGAACTTGCTGTGGAACCTTGAGGAAGTTCTCTCCTTGGCTCTGGCGTCCAATTTTCTCATCTGCCAAAAAAAGTTCAGCTAAAACAACTCCTCTGCTCCATCCACTGTTGATCCTCTTTGCCAAGATGTTCTGGAGTATGGTGAGGCCAACGCAGCTGGCCCAGGGCTGCTTCATTCACTCACTTAGACAAGGCCTGAGTGTCAAGATTGTATTGGGTGCTGGAGATAAAATGGGGACAAAGAGAAGGATGTGCACTACCTTCGCAGCCTCTGATGTTATTTGCTTAAACTTGTTCTTTAATACTGGACTTACATTGCTACATAACGTTTTTGTTATGATGTTTTTACAGTAAATTTATTTTATCAAGGAAGTAACATATTTGGTATGCTGGTTTATTTGGAATATATATTAAAATAACTACATAACTTAAAAAAGGTCATACATGAGCTGCCCCTGAAAATCACCTTCCATGCCTGGGCATCTTACTTTTGGAGGTTTAACATCGGCACTGTAAGGCTCACAGAGTAATCAAGTCAGTGAGCTGCGAGAATTCGTAGGAAAGGCAATCAACTGCATTAACCTGCTTTGTCATTCTGACGCTTTGAATCTGGGGCCTTGCTCACTCTGGAGGGACTGCCCCTCCCAGGGCTAGCTATAAATAATTCCTAGAGTTAGTAAAGGACTCCTACAAGCATGCCTTTCATATACAAACCAATTAAGCTAGAGCCTATACCCCAACCACCTCCCTTATCAAGCTGTCAAACTCAGGGCCGCTATCCACTTGCCCTAATCACCCAGGGTCAAGTACTACCAGATGAGAGACAATCCCTATACCCCAGCGCCCACTGAAATTATTCAAACTTACCAATTCTAAACCTGATTACACTGCTGCCCTCATTTCTTCCCATGGGATCCACAATAAAGGCTCTTGCCCATGTTTTCCCCTTACCCCTTATGTCTCCTAACCTTACTGCTTCCTTGTGTGCCCTTGTGCCCAGTGGCGGGGTATGCCCCCTCCTCTTGAGAATTGTAACAAACTATTCAAAGGCAATTATCTCCTTATCTATTGGCCTCGCCATATCTCAAACATAACAAAATAATAATAAAACCTACATTTTTAAACACTGACCCAGGCCCAAGGGTTCAAGGAGGACTCCCTGGAGAAAGTGACATAACAGAATAGAAATTAGCTGAAAGACAAAATGATGGGGATAAGGGTGAATGTCCCAGGCAGAGAGAAGAGCATGTGCTAAGCTGGAGTGGAGAAATAAGGAGCCACTGAAGGAATGGCCCATACAGTCTGACTGCAGTGCAGGGTGAGAACAGAGGAAGGAGGAAGGAAGAGGAGAAGTAGCTCAATAGCCCAGGGCTCATAGAGGCCAAGGAGTCTGAGTTTTATGTAGTCCTATCTCTTTTGATCTCCAAGTTGGTTTTTCACATAAACCCAAAAGACAGTCCATGAACTCTCCAGGTTCTGCCATTGAGAGTCCAGCCCTGAGAGCACAGAAGCCCTGCCCGGCTGGTCACCACCAACCTGGGAAGGTACCACTGGCCCACTGACCACCCAAGGGAAACAAACAACGATGAGGAAGAACAAGGCCACTCCAATGCATCTAACAATGTACACCCTAGGTGAGCCCCACTGCGGCTTCTATCCATTGAACAAACAGAATGCTTTCTATAGTCCACAAATGCAGTGGAGGAGTCCAGTCCAGACTTGAAGGCAGCACCACCAACTAGACTAAAGAATGGACGTAAGGACCCACCACATGTGCTTGGGAGCATCCTCACCCCTGTACCTCATCTCCCCACCACCTTCTGCTTGGAATTCCTTGTAAACACTTCTCCAGGGATTGTAAAGGATGTGGGCCTTTCTGTCATGAAGACCTGGGATTGAATCCTGGCTGCCTTGTTTCCTGATTGACCTGAGCAAGTCTTCTAACTTCTCTGAGCCTGTTTCCTTCTTGTAAAATAAAAACAGTTTTCATTCACTAGATCATTTCAAGACTAAAAAGAGATAGCACTAACCTGAGTGAGCCATTGTGGGTGCTCAAATGTTAATATCTTTCCTCCTTCCAACAATCCTTGTGCATACACACACTTTGACCCTGCCCATACACATCTCCACCCTGCTTTGTTCAATTTTTTCTAGGGAGAATATTGTGGAAAACAAAGAGGCTTTGTTCAGGATCTGGGCAAGATGGCAGAATAGGAAGCTCCTGATCTTGTTCCCCGACAGGGAAACTAACTTGACGATATACAGCTCAAAAAGCCTTTTGAGATCCCAGAAATGAGTTAAGAAGTTGTTGTACCCCCATGCAAGCTTAAAGTAAAGAATAACCACGTTGAAACAGGCAAGAAAAACCATTTCATACAAAAACAAGATAGCCCTTCCCCAAAGCCAGCACAACTTGGTGCAATCTGGAGCAAAAACCTCATGACTTCTTCACTGGGAAAGAAAAAGAAGACTGGAATGTGCACTCAACATTTCAGCTTTTTGGCACAATGCCCACAGGACTAGTTTCTGTCTCACCTTACTTGGAGCAATGATGAGGAATTGGCATATTCTGGATGCCTGGGTGTCACTGAGAACAAAAGAGAGCTCAGTGTCTTGTTGCAGTCCCACAGAACCTGCGGCACTACCAACAGACATTAGAAGGAACAAGAGCCTACAAGCTCCTAAAAATAAACCAGCAAACCTTCCCATTTGGGAAGTTATACACACAAGCCCAGAGAAGACACATCCTCAGAAAATGTTTGTGAGGTCCTCAGAATCACTGGCTGAACTGATTGGTAAAGGTTTTTCCCTGTAGGACGCTGGTCTATAAAGACTGGGAGGAGAGACTGCTGTGATTGTTGTTTTTCAAGTGAGCAAATCACAGCAAAAAATAAAATAAAAACAAAAACCCACAGCACATGAAACAGGAAAACATAATCCAATCAAATAAATAAAGCAAATCTCCAAAAACTGCCCCTAAAAAATGGAGATCTATGAGTTACCTGACAAGGAAATAAATATAATCATCTTAAAGAAGCTCAGTATGCTACAAGAGAACGAAAAGAGACAACTGAACAAAATCACAAAAATAATGTATAAACAAAACGAAAATAGCAAAGAAATAGAAACTTAAAAAAAAAAATGAAATTCTGGAACTGAAGAATACAATAACTGAAATTTTAAAAAATCACTAGAGGGATTCAACAGCATACTTGATCAAACAAAAGTAAGAATCAGGGGAACTCGAAGAGACGTTATTTGAAATTATCAAGTCGGGGGGGAAAAAAGAAGCAATGAAGAAAAGTAAAGAAAATCTAAGAGACCCATGTACCCCATCAAGCAGACCAACACACATATTACGAGAGCTTCGGAAAGAGAAGAGAGAAAAGGGAAGAAAGCTTATTTGAAGAAATAGTAACTGAAAACTTCACAAATCCGAGGAAGAAAATGGACATCCACATTCAAGAAGCTTACAGGATTCCAACTAGACTAAACCCAAAGAGGCTCACACAAAGATATATCAAAATCAAACTGTTAAAACTAAAAGACAAAGAAAGAATCATGGAACAACAAAAGAAAAGCAACTCATAATATACAAGAGAGCAATTATAAAATTATCACAATTATAAGATTTCTCAGCAGAAACACTATAGGCTAGAAGGGAGTGGAATGATATATTCAAAGTGCTGAAGGAAGAAAACTGCCAACCAAGAATACTATATCTGACAAAACTTTCTCTTTTTTTCAAAAATGAAGGTGGGAAAAAGATCTTCCTAGATAAACCAAAACTGAAGAAGTTCATCACAACTAGACTTGTCTTACAAGAATCGCTAAGGGGAGTTTTCAAGTTAAAATGGAAAAACAATAGATAATATGAAAACAAATAAGAATAGAAAGCTCTCTAGTAAAACTAAATACATACACAAATTCAGAATCCTGTAATATGGTAATTGTTGTGTAAATCACTTAATTCTTGTACAGAATTTAGAAGATAAAAAGCTTAAAAATAACTATAACTAGAAAACTATGTTATGTTGGGCATGGTGACTCATGCCTGTAAACCCAGCACTTTGGGAGGCTGAGGCAGGAGGATTGCTTGAGCCCAGGAGTTTGAGACCAGCCTGAGCAACATAGTGAGATTTCATCTCTATTAAAAAAAAAAAAAATTAGCCAGGCATGATGGCATGCACCTGTGGTCCCAGCTACTCAGCAGGCTGAGGTGGGAAGATCACTTGAGCCCCAGAGGTTGAGGCTGAGGTCCTCAGAATCACTGACTGAACTGATTGGTAAAGACGAGATTGTGCCACTGCATTCCAGTCTGGGTGACAGAGCTCTCCCCACTCCCCACCCCCTGCAAAAAACCAAACCTATGTTAATGGTTACAAAATATGAAAAGATATAATTTGTGATACTGAGGGCATCTAACTTGAAAAGGAGGAAGTATAATTATCTCTGTTCACAGATAACATGAACTTATATTTAGCAAACTAAAGATTCCAAAGATGCTGATATGACTAATAAATGAATTCAGTAAAGTTGCAGGCTACAAAATCACACAAAAAACAGTTGCATTTCCATGCAATAACAGTGAACAATTAAATAGAAAACTAAGACAACAATCCCACCTATGATGGCATCAAAATAAACTTAACCAAAGAGAAAGACTTGCACACTAAATACTCCAAAACATTGCTGAGAGAATTTAAAGAAGACAAAAATAAATGGAAAGAAAACCCACTTCATGGATTGGAAAACTTAATAACATTAAAAGTAACCTGCAGATTTAATGCAATCCTATCAAAATCCCAAAGGCATATTTTGCAGAAATAGAAAAAAAGAATCAGGCCAGGCGCGGTGGCTCACGCTTGTAATCCCAGCACTTTGGGAGGCCGAGGAGGGCGGATCACAAGGCCAGGAGATCGAGACCATCCTGGCTAACACGGTGAAACCCCATCTCTACTAAAAATACAAAAAATTAGCTGGGCTTGGTGGCAGGCACCTGTAGTCCCAGCTACTCAGGAGGCTGAGGCAGAATGGCGTGAACCCGGGAGGCGGAGCTTGCAGTGAGCCAAGATCGTGCCACTGCACTCTGGCCTGGGCAACAGAGCAAGGCCCTGTCTCAAAAAAAAAAAAAAAAAATATTCATATGGGATCTCAAAGGACCCCAAGTAGCCAAAATAATCTTGAGAAGGAAAAACAAAACTGGAGGCCTTACCCTTCCTGATTTCAAAGCATATTACAAAGCTATAGTAATCAAAACAGTATGGTACTAGCATAAAGATAGACATATAGGTCAATGGAACAGAATAGAGTGTCCCAAAATAAAACTACACATATATGGTCAAATCATCTTCAACAAAAGTGCCAAGGCTACAAAATGGGGAAACAAATGGTGTTTGAAAAATTGGATATCTACATGCCAAAAATGAAGTTGGACCCTTACTTTACACTATATACAAAAATTAACTCAAAATGGATTAAAAACCTAAATATATAAAACCTGAAAACTATGAAACTCCTGGAAAAAACATAGGGAAAAATTTTTCTTTCCTTTTTTTTTTTTTTTTTTTTTTTTTGAGGCAGGGTCTCTGTAACTCAGGCTGGAGAACAGTGATGCGATCATAGCTCACTGCAGCCTCAAACTCCTGGATTCAAGCAATCCTACTGCTTCAGCCTCCTGAGTTGCTAGGACTACATGTGCACACCACCATACCCTGCTAATTTTAATTTTTTTTTTTTTTTTTTTTTTGGTAGAGGCAAGGTTTTGCTATGTTGCTCAGGCTGGGAAAAACTTCAGGCCGGGCACAGTGGTTCACGTCTGTAATCCCAGCATTTTAGGAGGCCAAGGCGGGTGGATCACCTGAGGTCAGGAGTTTGAGACCAGCCTGGCCAACATGACAAAACTCCGTCTCTATAAAAATACAAAAATTAGCCAGGCGTGGTGGCAGGTGCCGGTAATCCCAGCTACTTGGGAAGCTGAGGCAGGAGAATTGCTTGAACCCAGGAGGAAGAGCTTGCAGTGAGCCAAGATCGTGCCACTGCACTCCAGCCTGGGTGACAAGAGTGAGACTCCAACTCAAAAAAAAAACCATAAAACTTCATTAAATTTGAATGGCAATAATGTCTTGGATGTGATGCCAAAAGGACAGACAACAAAATCAAGAATACACAAATGACACTACATCAAACTTTAAAACTTTTGCACTGCAAAGGAAACAACCAACAGGGTAAAAAGGTAATGCATAGTATGGCAGAAAACATTTACAAACCAATTTTTAATAAGGATATGTACTCCTGATTAGAAGTTAATATTCAGAATATATAAAGAACTCCTACAACTTAACAATAACAAAACAAATAACCTGATTTTAAACTCAGCAAAGGACCTAGATAGACACTTCTCCAAAGAAATACAAATGGCCAAGCAGCATGTGAAAAGATGCTCAATAACCTGAATCATCAGGAAAATACAAATCCAAATTACAATAAGCTATCACCACACACCTGTTAGGGTGGCCACTATCAAAACAAACCAACAGAGAATAAGTGTTGGTGAGGATGTTGAAAAACTGGAATCCTTGTGCACTCTTGGTGGGGATATAAAATAGTGCAGTTGGTATGGAAAACAGTATGGAGGTGCCTCAAAAAATTAAAAATAGAACTAGCAGATGATCCAACAACCCTGCTTCTGGGTATACATCCAAAAGTACTGAAACCGTGATCTTGAAGAGATATTTACATTCTCATGTTCACTGCAGCATTATTCATAACAGCTAAGCAGTAGAAGCAACCCAAATGTCCACTGATGGATGAGTGGATATAGAAAATACAGTGTATACATACAATGGAATACTATTCAGCCTTTAAAAAGAAGGAAAGTCTGTTATATGCTTCAACATGGATGAACCTTGAGGACATTTTGTTAAGCAAAATAAAGTCACTCTCAAAATGACAAATAATGCCTGATTCCACTTAACGTGAAGTATCTAGTGTAGTCAAACTGTTAGAAGCAGAAAGTAGAATGGTGGTTGGTGGTGGGGAGAGAAAAAGGGGGTTGTTCAATGCATAGAGAATTGTCGCTTTGTAAGATGATAAAGTTCTAGAGATCTGTTGCATGATAATGTGCACTTAGGGTAAGGTACAGTAGCTCACGCCTATAATCCCACCACTTTGGGAGGCCAAGGCGGGAGGATTGCTTGAGGCCAGGAGTTTGAGACCAGCCCTGGCAACATAGCAAGACCCTGTCTCTACAAAAAATAAAAGATTTAGCTCGGCATTTTGGCACACACCTGTAGTCCCAACTACTCAGGAAGCTGAAGTGGGAGGATCACTTGAGCCCAGGAGGTCGAGGTTGCAGGGAGCCCTGATGGTGCCACTGGACAGAGTGGTAAAGCAAGACCCTTTCTCAAAAAAAAAAAAAAAAAATGCATGTAGTTAATCCTGTACTGTACACTTAAAAATAGTTAAGATGGTAAATTTTATGTTTAACCTTAATAAAAAAAAAAAAGAGACAATGTTAGAAGAAACATTAATTTGAAATGTTGAAATTCACATTTCAAAAAAAAAAAAAAAAAAAAGAGGAAGAAACCTCAGTACCTTACCAGGGCCAAGGAGTAGATGAAAGGAGCAATTACCAGCGAGCCAGGCAGTTCTTGCTGTCCCCGTCGCCTCTCTCGCCTGTCCCATGCACAGCACTGATGGCTTCTCTCTCCCAGGTCAGCAGCCTGGAATGGGGAGGTGTCTACAGGGGGATGTTCCCTGGCGTGGCCCTTGGGCCCCTCAGATCTTACACCCAAGGGGCTGAGAAAAGGAATCCCCAAGATCCCCTGGTCCCGGCCCTGCTGTCCTCAGTGCCCACCCCCGTCTTTCCTAGCTCCCTCTCCACTCATATCCACTCCCTGTCCTCACAAGGTAATCTTCGTATCACAACTAAGGTACCTTTAATTTGAGAGCCCCGAGGAAATGCTGAGCCAGGAAAAAAAAAGTTAGAAGCTCAAGATTTCAGCTGACTTAGCAAACCAAAGTTCCTAAGAATGCTGAGAATCCCAAAGCTGCTGGGGCACGGCGCGGAGGGGGAAGCCTCGATTGGGGTCAGGTGCCTGCCCTTGAGCTCCCACTCAGCAAAGCAAAATAATATAAACAGTTCTCAGCTGCCATCCCGAGGGTGAACACATGCATGAGAGAAAATAAGTGCGGGGGGAAAAGCGACTCATCTGAGCCCATGTGGGTCTTGGGGCCAGACACACCTCACAATGGCCTTGAGGTTAAGTAGGAATCCTCACCGTGGGCCCAGAGACAGTGTGACCTATCCCGGTCACAGTTAGAAGGTGGCAGAACTGAGATCCTGCAGCCCAATCCTTCACCAGGGGCTGGTGCAGCCTCTGCGGTGAGCTTTCCTCTCCACCTTCCAGTCCGATTGCCCACGGGGGAGTGGAGAAGAGGGCGCAGTCATCACCCCAGCCCTCTCTCGTGGGGGCCTCCCCCATCTCATATCCCTGCGCACCTTGACACAGCCCTTTAGGACACACACTGCTTAGGGCCCACTGCAAAGCGTGCTAACAAGACGGGTGAGCTGACACACGCCACTTCCTGGAGCATCCCAGGAACGGAGCCGCAGCCTGGTGACGCTGGGGCAGCGAGGCAGCCACGCACGGAGGTGGGCCTGAGGCCAAGCCTGGGATTCGGGGATTTAGTTTTCCATTCGTTTGTGTGGGCTATAATTGCACACAGTGCAAGCTTGATCCAACCTCCACGTCTCCACCCACAAAGGCACCTACGTGCAGCCCCTGGGTAGGAGGAGGACTGAGGCAAACCCCCTCTCCCGATGGAGGAATCTTTCTATAGCTTGGCCCCTGCCCCCAGGACATGCGGCAGGCCTGGCCAAACCCCTCGGGGCCAAGAGAGCTGGCCTACTTCTCCGGAGTCCCAGGCCACAAAGACCCTTACCACTTCTTTGCCAAGTCCCTATAATCTTCATCGTCATGATCATCTCCACCACTGATTAAGCTTTACCATGTGCCCAGCAGCTGCGATCATCTTCTCTAACCTTCTTAGTAGTTGCACAGAATGGGCATTGTCAGACCCATGACATAGGTCTCCAGCTACAGGAATGATCCATTATATTCTGGGGCCACTCGCTTCTCAGCCTGAGTCACTCTTATCCAGAGAGACATAAGCTCTGTTAAGACACGATTCTGCAGGGGAATTGACTGCTTCCCTGAGTTGATCTGCTCTGGGCACTGTAATTTTGATGGCAGTCAGGCAGGGTCTGTTCAGTTCAGACACTTACCTGTAACAGCAAATAGAAATGTTCTTTCACTGGAGGCTTTGTAGACAGCACAACAAATTAGTTGAGAACAAGTGTAATCACAGCACGGAGGGAAAACAATAAACATTTTCTCATAGTTATACTATTTACTCCAACTACTATTCTGGATGCCTCTTCCCTCCTCCTCACTAGGCTGGGCTGACAGGCAGAAAGAGCGCAGCCCAAGGGCTGGATCACACACCCCAAAATGTACAGACTACTGAGAGCGGAGGGAAAGGGCCATCTATCAGTACAACCTTAGAGGAAGGCTATTTGGCAACGAGCTTCCCAAACTTTAAAAATGTGCAAACCCTTTGAGAAAGAGAAAAGCAGCCCCTGGCATCCAGAGGCTGACCTGGCACTCATGGCTGGGCTGAGGCCGTAACCCATTTCACAACACATCAGCACCAGACAGGCCACTTGGACTGCAGTGAATTAAAAAACAAAAACCAGCCCACTCCACAAATGTCTGCAGCCACACTGGACATCATCCAAACCACAAAAAGGACCAACTCTCTCTCAGTTCTGGCTAATATGCATGACTGTTGCTTCTCTACCGCTTGCAGCTTTCTCTTACTCTAGTCCTCTCTTCTTGTAGGTCAGATTTATCGAGGCACCCCGTCTTAGAATTGCCAGACCGAAGCCCAGCTTCCTGAAATCCTCCCTGGAGTGACTAACCCAAGTCCGAATCCTTTGCCTGCAGCCTTCCGAAGACCCTCCAACTGAGATGCTCAGGGCTTCCTCTGGCGTGTGTCTGGCTCACTTTTGCAACGAGCAATAAACCCAACGTGCTCAGCCACTGGTCCCAGTGGTCTCTGGCTGGAGTGCAGTGACATCTTTAACCCAGGTGATCCACTCTTAGGAATTTGACCTCAAGAATACTTACATTCACAAATATATGTAAGGACACTCATGTGGCATGCATAATGATACAAAAACATGGACACAATATAAATGCTCATCAGTACGGGGGGAGGGTTGGTTAAACACATTTTGGCACATGGAATGCTATGCAGCCTTCAAAATGATGAAGAGCTCTATTTATTGATATAAAAAGTTTACCATAACATGATGGTCACATTATAGTATTAGGTGAAAAAAAGTTTCCAAAACTGTATGCAGGATCACCACAGGTGGCTGCACAGGATGGTACTGGGTGGCACTTCTAAAAATACAAACAGGCCGGGCGCGGTGGCTCACGCCTGTAATCCCAGCACTTTGGGAGGCCAAGGCGGGCAGATCACGAGGTCAGGAGATCGAGACCATCCTGGCTAACACAGTGAAACCCCGTCTCTACTAAAAATACAAAAAAATTAGCCGGGCGTGGTGTTGGGCACCTGTAGTCCCAGCTACTCGGGAGGCTGAGACAGAAGAATGGCATGAACCCGGGAGGCAGAGCTTGCAGTGAGCCGAGATCGCACCACTGCACTCCAGCCTGGGCGACAGAGCAAGACTCCGTCTCAAATTAAAAAAAAAGCAAACAACAAAGAAGATATTTTATAGATGGAGAAAAAGGCCATAAAATGTACAAACATTAACAGTGTCTTGGTTTGGGGGCTATAAGGTTTTTTTCTTACCTGTTTTCTAATCTTTTTCACAATGGAAATGTTTTACTTAATGAGAAATAAGTTTCCAAGAGATAAGCTGGGCATTTCTGAGAATGTAGTTGAGGTCAGAATCTGGAGTGAGGCCAGAGTAGGGGTTTGGCCTAGAGAAGCAAGCACCTGGGTAAGGGGTCATGGCTGGGCCCTGGAACATGCTGTGACCAGGAGGCTGGACCAAGCAAAGGATGCTGGCAGTGGGAAAGAGGCAGTCCCCTGCCCTGGCTGAGGGTGCCTGGCAGGTGAGGGTCTCAGTGGCACCAGAGGCAGGCTCTGCTGGATGGATTGCCAAAGTGTGGCAGAAAGAAAACAAAGGACCTCAGAGCACAAAGGACACCATGCACCCCCCACCCCCAGAGCAGCCTGCCAGGCCAACAGCACGTGTGCGGTCCTCTCTCCTTGGAGCTGACACAGCCGAACTTCATCCACCTTGTAAATCACAGAAAACACTCCCCACCCTGTCCCCAAAGAGCTGAGGCTGCCTAAGGCCTGTCCTGTTATGGGTGGGGGTTTTCCTACTGTGAGAGGAGTAGCCTGTAGCCACCATGCCGAGGCAGAGAGACAGTCAAGCTCTGGGCCATCAGGGGCTCTCATCTGCCTTCCAAGTTTACAGCCCACACCACACATCCCATTGACACACATGTAACCGAAAAGACATGTCTACATCCTAATCCCTCCTACCTGTGAATGCGACCTTATTTGGAAACAGGGTCTTTGCAGATGTAACTGAGGATCTTGAGATGAGATCATCTTTGATTGGGGATGGCCTAAATCCAATGCTGGTGTTCTTATAAGAAAGGAGGGAAATCTCAAACACAGCAAAGTCATGTGAAGACAGAGGCGGAGATTGGGGAGCTGCAGCTACACACCAAGGGACACCAAGGAGAGCCAGCAGCCACCAGTTGCTGGAAGAGGAATGGGACAGATTCAACAGAGCCTCTTGGGGGAACTAACCCCATTGACACTTTGATTTTGGGCTTCTGGCTTCCAGAACTGAGAATAAATTTTGCTGTTTGAAGCTGCAGATGTTTGCAGTGATTTGTTAATGGCAGCCCTAGGAAATGATTGCACTTTTTTTTTTTTTTTTTATTGTAAGTTCTAGGGTACATGTGCATAACATGCAGGTTTGTTACATATGTATCCATGTGCCATGTTGGTGTGCTGCACCCATTAACTCGTCATTTACATTAGGTATATCTCTTTTTTTTTTTTTTTTGAGATGGAGTCTCATCGTCCCCAGCTGAGTGCAGTGCCGATCGCTCACTGCAGCTCCCCTCCCCCCCTCCTCCTCAGCCCCTGAGTATGATAGGGCCCCCCCGCAATGTATTGTAGAGACTGTTCCCTCTTGCCTGTGGTCGTCCAAGTGTGTTCCTTGCCACCTGCTATTCCAATGTATCCCCTCCACTCCCAGTATGAGCGAGAACATGTGGTATTTGGTTTTCTGTTCTTGTGATAGTTTGCTGAGAATGATGGTTTCCAGCTGCATCCATGTCCCTACAAAGGACACGAACTCATCCTTTTTTATGGCTGCATAGTATTCCATGGTGCATATGTGCCACATTTTCTTAATCCAGTCTGTCACTGATGGACATTTTGGTTGATTCCAAGTCTTTGCTATCGTGAATAGAGCTGCAATAAACATACGTGTGCATGTGTCTTTATAGCAGCATGATTTATAATCCTTTGGGTATACCCCCAGTAATGGGATGGCTGGGTCAAATGGTATTTCTAGTTCTAGATCCTTGAGGAATCGCCACACTGTTTTCCACAATGGTTGAACTAGTTTACAGTCCCACCAACAGTGTAAAAGTGTTCCTATTTCTCCACATCCTCTCCAGCACCTGTTGTTTCCTGACTTTTTAATGATTGCCATTCTAAAGTCAGGATGGCAATCATTTTGTACATTTATCACCTCATTTACTTCTCAGAAAGAAACATATTATGTAACATTTTGCCAATCTAAAGTCAGGATGGCAATCAAGTTTGAGATGGTATCTCATTGTGGTTTTGATTTGCATTTCTCTGATGGCGAGATGATCGCACCTTTCTACCCACTAACTCCCCTCATCCACCCAGCCTTCAACCTGGCAGCCCTGAGCAAGTCAGCAGCAATGAAGCGATCTAAGGCCAGGCCCACTGCTAGTTTAATCTCCAAAGTGGCCTAACTACCTGCTGCCCATTGGCAATTGCTCACCCTTTTCCCAATCCTTTCTTTAGATGGGAATGGGGGTTTCAGGATTGACCTTCACACACCAAAGGATTGAACAGAAAGAGTGGCAGTCTATTAGTTCCTTGACTCAATAAAAGGAAATAGATTTGTTTCCTCAAGTCAAAGAGGTTTTGTAAAAACCAAATCTCAGCTAGTCCAATGCATTCACTTAGTTATTTCAGTAGCAAGTCAGTATTTCTCATTAGCTTCATCCTACAAATGCAACCACGATAAGAAAGGAAATGTTATTTAAGTCTATGGACAAAGAAATGAGCCCAGACAGAGAAGAACACGAAGCCAAATCTGATATTTGACAAAGGTGAGAAAAGACTCAACCCTTCCCAGAAAATAAATTCGAGACATATTTATTGCCAAGATCCAAAGAAAAAAATTTATTTACAATAGAGAATTTTCTTTGAAACATGCATTTCTTGTGTTTTAAAAAACAAATCAGCAAATGCAGATCAAGTTTACACTCCTTAAGGCAAGAGTCCCTACGCACGCTGTACATGTTCATATTAAATCCAAAAGCTGCTCACCCTGGGAACTTGTGTACAAAGGGCAAGGCCAAGGTCAGCAATGTGTCTTTTATTAGAGGATCAGACAATCTCCCTGATACAGGAACTCTGAGGTCAACTTGCTATGAATTATACTAGGAAAATGCAAACCAATAGCAAGAAATTCTGATAGTCTCCTTAGTACTGCATACAATCAAATCAACTTTATTTAGAAAGGAAATACAGTAGTGCATACGAAAAAGTGAAAACAGAACCTGTCCATGGAACTGGAGGAACAGCAGTGTGCCGACGGTCATATTGCACGCAACAGTTAAGTCCAAAACATTCGGTTCAGAGTTAGCTCTTCCCCATTTTGGCAATCAGTTCATCACAAATCTTGGTGAGTTCTTCTATTTCTTTGTTCTGCAAGTGTAGACAAGAAAGAAGTTGCTGATGTTTGAAATCTGGCCAATCAGAATGCTCATGGGGCTTTTTGGGGAGATGGGGGTCCACCAGGCCCCCTTGGTCCCACTGAAGTTATCTAAAGCAGTGAGACAAATGACTTGGAGCCAAATGATCCAAGTATATACATCCCGGCTGTAGCTGTGTGATCTTCCACAAGTTACACAACCTCTCTGAGCCTTGGTGTCTTTAACTCTAGAACGTAGGTGATAACATGTTTCTTTCTGAGAAGTAAATGAGGTGATAAATGTACAGTTTCCTGGCAGTGACCAGCACAGAGTGAAGGACTAACTAGTCTGGTTCATTTCCCTTTATCTGCCTGTGAAGGATGTGATCTGAGGTGAGGAGGTCTGGGGTAAAGTCCTCCGTGGTTTGAGACATAGCGTAAGGAGGGTTACGCAGTTCTGTGTGAATGGGATTGCTTGCATTGCTCAGAGACACGCCAAATAGGTGGTACTGGGGCTACAGGGTCAGCACGAGGGGTGGGGGCAGATGCAAGCTGGCTTTGCGGTGATTCTCCCACCACACCTTGCCTGTCTAATCAAGGGAACCAACCACAGATTTGTCTAGCACAGATGATCCTACACTGTCCATCTTCTCAGAAAGTGAGGGGATCCAGCAGGACGATCCCTCCATCACGGATGGTGTGGCTTTGCTTTCAGATAGGTTACATGCTGGCTCTGATGCTGATCAAGTTCAACAGCACAGGCCAGGCGCGGTGGCTCACGCCTGTAATCCCAGCACTTTGGGAGGCCAAGGCGGGCAGATCATAAGGTCAGGAGATTGAGACCATCCTGGCTAACACGGATCTTTAGAAACCTCATCTTTACTAAAAATACAAAAAATTAGCCAGGCATGGTGGTGGGCACTTGTAGTCCCAGCTACTCGGGAGGCTGAGGCAGGGGAATGGTGTGAATCCGGGAGGCGGAGGCTTGCAGTGAGCTGAGATCTCACCACTGCACTCCAGCCTGGGTGACAGAGTGAGACTCCGTTTCAAAAATAAAAATAAAAAAATAAAGTTCAACAGCACAACCAATCTCCAATGGCCTTTTCCGGGGGGCTGAATCGCTCCAGCATACTGGGGATGTTTTGCAGCCCGCTTTTCCTTGAGATTCCCGTGGAAGGTGAGTCTTCACCAAAAGCCTGTCCCTGAGGCTGTGCAGAGCCCTTCCCTGAAAACCTCAGAACTCCTGAGATATGTTCCAGCCCAGACCCACATGCCCTCTGTTCCTAGAACTCCTGGCGTCACTCATCATTGTGTCAGTGCTGGGGAAACAGTGGTTCTCTTCAGTGGAGGGGAAGTCACAGTCCTTCCAGCGGCAGTCCCTGCTGTGGGAGAAGCCTGCCTCGAACATAACCCCGGCCCACCTCCTGGCTCGAATTTGCATCTGAGGTCAACAACTCAAGAGAGGCGCTGAAAGGCCAGCTGGACGATGGGGCTCTGAATGGGGTACAGCATTGACCACTAATCTTAAAATTACTATTATTGGCCGGGCACGGTGGCTCACGCCTGCAATCCCAGCACTTTGGGAGGCCAAGGCAGGTGGATTACCTGAGGTCAGGAGTTCAAGACCAGCCTGGCCAACATGGTGAAACCCTGTCACTACTAAAAATACAAAAAATTAGCTGAGTGTAGTGGCACACACCTGTAATCCCAGCTACTAAGGAAGCTGAGGCAGGAGAATTGCTTGAACCTGGGAGGTGGAGGTTGCAGTGAGCTGAGATCGTGCCACTGCACTCCAGCCTAGGTAACAGAGACAGACTTCATCTCAAAAGAAAAAAAAAAAAAATACTATCATTGCCACTATGGCCCCTGCTGGGGCTGCTATCGCTGATTCTCCATCTCCTTGGAGTGCTCACCACGTGCTGATCACCATGCTAAACACACCCCAGGGACTCTGGCCGCCTCTGCTTCCCTCAACAGTGCCTTCAAGGAAGCCAGTATTATCCTCATTTTTTAGTGAGGAAATGGAGGCTCAGAGAAGTTAGGGTTGTGTATAAGGTCACACAGCCAGTCAGATGTGGCACGCCTGGAACACAAATTCAGGTTGACCCAGCTCCTATATGGCTTTGCCATTATAATTGTTAGACATCATGTACAGTGACTGATGGCTGACAGGCATCGGCAGACCCGTTAGAAAGTGATTTCTGGAGGTTTTCCAGGCTCTCTCTTGGCATCATCAGCCACCACTAAGCAAACTGCCCCAGCATAAAGCTCAGCTCATGGAGCAAAAGCCTTTACAAAGCGCTGATTGGGTGAAATGCCCAGCGCCTCCACGCAAGAACTGCCTGGGTGGATCATGTTTCTGAATCTCTTTAAGACGGGACTGTCCCCTAGATATCACTTAGGTCTTTCAGGGAAGAACCTGTGTAATTCGTTCATTCCTCTCAAAGTTTAGTTTAAGATAATGCAATTTAAACACAGGAAACGGGGGAACCATCTCAAACACACACATTGCTACATTTCTCACCAAGACACATTTTATGTTCAACTGCTGCAATAGCCACAGTGACTGTGAAGTACGGTTTTTATTTCTTTATTTTAGAGACGGGGTCTTGCGCTGTTGCCCAGGCTGCAATGCAGTTGGCTACTTACAGGCACAATCACAGCATGCTGCAGCCTCGAACTTCTGGGCTCCAGCAGTCCTCCCACCCCAGCCTCCCAAGTAGCTGGGACCACAGGCACATGCCAACACACCCGGCTTCTAATATGATCTTCATTTTAATGAAACATTCCATTTTTCAAGTCACCAAATATGCCACACATGGATTATCAACATACAATGAATAAAAAATGCACACTCAACACTAAAACCATAATGATGCTCAATAAATACTGGGTGGGTTCTCACTCATAGGTGGGAATTGAACAATGAGATCACTTGGACACAGGAAGGGGAACATCACACACCGGGTCCTATTGTGGGGAGGGGGGAGGGGGGAGGGATAGCATTAGGAGATACACCTAATGTAAATGACAAGTTAATGGGTGCAGCACACCAACATGGCACATGGATACATATGTAACAAACCAGCACGTTGTGCACATGTACCCTAGAACTTAAAGTATAATAAAAAATATATAAATAAATAAATACTGGGTAAGTGAGCAAAAACTTGCACTTGACAGTTGTGACCACACATCTCGTTCTGACTATACTGCTAAGAGCAATCAACGGAGCCTACGAAACAGAGGTGGCTGAATATATGCATATTCCAGACTATTTTTTAAATGCAATTTTGATATTAAACTGTCTAGTTGCCATCTGTCTTTTTCATCCTAAGAAGAAAGGTAAAGAATTAAATTAATGTCACACCTATAATCCCAACACTTTGGGAGGCCGAGACAGGAGGACTGCTTGAGCCCAGAAGTTTGAAGTTTAAGACCAGCCTGGGCAACAAAGTGAGACCCTGTCTCTACAAAAACAAAAATAAAAAAAATTAGGCTGGTAGGGGGCACTGTGGTCTCAGCTACTCAGGAGGTTGAGGCGGGAGGATCACTTGAGCCCAGGTGGTGGAGGGTGCAGTGAGCCATGACGGCACCAGCGCACTCCAGCCTGGGCAACAGAAAAAGACCCTGCCTCAAAAAAAAAAAAAAAAAAAGGAAAAGAATGATCTGTACCATGGTAACCAGGAACATTCTGTAGGGCACAGAGCCTAGTGGAGACTGGGTGAGTGTCAGATTGGACCTCAGGGAAATCCATCTGCCCAATGATACAGGCTTCAAATTTTCACGGCTAGAGGGAACCGAGACACTGAGGTAGGGTGCAAGGCTTGCCCAGGGCCATGACAGATGGTGCAGTGGGGCCAGGAACCCTGTTTCTTGCTCCCCAGGGCTCTTTCCCCAACATCACTAAGGTAGAGGGAGGGCTGGCACCTGCCCAGAGCAGAGATCACCACTGCTTGGCCCAAATGCCCCTCGAGACCACCACCAACCACAGTGGGCAAAGGAGGACAGTCAATCCCCTGGGGAGGCCACTCGGGAGGCACATGGATTCCTGATGCCAACAAAGGATGCCCCATCACTGCCTATCAAGGCCCAAAATGCACAAGTAGTGCTGCCAACCCAGGCTGCTGGGCTCGTGGATGATCATGCAGGGGGACCCCAAGGCTCAGGAAATTGACTAGAAGGAGGCTGCACATCTGGAAATCCTCTTCTTGAGAAACACATCCAAGGAGGGAGGCTGGCCCTCACCCACACACGCAGACTCAACAGCCCAATGCTCAGAGGGCCCTGCTGGGCTGAGGGAACTTCTTATCTGGACACCCAAGGAGACAGTGCTCACAGTGGATGACGGGTGCCAGATCCAAAAGCAGGAAACCTGCCCACAAGCTGAGTGTCCTCGGGAAGATCACCCCTGTCCCTAGAGGCCCCCTGGGCGCCCTTCCAGCCCTGACACTGCCCTTGTTCTGCATCAGCTGGCCGTCGCTGCCAGGACCTGGTGGGCACCCCATTCACTCACCAGTAAACATGCTGGATCCAGGGGTTCAAGGGCTACGCCTAACACACTGTAGGCGCTTAATAAATATCCAACAAATGAATGAATGTTGGAAAGGAATGAAAATGGCAGTAAACACACATGGAGGCTGCAATTCCAGGAATGGTGGAGAGGAAGCTGGTCTCAGGGCTGGCATGAAATTGGAACTTCTAGAAGGAGCCAAGGGTGTGCGCATGAAGCATGAACTCGTCTTCAGGAGCAGCAGTGGCCAGGGATGCCCAGCCTGTCTATCTGGACTGGCCAGCAGCACAGACAGCAGCAGCCCGGCCCACCTGGAGGCCACACCCCTCCCGTTACCTTCTGCTCCAGCGTCCTTTCCAGGGCATCCACTCGCAGCTGCTCCTTCCGTAGGCTGGCCTGGTGGGCGGCTTGCTCCTGCTGGGCCTTGCCTCGAACCTGAGCAATCTCAGCATTGGCCCTGCGGAGACAGGGAGCTCAGAATTATCATTCTTTTTTGTGGATCACTAGAGACACCTCCTGCTTCCCAGCTCCAGGCAGGGAGAGTGGCCTGGTCTGGCTCCAGCTCCCACCAACTGGAGCTGGAGCACAGGAGCCCATGAGAACACCAAACCCAATTCCATTGCTATGAGGCCAAGGTGCCGGGGCACCCTGGACATTGCAACATGCATCCTCCACTGATTAAATGATGCTAACCGTGTGTGCCTTCTCACGAGTCTTACTGAAACACACACTTGGATGACTCCCCCTTTCCAAGCTAATGTCACAGGTGCTGCCAGAGGTCCCAGCCTGCCTGGGTAAGGGCTGCTGGGAGGCCCCTGGGAGCCACCCCCAGTGGCTAATGTTACCTGTCCAGTTTCTCCTCTGCATGCACCTTCAGGGCCTGGTACCTCTGCTCCTCCTTCTTCACTCGGGACAGGTACTCCTGTGCACACCTCTTCAGCACCTCTTCATTCTGACACGGCAGGGCAGAGGACAGGCATCAAGCCCACGAGAACAAATGCCCGGGAGTGGTGGGAACCTCCATGAACTCTCGGATGCGGGTGTAACCCCAGGCAGCCAAGGCTGCCTCCCCAGCCTGCATGGACCCCCTCCTTGCAGGTGGCTCCAGACCGACTTCCGGAACCCCACCCCCACCCAGTGCTCTCCGCAATCTCTCCCAACCAGATCCTCCTCCTCCATCGTCCCCAAACTCAGCCCCACCTTGCGGAAGCCTTCCAGGACCTCCTTCATCTTCTCATATCTCCTGAAGAGGTCGGCCAGAGACTTCTCCACGGAGTTCAGGTCAGCCAGGGCTTGCTCCTTCTCCAGAACCAGCTGCTGCACCGTCTGGTGGGAGACTGACTTCTCCCTCTGTTCGTCCTCTGGCAGGAGAGACCAGGAACCAAATGATGGAGCCCAGAAAGTCGAAACTGGGTCTCTGGGGCCAGCCAAGGCCTCAGATGCAACTCAGCCTCACTGGCAGGGACACCTCAAATCCCAGCTTTTCCTTGGGACGAACCCACGCCCCAGAGCCCTCCCAGACTGTCTCTAACAGAACAAAACCCAGCGCCCCGGCTTCCCAGACCCGGGCCTGTGCAGCCTCGCGTGAGGAAGAAATGAGCCATCACTATTCCTTAACCTGACCAGCGCAGCCCCTACACAGGTCTATATTGGTGTCCCTGGTGATTCCATGTGGTTGCTGACAGCAAGCAGACAGATCCATAAAGTAAAAAAGAAGACATCGCTAGTGAACTTTGTGTTAGGACGATTAAAGGGTGTGAGGTCTGGGCTGTGAGGGGTGGGCTCTCCTACGTATCAGGACAGAGAGGAGGTCTTTGGAGATCCTTAACACATCTGGAAACCCAGAGCCCAAAAAACCATCTCCTCTGAAATTCCATTCACACAGGCACAGATAGCGTCTGCAATACAGCAAGTGTCATAACTCCAAGAAACATGGAGCTATTTCCATCAAGGTTAGTTTCTCAGTGATGTACAATGTAACTCAATGTCAGCCCAGTTCCGAGTGGCTGATCCTGGTGAGAGGCACCATTGTCCTCTGCCCCACCTCTCTGGCCCGTGGCCATCCCAAGCTAATCATCTGCACCAAATATCTAGAAAATATGTATTTTTAGATTTGGGGCACATACGCAGGTTGTACATGGCCATACTGTGTGACTGACACTGAGGTATGGGCTTCTAATGAGCCTGTCACCCAGGTACTGAGCAAAGTACCTGAAAGGCAGTTTTTCAACCCTTGTCCCCCTTCCTCCCGCCCCCACTGTGAACTCCCCAGTGTCTTCTGTTCCCATCTTCGTGTGTGTACCCAATGGGTAGCTCCCTCTTATAAACGAGAATGCACAGTGTTTGGTCCTCTATTTCTGCATTAATTCCCTGAGGACAATGGCCTTCAGCTGTGTCCACGCTGGTACAAAGGACATGGCTTTGCTCTTTTTTATGGCTGCTTAAAAATTCATTTCTACACTTATGGAAAAGGCCTTCTCTGACTACTCTACACAAAACACCCATCTGTCCTCTGTGTGGATCCATCCCTGGCCCAGGCGTGTGAGGAACCATTTGCTCTCTTGGTGACAGCAGAGGGGGTAAGGGAGAAGCGCCCACTCAGAGCTCCCGGGGAAGGAGCTTAGCAGACCCGTCTTTCTGCCAGGCCCTGGTCACCAGGGAGGGGGCTGCCCGCCACCTGGAATGACTCCGAGGGCTGGCTGCTGCAGACACATCACATCTGGAAATCACAGAACAGCAGCCGCCAGCGCTGACTGGACCCTTCCCTGCGGCGGGCGCCCTGCTGACTGCTCTAGGTGTTGACTGTCCCTAAGCCAGCACTCAGCAGCCAGACCGAGCTTCCTAATGTGCACACCAGACCACCTCACTCCTGCTCAGAGTCCCCCGGTGACCTCCCTCTGCAATGGAAATAACATGCTCTGCCCTGTATCCTTCCCGGCCCCTCCGCTCCAGCCATGAAGGCCTCCAACGCCCCGGGCTTCCAGGCTTCCCCAACATTTTGCTCAGGGCTCTTGATCCCGTGTCACCTCCCCAGAGGTGCTGGAAATGGCTCCTCTTCCTCTAGAGTCCTTTATTTTCCTCTTTGCAGCGGCAGCCACCCCTTATATCGGATGTGTGCACGCATGCGTGCATGTGTGTGCATGTGTGCCCGTGCTAGTGTATCGGCGGCTCATCTCCCCGATGAATGCACGCTCTGTGAGGGCAGGCACCAGAGTCTGTTTTGTCCACTTGCTCTGCCCCAGGGCCTAGGACAGTGCCAGGCATAGAGGATGTTTTGATACATGTCCATGCGACGAGTGAACGACTTAGAGCATCACAACCACCCGGGCAGCTTTTTCTTACCCTCATTTTACAGAAGGTGAAACAGGGTTTGAGAAGCTAAGTCACTGTTCACTGAGAAAATGACAGAGCCCGAACCCAAGCCTGAAGCTGTGATCATAACCACGTCTCTCCACGGGCCCCTTGTAATGACAGACCTTGTAGGATGCAGCTCCCTTAGTAGCAGGGAGATTTTGTGTGAGTTCTTTTCCCTTAGGTTCCGGACAGATCTGCATCTTGCCACACCCCAGAACTAGGCGCACTGTTACCGTGTGCTGCGGTCATTTCCTCAGTTTCAGCTCCGGTCCTGACATAAGCTTGCTCTAAAGTTCTGACCTCTTGGGGTCCCAGTGCATCATTTCCAACAACTCTCCCATGTGAGCATGGATTTATTCAGCTGAAAGGCTTGTTCACATGCAGGCTGCTACACCTCACCCCACGGCGTGAGATTAGGAGGTCTGGGGTGGGGCAGAGAATATGCACAGGTCACAAGTTCCCGAGTGACACAGATGCTGCTGGGGCAGGGACCCTGCTTGGAGAACCACTGGCCCTGAAGATGCCGAATGTCCCTCCCACCTGCCTCTGCAATCGTGGGACTCCTAGAGCTCTCACTACCAGCAGCCCAGAGCTGCCCAAGCCAGTGGCTAGGAGCCTCTGCAGTCTGACGGCCTGGGTTCGAGACCTCACTCTGACACTTCCCATACGCGAGATCTTGAGCAGGGTTTTAAACTCTGAGTCTCAGCCTCCTTGTCTAAAATAGGGGAAAAGAGTATTTATATCTCTTTGCATTTGCAGATTAAATGAGAAACTGTACATAAAGCCCTCAAGAAGGAGGAAGAGTCCCGTATTGGTAACCCATTATTAAGAGCCTCATTGTCCATAATAAACTCTGTAACCCCTGGAATCAGTGCAACAGTGTCACAGTGGCTTGCGAAGAGGGAGCTTTTTAACATAGACATAAGAATCATCAGCAACCTGCTTGCTCCACCCACACTCCTAAAAAAAAAAGGGCCTTTCAACATGTCTCTAGTAATCAAATGCTTGTTTTTATTCTTTGAATTCTGGCTGCTTCCTTAGTTCCCAGCATGCTGTATGGTGTATATTCTGGGCTGATTTGAGCCCATGTGTATGTTTCACCTGCCTTGGTAAAGGAGCTGTTTACCAAACCAAGTCCATCTGATTTCCTGGATCCAAGACTTTGCCTGCCTCAGGTTTCCTTTCCTCTTCCCTTTTAAAAATAGAATTACCCCGTTCCCAGGAGACAGAGGAGGCAAGAATGCTTCACAAATCTTTCTGTACATGACGAATGCAGTTAGGTTCTTGAACTCAGGAGAAAGACGCCCTACACTCAACAACAGAACAATGCTCCTGAAGACCTGCCTGGCTTTTTCAGGCAAAACATTATGAAATCATGTTGGGGGGATGCAGCAATACACAAAGCAAAAATAACAAAATAGAAAAACAAACAAACAAAGGGTTGCGATGGGCAGGTGTCAAATTAGGGGGAAAAGCGTTTACTTACCAGGCTTGCCTGTTTGTTTTGCAAGCAAAGGGCAAGAAGCAACAGAAAATGGAAGCAAAACAGATAATCAGGGCAGTTGTTAGAAAAGCAGAAAGAAATCAATTGCAACAACCTGGAATGCAGAAAGCACAGAAGTCTCTTTTCGTTCTGAATTCTGAATAGTCACTATTTGAGCTTAACAAGACAGATCCTCTCCAGTAACATTTGATGCGAATGAGTAACAATGGCAGGACTGATGTCACACTGGTGTGGAGCATCTGCGAAAGCTGAATGGAGCAGAGCCAGGAAGAGCTAGCACATGTGGGCCAGAGCTGGTTTGACTTCAAAATACAACTACAGTCACGGTGGTCCTGAACTGCCAATCTCTCTGGACCTGAGTTTCCTCTTTCGCGAGGGATGCTGGTTAGGTGAGTGAAAATGGAAAGAAAAGCATGGAACAAAAATGGGCCTCCTGGGCATGTGGCCAAGCATGGAGAGACCCTGACGTGAACCATGCCACAAAGAAGGCACGTCCTTCCCACAGCTACAGTGAGTCCCAGTCATGCCTCAGCCCCCTGCCGTCTTCTGCAAGGACACAAGGACCTTGAAATCTATGGTGGCTTTAGTCAATGACCTGCAACAGTGGCTGAATGACAACCACAGGCCTGCCACCTTTCTGATGAAAAAACCTTGGAATGACAAAGAGGACGGCCAATGGGTGAATGAGGATGGGGATCCGGGAACGGACAGACAGTGAGATGCCCCTCTGTGGCTGCTCCCAGCCAGGGACACTGGAGGAGTCTCACGGGGCCACCCAGAGAGTAGCCCAAGGACAGGAAAATGCTCTAAGGGATTGTGTGTACAGCTCTTGAAGACAGGGCCCTTAGGCCAAACATATCGGGTCTGGGAGCAGGGGTGGGGATGGGGGGTGATGTGTCGCCCTAATCCCTGCAGCCAGGGTGAGAGGAAGGCAGGTGGCACTCTCTCCAGGGCTTGGAGGGAACTCACACTGCCTAGGATTGAAAAGGTCCTCACTGCTGTCACCTGCAGATATTCCTTGAGGAAACCGTGGGAGTCATCTTTCTGTCATGACAAGGACAGAACATTTATGCCAACTAGAGAAATTCTCCACTTTTAATTTTCAAGAGGGAATGTCTGTTTATATCAACTTCACTAGCCGAGCAATAAAAGATGGCTTGGGTAGCCTTCCCTCAGGAGCAAAAGCTCACACCCCTTCCCCCGCATTTCAACATTTATCAAAATGTCATCACCAAGGGCAAAAAGAAGTGTACGGCTCTGAGATGGAGCGGGACGTTTCCAGATGAGCCATGGAGGGCCTGAGCGATGTTCTCAAATCGCAAGACTCTCGGAGGCCAAAAAGTTGTGTTCTACTTGCCAAACACGGCATAAGGAAGACATCAATCCCTCAGCCTGACCATTTTTGCCAGCATTTTCAACTCCAAGAGCTTTTTCTTTATCTTATCCATATGTGTTCATAAATTCTTATACCAATTTAATAAAGAAGTTTCACTTTGATAGAAAGCATGCACCATGAGGCTAAACCTGAATGGGCTTCTTTTCTGGGTGAAATGAACTTTGTTACAATAAATCAAAAGTGAAGCTCCTTTGAATGGAAAGCACTCAATTGCTGGCCTCTTCACCATTCCTGATGCTACTATTATATTCATCTTGGGACAAGCTAGAGGTGTGATGTGACTCACACATCCATATATTTGGGGCCGAGGGCCAGGTGCCAGCACAGTGTCAAGTTTGGACAAATAAAGTGTGGTCTGCAGTGACCTGGAGTTTTTACTCCATATATCCTTAGAAGAAAAAAAAAACTGCTTATCGGGTCGGGCGCAGTGGCTCATGCCTGCAATCCCAGAGCTTTGGGAGGCAGAGGCAGGTGGATCACTTAAGGTCAGGAGTTCAACACCAGCCTGGCCAAAATGGTGAAACCCCGTCTCTACTAAAAATACAAAAATTAGCCGGGCATGATGGCAGGTGCCTGTAATCCCAGCTACTCAGGAGGCTGAGGCAGGAGAATCACTTGAACCCGGGGGGTGGAGGTTTCAGTGAGCCGAGATCACGCCATTGTGCTCCAGCCTGGGCGACAGAACGAGACTCCATCTCAAACAACAACAACAACAAAACCGGTTATCATGGGCTGGGCATGGTAGCTCACACCTGTAATCCCAGCATGTTGGGCGACCAAGGCAGGAGGATCGCTGAACCCCAGAAGTTTGAGACCAGCCTGGGCAACGTAGCAAGACCTCATCCCCAAATAAACAAACAGTGGATTATCATAAACCTAAGCAAATAAATAAATAAATAAATAAAAGCATCCCACAGCCCCAGTCATAATATGATTTCTGAATAGTGACCATTAGCATAAAAACTTGGGCTTGGAACTTCTGAAAGATCTTTTCTCATTATTTAAAAAAAGAAAAGAAAAGAAAAAAAGGCCCAGGCGTGTGTAGCTTATAACTTGAGGCCTTCTTTTATTGTGGACCACAGCAAATTTGTCAGTACTGGCTGCCAGGGACGCTGCGTTAAGAAGGATTCCAAGGCAGTGTCTAATCTCAGTGAGAAACAGTGCTGGGGTCAGTGAACAGGGCCTGTTGTGGTCACGGGAAGAAGGGGGCGGACAATCATGCCATGGCTGACCGTCCTCGTCCTTGGGTCCTTGAGGAAAGGCTGAGTCGGGTATTTTGTCATTTGAGTCTAAACTAAGTTAGGGTCTAGGGATTTGATTCCTATTCTCTCCCACAAGCAAAAAGAAAAAAATCCCCCAAATATCCCAACCAAAAGGAATCTCTTTCCCCATGAGGTGGAGAGTCCTTGGCTGGGTCAGATGGTAGCTGGCAGGTGACTGCCATGGCTTCCCAGGCGTGTGAATAATGCTACAGCACAGTCCAGGGGGGCGTTTCCAAGAAGCCCCAGGGTCTCGGTCCTGTGGCAAAGCCATATTTTCTGGAATGCTCTGGTCCCTCCCTGAAAGACTTCACGCTCTACCAGAAACCCACTCTGAGCCTCCTATCTTCCAAGGCTTCCACATAGTTCAGAAACGTCAGGGCCGGCCTGAGCCCCCGCAGGTCAGGACACCTACCTATCATCTGAGCGATGGTCTTCTCATACTCGGCCACTATTTTCCTATAAGAGAAGTAAAGACACGTTGGAGTCATGACAACAGAATGGTTTCCCATCTCACACAGCTGGGCACCACAGCCTGGCCCATGTGCAGCGGGGTCCCGACTTTCAGGGTCACCTTCAATGTCAGTCCTCGCCCTGCACGCTCATTTTCCTGGTGCATGACTCTAAATATGCCACCCCCTTGTGCAAAGCCTTCAACACCCCTCACTGCCCACTAAGAAAAAAATCAAACCAGGCAGAGTGGTGCATGCCTGTAGTCCCAGGTACTGAGAAGGCTGAGGCAGGTGGATTGCTTAAGGCTAGGAGTTTGAAACCACCTTGGACAACAGAACCAGGTCCTGCCTATACAAAAATGAAAAAAAATTAATGAGGCATGGTGGTGTGTACTTGTACTCCTAGCTACAGGTTTGCCTGAGTCCAAGAGTTTGAAACCAGCCTGGGCAACATGGTGAAACACCATTCCTACAAAAAATACAAAAATTAACCAGGTGTGGTGGTCTGCGTCTGTAGTCCTAGCTACTCAAGGGACTAATGTGGGAGGATCACTTGAGCCCAGGAGTCTGAGGCTGCAGTGAGCTATGATCACACCACTGTACTCCATCGTGGGCAACAGAGTGAGATTCCATCTCCAAAAAAATTTTAAAATTAAAAATAAAGCCAAACCTCCAGTCCGACAATGGAGGTCTTTGCAACCTGGGACCAACCTCCCTCATCCATCTTACCTCCTTCCACGCCATGTCATGAACACAATGGCTCAATGAGAACAAATGATTTCTTGTTTGCTCTCGGCCTTCTCATCCCCATGCCTCTGCCCATGTTATTCACTTTCTCTCGATTTCTACCCCTCACCGTCTGTTTCTCAAGGTCCAATTCAAATGCCATCTCCTTCAAGAAGCCTTCCTTGATTTCTCCTTGGAACCCTATCACCTTTTATCTGCATCTTCTTCCAAAGCATCTCATGCATCTGGCATCACTGAACACAAATCTTATCTCCTATTGACCCAGAGTAAACTTCCTGGGAAGCCTCAATAGACAATAGCTGCACAAAAGCACCAAGACTCCCTGTTTGTCATACTGCCTCCCAGCTGTCCCCACATGGAAGAACCGATGTGTGAAGAAGTCCTTCCTCCAAAGCCAATCTGCTGGAAGAAACTTCTCAAAAAGAATCAGGAGTTCATCGACATTATCCAGTAATTATTCCCCACAAGAGAACCAAGAGCGGGTAACTGTTGAAGATCCAGGACCCTAATGACAGAAGACCATAGAGACCCCCACCCCAGTCAGGAGGCCTGGGCTCCCGCTGAGCTTGCCCCTCCCCACTGTGTGACCCTGAGCACGACATTCATTGAAGTTGCAGGTGCTCTGCTTACTCCTTGGTACAGTAAGGATTTTCCTAGACCCCACCTTTCGGGGCTGTATGGCAAATTCAATAAGGGTAAAAGGAATAATGAAAGTAGAATACATTCTGCAAAGTCTAATGCTGGGTGCCTGTCCTTGGCTGCTCAACCTTGGTCCCAAGGTCAGTGTCTCACCCCAGAATGGACTCCCAAGAAAGGTAACCACGAGATGAGCCCCCGAGGGTTCTTACCGAATCCTACACAGAAACACTTCTGTGTTTCCTGTCATTAAACAACACCTCCTTGCATCTCAGAATCACAAAGCTGTGACAGATCTTTGAGGCTGCCCTGTCTAAACCCATCACTGCTGAGGACACAAGGAGGTAAGGGATGTGTCCTTTTGGAAGTGTGGAGAGACCAGGGACCTGAAAATACCTTAGCTGTGCTGTCTTTTCACTTTACCCTCACAATGACCCTAAGAGGCAGTGCTCTCACTGTTCCCAGCATGACTGATGAAGACACTGGGGTGGGGTAAGAGTGATTCAGAAACTCTTCCAGGATCCCAAGGCTGCCAAGTGGCAGAGCCCAGATGTGAGTCCGAGCATCAGACTCTGCAGCCTTTGTTCATAATCTTTCTGCTCTACTCTGTTGAGGCATTGTTATTTACCCCCATTTTCAAGTTAATAAGCAAAGTGAGGCACAGAGTTAAGTAAGACGCCCCGGAGTGGCTGGGAAGCAGAGCCTGGTTTTCACCTAGTCTAGCTCCAGAGGCTGACGGGCTGACGTTCGGGCTATCAAACGCCGGCACATCTGCGCCAGCTGGTGACAACTTGAAATCCTACCACATCAGCTAGTAAATGGCACCTCCTGGGGGCACCTCAGTGGCACGACTTCTCAAACCACAAACAAGCACTCCCCGGGCACCAAGAAGGCAAAGCACCTAGGAGGCGAAAGAAATTAGACAGCACTTCCAGCCTTCCTGGGTGCCGTGCCTCATTTTCAGTGCACGTGAAAAAACTAGAGCCACCCATGCCCCCCAGATAAGAGACAAAACAAAGAGGTTTAAAAATAACGCAAATGCAGGGCTTTCGTTTGAATGTGAAACAGTACACCAGGCTCAGTGTCCAGAGGTGGCCACAGGGGACCATCAGCAGAAAGAAGGAGAATTTTCAGGAAGATCCTACCATGACCTAGAAAATGGGATATGATTACCTACAGTTCGCTTTCTTCTTAAAATGGTAGCCAGGAATGCAATTGATTTTGATAATAAACTAGTATCGGGGCCAGGTGTAATAGCTCATGCCTATAATCCCAGCACTTTGGGAGGCCAAGGCGGGCGGATCACCTAAGGTCAGGAGTTCAAGACCAGCCTGGCCAACATGGTAAAACCCCATCTCTACTAAAAATACAAAAAAAATTAGCCAGGCATGGTGGTAGGCGCCTCTAATCCCAGTTACTTAAGAGGCCGAGGCAAGAGAATCGCTTGAACCCAGGAGGCGGAGGTTACAGTGAGCCAAGATTGCGCCACTGCACTCCAGCCTAAACAACAAGAGCGAAACTCTATCTCAAAAACAAAACAAAACAAAACAAAACTAGTTATCTGCCATTATACTCACGTACACTATAGATGGTGGCTATATTTCTATTACAATATACCACAGTGAAAATAAATCATTTAAGCTAAAGTCAGGAAACATCCTAAATGTTTGTCCACAGAGACTGTTTAAATTAATTATGTTATATCTATACAATGGACCACTAAGCACCTGTTAAACAGAATGAGGCAGAGAGGAATAAAATATGTCGAAGATACGTTATTAAATGTAAAAAGTGTGGTGGGCCAGGAGCGGTGACTCATGCCTGTAATCCCAGCACTTTGGGAGGCTGAGGCAGGTGGATCACCTGAGGTCAGGAGTTCAAGACCAGCCTGGCCAACATGGTGAAACCCTGACTCTACTTAAAATACAAAAAATCAGCCAGCTGTGGTGGCAGGCACCTGTAATCCCAGCTACTCAGGTGGCTGAGGCAGGAGAATCACTTGAACCTGGCAGGGTTGGAGGTTGCAGTGAGCCGAGATGACACCACTGCACTCCAGCCTGGGCAACAAGAGTGAAACTCCATCTCAAAAAAAAAAAAGAAAGAAAAAAATATTAAAAAGAGTGTAGAATAATGTATACTGCATGTTCTCATTTGTGTTGGAGAAAAAAGAGGCTGTTTACACTCATTGTTACATTTGTGATGAGAAATGGAAAATTCTTGGAAGGATTCACACAGAAGATAGTCACCTGCGGCTTGTGGAACTGGAGGCTGAGTGGGGAGAAGATCTGTTTTGCATTGTACCTATATTTATTTGAATGCATTACTTAATTCATGGGCAGGCTATTTTAGTATTAGTAATAGAGTAAAAATTATTTTAGAAAAATATGAACCGTTTGTAATAAAGAAGAGAGAACTTCCACAGAAGACACTCTTCTGTGAACCACACCAGCTCCAGTCATTATTAAACCACTGGTAAGCATCCCTCAGGCATGAGGAAGGCCCAGCTCCCCAACTGACCTCATTTCCATCACTTCCCGCCTGCTTTCTTCGTATTTATCTTTCCATTCTGAGACCTCTCTCTCCTTGGTTATGATCTAGTTTCAGGGAGAAGAAGACAAAGGTTAGCCCCAGATGAGTGAATTCGGCTCTGAGCAATTCATCGATCAAGAAAAGGAGACGGTGAATAAATGTGAAATGAAAACTTCCTATGACAAACCATAATTACATTCAGAGAACTTCCCTGAGCATAAAAAAGAAAGCAGCGAGATATCAAGACTTTCACAGTGCCCACTGGGGAGCAACTGAAAGGGGCATGCTTTTTGTTGTAAATTCAACAAGGCCAAAAGGCCCATTACACGATAGTGTCTAGGAAGATCAAAACACACGGTTCGCCATACATCTTTGCCTGCAGCGTTCAGAGGACAAAGTCTGTCTCCAAAGACTCTAGCTTTGTGGACCACGGGCATACGTGTTTATTTCTAAGTGGCAGGAAGAGGGTAATCACACCACATGCCACGATACCTCTGCTCTGGCAATCTGGAGGGCAGAGTCCAGGTCGGGCTGCTGGAACAGAAGGCCTGCAGGTTTCTCCACCTCGGCGGTCCCAATGCGGGAGTACAAGGCTGTTTTGGAGATGGAGACGTCTGTTGGGTGAGCAGCCTCTCTCTGTGGAATGGTTTTTAATTTAAAAAAAAAAGTTAGCATTAATCATATAACAAAGAGGATTACACTCACCCTCTCATGAATGGGCCAGTTGTATGGTTTTGAAACAAAGAACATCAAAAGTATGAGAAAGTGCAGAGACTGATGAACAGGGAAATGCCGAGTCTAGTCTAGGGATGGAGATCTATCATTCTGCACCTGGGCAGGCAGACAAAGGGGCTAATGGCAGAGGCCCCCGCAGCTCCGAGGCCTTAGAGTCCAGCGTGTCTGGTACCTGCTTATCTCTGCCATTTATCACACGCTGAGCCACTTAGGCACAGCGCCTGAGAACCCAGGGCACTATTCAGCAGGCTCCACTTCCAAAATGAGATCTCAATGGTGAATAACATTGAATTCTAGTCTACTAGTCTACATTTGCCTAGTTTTGAATAACCACAGATTTGATCACTTTTGTAAGACTGTTTACATTTCAATTTTGGGGCCATTTGTTTAGCTCTGTTTGAAAGGATGTGAGTCACACAAAGCTTAGGGCCTACGGTAGTTGTCAACCAATATCACCTTTGGCTAGGTAGAGTTTCTGGATGTAAGAGTTATGTTGGAGTTTTGTTGCCATGAAGTCTGTTATGTAAATGGGAAAATTAAAAACTGGGTCAATGACAATATCCACATTTGCTGATTAGACCCCGAACAAGTGGTGTGATCCACCACCCCAACCCACCCAACTGATGTTGGTTTGAGGCTTTACAGCCTGTTGTGGAGAACAGATACTAGCCTCCCAGAGGTGAGGAGGAGTCTGTGGTTATTCTTTTTCCCTTTGCACAAAATGCTCGGCAATTTGCAACACAGTTGAAATGCGGTGTTAGCAGTATCATCGACCAGCACAGCCGGGTTGTCAGTCTACTTCTACTGCAAAAGAAACATCAAACCAATCACACTCTCAGTCCTATGCATTAACCTTGTGGTGCTGTCATGGCTGCCCAGCGACCCTCTATCCTAGTTATCAATAATAGAGTGCTCTAACAGGCAGAGAAGGACTGCTTCTTCCTTTGGGAAATTATGAGAAGAAATTGAATGGTGAAAGGCCACCACAGTGTAGTAGAGAAAAGGAGATTTGGGGAAAGAATGATGAGGGCTTATCAAGGACAGCAGGTAAGATTAAAGAGTCAACAGTAACTGGGAAGGGGGAGGACCTAAAGGTACCTGTCCAGAATTTGTCTCTTCCACCACAAGAACAGGCATGCCTACCCTATGACAGCATCAGGGAAAATAAACCCGAGAAGGGAGACAGCGTAGAAAACTCAAGGAGTTTAATGGATAGGACGGAGATGACTGAGTTAGGACCAGTTAGTTAGCTGTATACATGCAGGGTGAAACTACATAGTTTCAGTTGTTCTGGAAGAGAATGTCTGTTGCCTGGGTTTCATGGCCCCTGCCCGGCCTTGCATACTTGGGGTGACCCTGAAGCAGGACCCAAATGATCCACCGGCCAGAGATGGAAGTACACAGTCTCCTTCAAGCAGACCCCAGAGACTCACTCATGTGAGAACAGGGCAGGCTCAGGCCTTCAAGAAGCCCCCGTTTCAAGGACGCTTGACCAGAATACACATTAATAGCCCTCAGCAGAGGCAGGCTGACCTCCCAGAACCAAGGGCACCACCAGGCCACAGGGCCAGAGCCTCTCACAGGCAGGGGTTTATCTCTACTCTTTGAAAATGGTTTTCACAGTTCTGCTTGTCATGGGGGAACTTCTCAGGAAGTAGTTGAAAAATGACACAGAGATTGAGACTCAATATTTGTCCTTATGGAGAAAGTTCATAAACACACAATTCCGAAAACAATTCTGGGCCGCGTGCGGTGGCTCACTCACACCTGTAATCCCAACACTTTGGGAGGCTGAGGTGGGAGGATCCCTTGAGGCCAGGAGTTTGAGAACAGCCTGGGTAACATTGTGAGACCCCATCTCTATACAAAATTTTAATAAAAAAAAATTGAGGGTCAGTTGCAGTGGCTCACACCTGTAATCTGAACACTTTGGGAGGCTGAGGCAAGTGGATCACTTGAGGTCAGGAGTTCAAGACCAGCCTGGCCAACATGGCAAAACCCTGTCCCTACTAAAAATACAAAAATTAGCCGGGCATGGTGGTGCATGCCTGTAATCCCAGCTACTCAGCAGGCTGAGGCAGGAGGATTGCTTGAAACCCAGGAGGTGAAGGCTACAATGAGCTGAGATCATGCCACTGCACTCCAGCCTAGGTGACAGAGTAAGAGTCTGTCTTTAAAAAAAAAAAAAAAAGATAAAGGATTTTAAAAGGAAAAACAAAACCTGTTCACTTTTAAAGTCAACAAGTGTTTTTTTTTTTTTTAATGAGCAGTAAAATTTCAAAATGAAAACAACATCAGTCACCATTAAACTCAGCGTGGACCTTCTGAAGACGAATGTAATGGAGAATCTCAGTGACTGGGCCGCAAGGTTTCCCAGAATGAGATTCAATTCTGATCAAAATAAGCAGGCTCCCTGCAGCGCAGGAGAAAATTGATTTAATTAAAACTAACTTTATCATACTGGGCAGAAACTAAATATGACTAATGAAGGAATTAATTATCTTTATGCTGCCTAAAATCCTTTGTAAAATAAGAAAGGGAATGAAAAAAATCAATAAAATAATGAGGTTTCTAAGAAAATGCAAACGGACACTACCATGTAGACTGTTCACTGACCCCTTCATCCCGGCCACCTGGTGTTTTCAATAAAGGAACAGATGACTTCAGAGCCCTCTTGAATTACTGCCCGAGTATCTGCGTGTTGATGAAATTCATCATGTACACGCTGGTTTCCCCTTACAACCAAGAATTGTTTTTAACTGAAATTAATAGCTTTGTCTGCCGCTGATATTTTTAGATTAAGCTTTGTTTCTCTCACATAATCCTCACTTGCTACTTTAGAGGGGCCAAAAAAGCCACTAGAATCACAAATTGAAATGTGAAATGGCTGTGACACAGAAGGCATGGACTTTGTAACCAATTTCCAACCTTCACTCCACTCAAGTCCCGCGACCTGCGAGAACCTCTGGCCACTGTCTCCTGCTTCAGACCTGCAGGCTGTGCCTGGGGTCCTTCCTGCTGGCAGCTGGGGGTGGGGTCCTAGCCCCCTTGTGGACGGTTCCCTGCTGCCAGACATGGAGAGGAGGGGCTGGCACTGTGGCAGGATCCCTGTCCCCTGGAGCAGAGAGAGGCCAATTCTGGGCAGAGCACCTGTACATCCGAGGCTGGGAGAGCCATGCCAGAGGGGCCACGGAGGGGTGAGGCCAGGAGTCAGGATGAGCTAGGGAGATGACAACCACCTGGACCAAGGCCACGGTGCATGGACACAGGCCTGGCGCTCAGAGGGTGTCCAGGTCATGTGCTGCCACCCAAGCAGGAGAGTGGCCTCCGCCGGGTGCTGCCCCATCCAGTTCTGACCACAGGCGGTCCCCAAGCCCAGGAGGAGTGGGGATCATGGGGAGGCACTCAGCATCAGGCCTTATGCCACTCCCACAAGTGGCACCACTGGCACCAGCCAGCCGCTCCCGCTTACCAAGCCAAGACATAGCCTCCAGGCAATGACCACAGATGCTCCAAAGGGCCAAATACACAGGCGCTCGTGAATTGGTACTTGTCACTCCTCTCAGGCTGTTCTCGTGGCTTTTGGGCATCACATCTCCCTCCTTTTGAATCTCAGCTCAATGTGTGTGTATGGGGGGTTAGTCTGTGACACAGCAACAGAGAGGGAAACACGGAGCATGGTGCCAGGCTGCTCAATGACAACACAGGTGGCCCCAACTCCTTCTGCTCATGTAAGCTCCAGACATCAGCCTCTTCTAGGCCAGGACTGAGGGGCCACACCACTCTACCGCCCCGGGGGCCTCTTACTAGGACTCGCCCCTTCCTGAAGCTTGTTATTTGTATGGTCTTGCTCCTAAGGGACCCAAACACATCCTTCCATCTTTCTATTGGGTCCCCCTAATCCGGAAAGGCCCATAGCCTGCGCCTCTTGGCGAGGCACCCAGACACAACATTCAGGTTCCATCTGACGTGACTGAGTGTTAAATTCAGGGCTCCTGCACCACAGTTCCAGCGACCTTGGTCAGGTTCACCCCCAGGAGGACACAGCCGAATTCCATTTGACCAGAAGGATGTGGAAGGACGGTAATAGTAAGACTGCAGCCTGACACCCCAGCCCTTAAGGACTTTTCCTCATTTCTCACATTTTCTAACTGAGATGGAGAAACCCCCACTGCAGCTCTTCCAAGGCTGACTCAGCTCTCCATCAGTCTAAAGAGAAATGGAAGTCAAAGCTGCTTTAGGGAACAACCGGAAAAATCACTCCCCACTCTAGCTCATGGTGATTTTCATCCATGCAATATGATATTTTTCGTTCCAAGTGATTTCATCTTTGTGTTAGCAACAGCTTAAGACCATGTTGGCAAAATGACGGAGCTGTGTCACCTACTGCTGAAATATATGGCCAGAAAAAAAGGCAAATTGGATACACAGCTGCTGTTTTCTCTTCCTATGCATCAGCAGTTTCCAATGCAGCAAGGGACAATCTTTCTATATGAAAAAGAAACCCACAGAGACCAACTTGAGGTCAGGCCCGTGGACCACCCTCGGGCTAGGTAGCTACAGGAATACCATCTATTTTCCACGGGCCAACATCACCAGGTAATGCACTTTTTACAAAAGCAATACAAGTTACTCTACTAGAGAAACATGTTCCCGCTAGACTCCAAGACAGTTCTACCCTCACAGAATACTCCTTTGAGCACACGTCTCTGAAATAAAAGAGGTGGCTTGGGCTGCCTCTCCGACCCACACACTATGAACACGCATGACACTATTTTCTAACTCAGAACTGGGGCACATATTCTGAGAACAGCCTGTAATTGACAAAAAGTCAACTCCTGGCCATTATTTGCCAACAGTCGTCTCTGGCCGCTCTCCAAAGGAGGTGGCAGGGGGACCACGGCACTCAGCACACTCCATATCCACCCTGAGCTACTCACCAAACATGCTCAGTTCCACCTTAAACTCTGGACAGGAATACACGGTACTTATAGTGGTCAAACTACATGCAATTCATTCTGTCTTTAGGCCCCAAGGACGTCTAGAAATAAATCTTGTGTGTGTGTGTGTGTGTGTGTGTGTGTGGTGGGGGGAAGTCCTCACTGCTTCATGCTTTCTAAAAATCTTGCTTTCATGGAAATTCGAACTAAGCTTATGATTTGGCAACAAGAACGAGGACATCCCCAGTCTGTATTGACATTCTTGTCCCTGCCCTGGGTCTCGCTGTTCCCAGCCTGCAGACCCACAGTGTAAGCACCTACTGTCTCTGGGAGGGGTGTCTCTTTTGCATATGGCCCAGGAAACCTCACTGGGGGGCCATCAGGGCCGTAGTAGCAGCCGGAACTCTTACTCCTGTACCAAGGATGAGACACACAGACATCACTGCCCCCCGACCCCTGCAGATGAGCTGTTACTCCAGGCAGGCAGGCCAGGGGCTCCCATTCGTACTTTTTTTTTTTTTAAAGATAGGGTCTCACTCTGTCACCCTGGCTGGAGTGCAATGATGTGATCACGGCTCACTGTCACCTTGAACTCCTGGGCTGAAGCAATCCTCCCACTTGAGCCTCCTAAGGAGCTAGAACTACAGGTGTGTACCACCACACCTGGCTGGGGACCTCTCACTTGGAGGCCTGAGTTCTAGTCTCCAACAGGCTGGTGAATCACTGTCAAGTGGCTCCATCTCCCCATCTGTAAAATGGGACCCAGATCCACCTACTGAGGACAGACGCTGGGAGCACCTGATCAGGTAACAGAAGCAAAAGGGGAGGTGTCAGCTAAGAGCAGCAGCTTTCCTTTATCACACACCTACTAGGTGTCAAGCATGGTGTCACTCTCCGCACACCAGACGTCTGTCATCCTCACAGCAACCTGTAAACTGGCTATTATTGGCCTCATCTCATGAACGGCAAAACTGAGGCTCAGAGAGGTTCACCTACTTGTTCAAAGCCACAGAGCACAGTCTGACACACCAGGTTCATCGGGATGTCCAGTTTGGGGTGGGGTAAGGGGTGGGAACGAGGCCGCCCTCAGAGACCAAGGTTTGCATGGGCAGTCCAGGGACAAACACACGCTCTGCACGTCATCAGCAACTCATTCAAATTATTAATAAAAGTTACCCCAAACTTGGAAGCCAGGCAAAAAGATTTCTGCATGCCCTGTCAATGTCACACTCCATGCTAAAACTAGGAATTGGAATTGGGAAACTCCATGGGCCAAATGGCCCACTGCTGATTTTTGTAAAAAAAAAAAAAAAAAAAAAAAGAAAGCAAATAAGTAAAAGTTTTATTGGAATAGTGCCAGACAGTATGGCCCACAAGGCTGGAAATACTTATCATCTGCACTTTACAGAAAGGATTTCTTTGGCCTGGTCTAGAGTATTATCAAATGTCTTGGTTTCACTTACTATGTATTATTGATTAGAGCCTCGTTGCAACAAAGTCAGATGTTAACTTGTAGAAAACAGAAAAGTTGCAAATTATGTTTGTTCAATAGAGAAACAAATGGTATCTGTAGAAAAAAAAACCCTCAAAGGTCATGATTTTGTTTTTCTCTGTTGAATTGGTGCTAACCAGTTTTCTATTCAACTTTGCCATCTTAGGCTAGCCTTCTTTACCCTACTGACCCATACACTGGTCTCTGTATTCTCCCCCATTTAACCAGCATTACCATCCCGCGGTTTAGCATCATCGAGTTAAATGGATCTCAGCTATGTGCTCAGTGCGTATTTATGCAAGAGTGACGCTTTCAGCTTTTTGGAAATGACCCTTTGCTGGACACCGACGATGCCCGCCTGGCGGATGGTTAGCAAAGCAGCTTCTGGACCCCAGCGGCACACATGACATTCCCAGGTGGCGCACGCAGCAGCAAACCGGTACCTTGGCATCCTGGTGGCTGCGGGAAGCCAAAGCAATCTGCCTGGCCAGCTTCAGGGCTTCTATCCGCATGATGGCAAACTCTAACTCCTCCTGCCCGCAGGGAGTGTGGGCAGACCGCAGGGAAATGCATCAAGACAGACGTCAATGGTTTCCACATCCGAGAAATGAACGTGCCACGAAAATGTGTCATGACAGGCACTCGGGAAAAACACGCGCTCCATCTTTCTCTCATAATTAGCACCTCAGCAGATCATGAAATAAGCATTTAATTTCCTTTTCTAAAAACTACCCTTGTGATTGTCAGGAAGTATTGTGCAGTTGAATACAAAATGATTTTCAAAATGGGATCAAAATTTTTACTGTTCTCTTTTCTTTGATTTCTTTCCCTTTTTCTTTCTTAAGGTAAAGTTGGCCAACAGTTTCCATGAATGGAGCTGCATCTCTCATATGGCTGTTAACAATCTCTCTAGGTTTACTCTGAACGTCCTAGTCTAGAGAATATCAAATTAAGTTGTCAAATTTAAAGCACAGAGTACATCATTGTTTTTGGTTCCAGATGCAAGACTGAGCCCAGATGTTATCTCACTGGGAGTCTGAGATAGCCACGTATATATATAAACAGCTTGGCTCAGTGGTGATCTAACATTCTTGGTTCAGTGAATAAATCACAGAAACTACTTTGGGGGCTATCAATGCTTCTAAATAATGACTATTTGGGCCCAGTTTCTAAATTGAAATAGAAACGGTTTGTTCAATATGTAATCACACAATTCATATCACTTTGGTACCGTGGGTAAAGAACGTCACGTATACCATTCTTTGAAGGGAAGATACATCACTGGGAACATTCTCGGCAGCTCCTCATCAAATCCTGCCTCATTTCATTTGGGCCTCGGGGGTTCATTCTCTACTGAGGTTTTCACAAACTCCCAAAAGGTCACACGTGGGCTACAAACCTGAAGTTTCTGAGCGAATAGTGGGGGGTTCTTTTCTGCTAAGTCGGGCTCCAGATAGTCAAGTGCACCACAGAGAGAGGCGGGGTGAGCTAGCCTGCTGAGGAGGGCGTCAGCAGAGGCAAAGGAGCCCTCGGGAGCTGTCTGAACGCCGGCAGAGAGGAGGACACACAAGAAAAATAGAGGAGAACAGAGAGTGATATTGATTCCAAGCAAGGGCCACGCAGCCATTTGCTGGACATTTCTGCCTTGAGGCTAAAGAGAGTATCAATTAGCTGCCATTACTTGTGGTTTCATCTAGACTAATTCCCACATGCTGACAATGGACATCTTGAGATTGGCAGACCCGACCCCCTCCCCAAAAGGGCAGCCTTCAGTGTCCTCCCACTCCCATGCCACCCTCACTCCCTGGTCAGTGAGTGGCAGCTAGCTAGCAGAAGGTGAAAGGCCAGTTAGCTGGTGCGTTTTCCAAACATAACATAACTCTTCAAGAACTACTTTCAAATATATATATATAGGAAGTGAGGTTTTGGTAAAGATCATTTTCTCAATCATGGAAAGATGATTTCAAATGAAAAAGTTCTTCTGATAGATCAGAAAGACTTCAGAATCAGAAGCCAGCTTTGTAGAAGGTGAACCACGGACGTGTGCTTCAGAGTATTAATGTGAGAGACTGATTCACATCTAGACCCTCTTTTTACTATTGTTTTTCTAGTATCCACTCCAGCATCCAACTGTCAGACACACAGTACGTGCTCAATAAACATTTGATGCATGAGAGAAATGGCCTACTAACACAGAACAAAAATAACACACCAAATCAAGGGCTTCACACCTGCTTGGGGATTGCTGGGCAGGAGGTAGAGGAAATAAAACTAAAATCCACCTAGAAGGATGGTGCATTTCAGACGTATGGAAGACCATGGCACGGGCATCGCTTAGTTTGGGGACTGCAGAAGACCATGTGACATGTGTGCTGTGCAGGGACTCGGGGGTAAGTGAGGCCTTCAGCTCAGCTCTATTTGCTCTGCAAGACCCCAGCAGGGCTTGGGGACAGGAAAAGTCCTGGTCTTTGAACAGGAAAAATTCCCATCACTAAGTCCCAGGAAAACTAACTTTCCCAGAAAAGGGTCCCCTGCCCTCTGTCAAGGATGAAGCTGCAGAGGACTGCTTAACGACTGTTCCAAAGCAACAGTCTAGTCCTAAGGGGCGAAAAATGGAAACTAAGTAACCCTGAAGGCATATCAAGTACTTAAGTGGGAAATGAAAAACCGCACTGATGTGAACAGAGAACCTTCCCCTCATCCTCACAGTATGGGATCGCCCAGGTTGGCTTCTGTGGTCAGGGAGTCAGGGTGGGACCCATGGCAGGTACCAGGTGAGTGTTGCTGTGAAGGCCTGGCCTTCTTGGTGACAATACATAGCTGGTCCTGTGATCTGGGGCCCCTCCAACTCCACTTACAATTTCAATCGCCTCTGAAGGGGTGCCCAAGCCCATGGCCTCCAGCTCCTTCTGGGAGGATTTCTCCGACACCTGCAAGTGTGGCTCTTGGTTAGGGGCCAGTCCTCGTGGGACAGGATGCTGGGCTTTTGTAGCAGCGTTCACAAGGGCTTCAGTCTCTTCAAAACTTGACCTGGGGGAAGCAAAGGGCATCTTTAGTCTTCTCACTGGGAAACTCACTGAAATCAACCAGGATCCCCTGACCATGCAGATATGTGATATGTGACCATATCACAAGGAATCCTGGACTTCCCGAGGAACATGGGCCAGGTCTCCAGTGGCCATGCAGCCTCTAGACTGGGCAGTCACCCCAGGACCAAGTGTCAAGGGAGGGGCAGAAGTACAGATGCCACTGGCTATAGAACCAAGCTCCGGAGTTCAGCAGACCACCAGCTGCCTGGTTGTGGACTCTGGGGAAGTGACTGGGTACCGTGCCTCCAATTCCTTCTCTATAAGATGGAGACAATGGACCTCTCTGTGAAGACTAAATGAGATGCTGCATGCCCGTAAAGCACTTAACACGGTACCTGTCACCTGGTGCCGCTACTGTTTTAGTAACGTAACCACCATCATCATTGTTCTCACCACCCTGGGCAGCCTGCAGAGTCTCTTTTGTAAGTTTGAGAAGTCAGTGCTAGCACTTTCACTCCTGCTTAAAGGGGCAGGCAGACAAAAATAGGCTGGTCCAAATCTTACAGCAATGCCCACACTTACTTGATCAAACAATGCGCTGCTCCAAACATTAGCCCTCATAAATGCAAACATGAACACCCATATCAATAATGTACATTTACCAGGCACTTGAAGTATGCCAGGTACTTCAACAAGAGCTTTACACACAGCATCTCTCTGGAAGACAGAGTGCCCTCTCCCCGTCGCACAGCTGGGGGATGCTCTGGAAGACTGATAGCCTCCTTTAATCTTCATAAAATCCCTGCAAGGTCCGTTTCATTATTACTTTTACTTTACATGCAAGGAAACTGAGGCCCAGGAGAGCCAAGTACCTCACATCAGGTCACACAACCAGGAGGGGGTCGTGGGGTACAGGTGGGATTCAAGCTTTGAATGCTGGACCACAGTGTCCCCCTTTAGACAAATGATGGAATAAGGTGTATGTGTGCTGGGCGAGATTATAGCGGGTGGGTCACACAGTCAACTGCTGAAGGATTTCGCTTTAGTCCAAAGGGCAGCCAGTAACAAAACCAATGCGTTTATGTCCCTGTGGACATTCAGAGACACTAAAGTGTGGGCTGGCCAGGTACTGTGGCTCATGCCTGTAATCCCAGCACTTTGGGAGGCTGAGGTGGGAGAAGCCCTTGAGCCCAGGAGTTTGAAACCAGCCTGGGCATCATAGTGAGACCCTGTCTCTATTAAAAAAAAAAAAAAAATTATGTGGCGTGTCAGCTGCCTGAATCTATGCACTGAAATGAAGTCAAAATAACAGCATGAAGGCGCTCAGAGGCTCTGGAACATCCAGCGTGATGTGTAACTCTCTCATCATGGAAGTCATACCCTGAACACGGCGTCGGGGACTCTGACATGCGGACGGGAGTTGACTTGACAGGGCTCTCCTGAGAAGTGTCAAACATAAGGTACAAGGCCTGCTTCTTCGGGGCGTCATCGTCCTGCTGCAGGGATCAAAGTCACATATCAGCTTGGGTACAGCTGGCCTGAACGTGCAGCTGAGATGAAAACCAGAGGGAACAAATAACCCACCAGGGTAAAGCCTTCATTGTTCTGGAGCCACCAGGAAGAAAGGAGGAAGTGGGGCCTGGTTAGGAGGGAAGGAGGATGCAGAGAAAGTACAACTGAGTTCAAGCAGGAACGTGCGCCAGTGGAGAAGACTCCACGGCATTGGTGAGCTGGACTTTGTTCAATTCACCAACATTTTCTGAGCACCTTCTCTGGGCCAGGAGCTGCGCTGGCCACTGCAGATAAACAGAGAGGTAGGGCAAGAGCCCAGAGCTGGGCTGACCGTAGCTGAATGAGCCCAGGGCAGGGGCAGGGCCTGGAGAGCAGCTCAGCTAGACTAGAAACAGGGCTGCGGGATGTGAAGCCCCAAAATGGAATTGGCATCTCTCGGTGATGGGAAGACCTTGAAAGACCCCCCTCCACATGCCCTGCTGGGGTCCCCAAAGAAGTCCCTGCAAAGGCCGGCAGGTATGCTGTTCTGCACCACCATGAAATCTCTGGGTGGCTCTGCTGTTCCCGAGCAGGGCATGCTCCTCACAAAATTCATCCACGAGGCCTGCCAACGAGCCAGGCAGTGGGTGGTGGCACAAGAGGAAGGGGCCCCTTGTGGTTTCAATCCATTTAAATCAAAGATCTCAAAACACATGACAGTTCCCCTTCAGTGGTAAAATGTGTCACCCTCAGTATTATGTATATGGCCTCAACTACTGGGGACTCAGTTGTGATCACAGAGCTAAGCTCTTTAAGCAACACACCAGGGGATGATGACAAAGCCCACGCACTTTACTTGGGCAGCTGTGACCTCACTGATGTGGCGCTTGTGTTAAGCCTGTGCCTGGGGACATTCTCCCACCCAACCTTCAGGTCTAACTTACAGCAACCTGCAGTTTGGAAGCAGTAACCCCGGCATCAATGACTGATGCAAAGTAAGATAAAGAGTAACATGTCCAGGACTGTGTAGCGCTGCAAGCAAGCCCTCCTGTGTGCCACACGTCTCCGAGGGCATCGCTGACAGCAGCAAGAGGTCACCCTTGGAATAACATGCCCCAGGGCAGCAGGTATTATGCCAGGAAAGACAGTGCCCATCATAACCTCTTAAAATGAAAAACCAGGGAGAAAGGCTTATTGCCCAGAGAAAATATTCAGTTACTTAAAATAATTTCTCAAAAACAGCTAATCGTATACCTGAAAAACCACCACTACCTCATTTCATTTTTTTTAAAGAAATCTCTAGCTCTTTCTCAGTCTAAGAAAGTAATTCTGCTGGACATCTAATTGCATTCTATGATTTTCTCCCTGAAAATGTCAAACGAAGTGGATTGAGTACAAACCTCAACCCCCCAGCCCCAGTCCATCATCGCTGTGCACCCGGGAAGCTGTGTACACAGAGAGCACTCGATTTGGGGTCTGAGCTCCCAGAGACGCTCTGCACAGGGGAGGAGGCCCCTGAAGGCAGGAAAGCGAGTCCCCTAAGTGGCCCGAGGCAGAAGAACTTACAGGTAAGGAGGAGCCAATTTTTTCCATATATTCAATTTCATAGGAGTTTCTGTAATCCAACTCTGCAAAAACAAAAACAAAAACAAACACAAAAAAACAAAAGATCAGGTTAGTGCCAGAGGAGAAAAATGGGAAGATCTGAGCCAGGCAGGGTGGCTGCTATCACAAGACTCTGGACTGACGGTGTCCACTGCCTAGAGACTTCTTATACAGCCTGAAGAAAAGGCCCAGCTCGGCTATTTTCAGACAATTGCTAGATGTCTTGCTGTAAAGGGGCTTCTGCCATTAGGGAGGCTGAGAAGGTCCTGAGGAATTCCATGGCACGACCAAGCATAGCCCGAGTGTGGCCGGACCTGAGCGGTCTGCGTTGAATGTTCCCATAAGACAGCATGTGCATCCTGGGTGCTGGTTTCCTCTGTAACTCTCATGTGCAACACGTGGGATGATACATCCTCATGAGGTTTTGGAACTGGACCCTTACTTGTCCCTCTCTGGGTATTCAGCTCTGGCCACCCTCTGAAGTAAGGGAAGAACGACATGATTCCTTCAGTGCTGCTGGTAAGAGAAGTTTTGCAAGTCACCGGGAGCCTTTCCCAGGGGTCTACCAGTGTCTTCAGGGCTGGTCCAAATCTATTTTCAAACACAAAGACTAGTAAAGTCCAATGGGTGGAGAAATGACCTGTTTAAAATGGATTGGTGAAAATCCCATACACTCAATGGAGATGGCAAACACCACTGCCTGCCTCCAGTACCTGGAAACTGAGCTGACGCTCAACTGAATTCCCCGTCCAGCAAATGAATGGAGCACCTCCTATATGCTTCGCACTATGCCGGGCATAGCGGATATGGTGGTGGATAAGACCAGAATGGACTTTTGTCCTCACAGAAGCCACAATCTGGAGCTACCAGATGCCTCTTTTCTACTTACAAAGAAAGCGAAGAGGTGAAAAGTGACCTGCTCAGAAACCCACTGTGAAAAAGCATCAGTGGCAATTCATCAAGTTTAATCTTTCGACTTTTTTAAAGATGAAAATAAAGATAAATAGCAGTTCTGGTTTAAAGCCCCTTTATTTCTGCCTATTGTTAAAGGCATCATCCAAAAACTATGAGCTTTAAAATGAGATATTTCCTGGAGGACTTTCTTAAAACCTGCAAATGGTTGAATAACCCCAACTACTTAAGCAAGTGGACAATCTTTCACGAATCTCTGAATCTCCCTTGGTGAGGCAAACATATCCTTCTACTCGGCATGGCCAGCTCATGAGATCGAAGACAGTTTTGTGGATGAAAGGCCAGAAAGCCCTGTTGCATCCTGAATAGAGATAAGTAGAGAAAGTGTGTTTCCAACTCTCACACCAAGCCTGAACCCCAGGGTCTGCCCCAGCTTAAGACAGAAGCATTAATTTGTAAAGTCTTAATTGCCACCTCACCTTAAAAATGAGAAGCAGGACAGGGCACAGAGGCTCACACCTATAATCCCAGCACTTTGGGAAGCTGAGGCTGGCGGATCATTTGAGGTCAGGAGTTCAAGACCAGCCTGGCCAACCCCATCTCTACTAAAAATACAAAAATTAGCCGGGTGCACACCTGTAGTCCCAGCTACTTGGGAGGCTAAGGCAGAAGAATCACCGGAACCCAGGAGGCAGAGGTTGCAGTGAGCCAAGATTGCACCACTGCACTCCAGCCTGGGTAACAGAGCGAGACTGCCTCCAAAAAAAAAAGAGAGAGAGAGAGAAGGAGGAAGGAGACAGGCATGGACGAGGTGATATTTAGGGTCTCTCTCTGATCTATCTATCACTTTCCAAGTACAAAACCCTGAGACTATCATTTTACTGTTCTTTTATAAGCTGTTTAAGTTGAGAAAATAATAGTGAATCAGCTGCCTCTTCTAAAGTATCATTACGATTGCCAAGGCATTACAAGCCCTAAATTATTTAACAGAAATCTTTAAACACACTCCAATACAGCACAGGGCACCCAGGACACACCAAACAAGCAACAGACCACCGCAGAGTTTTTCCAGGGACCTGTGGCCTCAGGCGAGTGCCCGGCTCTGGTAACCAGCTCGCCTCACTAAAGCGTCCCACTTGGAACCTCAGCTCTTCTGGTGGCTGAATCTGGGTGAGTTCTAGTTCACGGAGCTCATTCATCTGCCTTCTCTGCTACCTGCCAAAAGGAAGTTCCTTCACACTGTCCTGTGTCCCCCATTCCTCCCTTCAGAAGGAGCAACTGATGGTGCAAAAGTGGGGTTCTCTGACACCCACATTAGTGTTTGTATTTGTGAGATGCCTGGTTTCAGGAGGCCCACACTCCTCCCCGTCAACCCCAAACGAGTGGCAGACGCCTGGAGATGCTCCTTCGGAACATGCCCTGCTTGCTGCAATCACAGTCATTTGGGGTCCTGATTTATAATTTACAAAGTGACCTGGACAGGATGTAAGAAAAATAAATACTTCCTCCTGTCATCTTGGGTGATCTCTGATCCTTTGAGAAAATATCTTTCTGATGGTTTTCAAAATTTCACTCATCTGCTTCAAATCCTAAGCCTCAAAGGGCAGGCACAGGGGTGAAGCCACATCCAATTTCAGCCCCATTTTCACACCATGCCACACACAGCTGGCAGGCCAGGAAGGGTGACGCCACCACACCAAGTGGCACATCATATTCTCAACTGGAGGAGACAGCCCTTGCTAGCGTGTGTGGCTGCTCCTAGCCGAAGAGGCTCAGTTACTGTTCCCCGGTCCCGTCATTTCTGAGGGCTGCTTTTGGTAATTATTTCCTATGGGGGCACTGCACGGCGAGAGGGCTTCAGTGCTGCTTTCATCTGACTCTGGTTGCTGGGGGCTTGCTGGGAACAGGAAAGAGCCTCAGCAGAAGCCAGAAGGATGCCACTGAGTCTAGGTCTCTGTTCCCAGGATCAGGGAAGCCAACTCACCCGATGTCTCCTTGCCTATTGACTTATCTCACAAGTGGAGCTCAAAGAGCCTATATTTTGTAGGCAAAAATGAAATACTTTAAGATAAAAATCCTTCTATGGGTTACACAAATGTAAAGGAGCATGATCATATATATTCCTGCTCATGGCTAGTATTTTTGGAACTTTTAACCTAAGTGACATTACATTAGGGGAGAAGAAAAGAGTCCACGGAAAGAGACAGAGAGCTGCTCCCAGCTTCCCCACCATCACCCTTCTAAGTGTCCGCAGTGTGACAGAGACGATGCCTGCCGTTAAAGAACAGCTGAGGCTTCCAAGGAGGGCGCTTTCCCCTCTGTCGGAGTGGGAAGGAGGGACTAACAGAGCTGTGTTAAAGGACACAGGGAAACTGGGTGGCCACCAGAGTCACTGAGACTTGTGAATCTAAAACAACTGCACTCTGTCAGGGTCTCTTGGACAGCCAGGAGAGGACTCAGCTGTGTAGACCAATGGTTGCTAATCTTTTCCTCCACAAGAACCACATGGGTTAAGTTTTCTCCCACTGCATCATGCTTTAAAAGACTGCACCAAAAAAGGGCATTTGCTAAGCAACCATGCAAAGAAAACCATTTATAACTGTCAATGAGTTCTTCATCCGCGGAAGATGACCAGTGTCATCCTAGTGAGTTGATACGATTACAGCCCAAGTGTGGTATTTTAATCCCCTGGGCATCCTTCTAAACTAGTTACACTCAGGTGTTTTGAAATATTAAAGACAACTTGAAGCTCTTCAACACTCCACTCCTACAGACCTAGGTAGGAAAGTGTGATTAGTCAATAGCTTCATTCTACAGGCGAAGGCAGCAAGTCTTCTCCATGCTCACAGAAAGAGCACAGCTGCTAAGTCAGGCAGACCTGGCTCTCCATGGATTTGTGCCAGGATACTGGGAGAGTCATTAACAGCTCCAAGCCTCTGTATCCTTGTTCTTAAAATGTGGAATTGTAGAAAAGCACTCTGCAGACTGAGAGGATGAAATGAAATCATGAATATAGAAGACTGCACAGCTCAAAGTAAGTCCTCACCCAATGACAGGCCCTAGCTTATTATTGTTACCTATAGAATTAATACGATAGCGAATATGTATTTAAATCATAATTATTATTTCTCACTCAACATTTCCTTTTCCTACGGTTGATGACTTCATTGTAAGAGTCTCAGATCACAGCTGGGGCCCCGCACGGATTCTTTCTGATGATCACATCAGCACCCCTGGGCATGTGTCTGGTGCTGCTAGACCGGACCTCATTACATTAACAGTATTTCCACATCCAGATGCTGGAGGGACCCTGGGTGCATCAGCGAGGTAGATGCAGTGGGGCCGTACCTCCTGAAACCGCAACTGTTGTGTCTTCACACTGATGAAGGATTTTTGATTGTCTACCAACTAAAATTATAGTCATGACTTCCCAAATCTTCCCATTTTCTAAGGTAATGGGTTTAACCAAGTTTTGTTCCCAACTCATGTATTTACATATTTGTTCAATCTTTATAGAAACAAACAACTGTCAAATATGTCACTCAGCTAGTAAGTTGTCTGTTTTAGTAGTGTGGAAGATGGACAAATAAATGCCACCATTGAATGAGGTACATATCAGCCCTGAAAGTACTGTTAGTATTTTTATATTTTCTAAGGAAAAAAATGCATGTATTTGGTTCCTGATGGGAAAACTAAAGACACACACATATCAAAATCATATGCCTAGCTCCAATCGGCTTTTTTTTTTTTTTTGAGACAGAGTCTCACTCTGTCACTCAGGCTGGAGTGCAGTGACGTGATCTCAGCTCACTGCAACCTCCGCCTCCTGGGTTCAAGCAATTCTCCTGCCTCAGCCTCCCTAGTAGCTGGGATTACAGGTGCCCACCACCATGCCTGGCTAATTTTTGTATTTTTAGTAGAGACAGGGTTTCTCCATGTTGGCCAGGCTGGTCTCGAACTCCTGACCTCAGATGATCTGCCTGCCTCAGCCTCCCAAAGTGCTGGGATTACAGGTGTGAGCCACCACCCCCGGCCCCAATCTCAGGATGGTTTCTAAATGCGTTTCTCCAACATTTAGAAATTTCTTACCAAGCTTAACAGATGTGACCCATCATAGGTGTTATCCAAATGGCCAAGTCTGATGCCTGTGCTCAAATGTCCCTTGCTGCCTCTGGGATGTAAAGCCTCTTCCCCACAGTGCTCCACACCCGATGCAGGTGATGCCCATTGCAAGATCACATTGCTGAGCTGACACTACTAAGCTGTTGACCTGCCTGACCTTGTATTAACTTTATTTCACAAACTTGACTTTAGCCCCATGACATTGAGGGTGCTGTAAGGAACAAAGATGAACCTGACAAAGTTCTTGCCTTCAGGAAACATACAAGCTAGTTGGGAAGCAAGAAATGCACACACATCATTATTTTGGTGTTACATACCCCCAGCTCAGCCCAGACCAAACACTGAAAGTGGGCGGAGCCAGGATCCCACGTCCAAGGAAAGGCTGGGAGGAGGCAGCACTAAGGAAAGGGTGGGAAACAGGGATAAGGTCGGGGGAGTGCAGTGCGGGTAGGGGGAAGGGTGTTCCAGCAGGCGGGGTCTGCAGCAGCACTGCAGAGGCAGCGGAGTAAGGGGTCTTCCAGGAAGAGGCTCCTGCCTCGGATGCAGGTGCAGAGGGAAATGAGGATCCAAGGGAGGCTGAGGCCAGATCATAGGGCCTCTGGGGTCAGGTGAGAGCAAGATGGTCACTTTTATTTTTTTCTATTTATTTATTTATTTATTTTTGAGAGAGTCTCACTGTCACCCAGGCTGGAGTGCAGTGGCACAATCTCAGCTCACTGCAACCTCTGTCTCCTGGGCTCAAGCAATCCTCCCGCCTCAGCTTCCTGAGTAGCTGGGACCACCGGGACACACCACCATGCCCAGACAATTTTTTGTACTTTTGGTAGAGACAGTGTTTTGCCATGTTGCCCAGGCTCGTCTTGAACATCTGGGTCTTGAGCTCAAGTGATCCACCTGCCTCAGTCTCCCAAAGTGCTGGGATTACAGGCATGCGCCACTGTGCCTGGCCGAGATGTTCACTTTTGGACCTCTCAAGCCCCAAACCAGAGGGTCAACCTGACAGTCAACCAAAAGGCTTTATTTTACAGAAAACAAAATGCCAAAAAGTACAAGCATCCATAATTTGGATCATCTTTTCATTGTCAAAGTTAGAAAGCCAGTTTTGGGTAGGGAGAAGATAAGCATCCAGTACTCTGAAAAACATGAAATAGATCTACCATAAATGCATGCTGGTACCATTCCAAGACCTCGTGGGTACAAAGCAAACCATGACTCCAGGCCTGACTGTGGAAGAGCGTCCAGAAGAAGGCTGGGGGTTTTTGAGCTACGATTAACATCCACCTGCACCCTCATGACACCACCACTCCACCCAGAAAGGGAGGAAACCGTTTAAAGGAGATCTTAGTCTCTTATTAGCAGCAAAGAAGTGGAAACCAGACCTTCATGTATGATCTTCTTCACAGTGATTTCTACTCAGTTCAAAAACACTGTTAGAAATCGGCCAGGCGCGGTGGCTCACGCCTGTAATCCCAGCACTTCGGGAGGCCGAGGCGGGCAGATCACAAGGTCAGGAGTTTGAGACCAGCCTGACCAACATTGTGAAACTCTGTCTCCACTAAAAATACAAAAATTAGCTGGGCGTGGTGGTGCACATCTGTAATCCTAGCTACTCAGGAGGCTGAGGCAGGAGAATCGCTTGAACCCAGGAGGCGGAGGTTGCAGTGAGCCGAGATCACATCATTGCACTCCAGCCTGGGCGACAGTGCAAGACTCCATCTCAAAAAAATAAATAAATAAAATAAAATGTTAGAAATCAAGAAAGGAAAACTCAAAACCATCACAAAAGCTGGGGTGTCAAAATGCCGACTGGGCAGCCTCACAGAGGTGGCTGGAGGAGAAAATGGGTTGGAGGGCTGCGAACGTGGTGCACCGACAGGTCAGGGCAATGGGGTCACCCCTCCCAAGAAAGGCGCTAGCTCTCCTTCAAAAAGGCTTTCCTATCAAAAAGGAAGCATGAGCAGGGCATGGTGGCTCACACCTATAATCACAGCATTTTGGGAGGCCGAGGCAGGCAGATCACCTGAGGTCAGGAGTTAGAGACCAGCCCAGCTAACACGGTGAAACCCCGTTTCTACTAAAAACACAAAAAATTAGCTGGGCGTGGTGGCACACGTCTATAATTCCAGCTACTCGCGAGGCTAAGGCAGGAGGATCGCTTGAACCCGGGAGGCAGAGGTTGCAGTGAGCCAAGATCGAGCCACTGCAATCCAGCCTGGACAACAAGAGTGAAACCCTGTCTCAAAAAAAAAAAAAAAAAAAAAAGAAAGAAAGAACACTGAAATTGAATATACACAGGAGGAAGGAGGATATAATGAGTTAAGCAAAGTGTGCGGAGCCCATTTCTGAAGAGGGAATCATGTCCTCTTAGCAAGCCTGGGGTAAATCTCTGGTTTGAGGCTTCATTAAAAGGTGTGGCCATAGTGTCTGAACACCTTATGGGGCCTAAGAATAACAGTGGCGCCAAGCAACTCCAGGTCAGTGACCTACACTGAAAGTACGACCTGAATGACACCCCCTTGGAGCTGTGTTTATCAAAATCACAGCGGGGACATAAGCCATGGGCAAAGCTCGAGTGGGCGCTCAGGACCCAGTTGGTGGAGTCCTGAGGTGGAGTTAGAGGGCACCGTGCTGGCTCTTAGCAGGAGTCTTGGGTCAAGGGACTGTTGGTTGCAAGTCTCAGGCTGTTTTCAAACACAGCCTGAGCTTCAAGTGCAGCGGGAGACGTGCAGACGATCTCACAGTAATGATCACATGGTTACCTGGCTGAGAAGTTTCTCCCCTGGCCTTTGGCTCCCTAGGGGCAGTATTCTCCGAGGCAGAGTGGGGGTCCGGCTGGCCACAGAGTTGCTTACCCTCAGTGGGTGAACTGAATTTGGTCTCGTTTACAAAGGTGGACAGGTCCGAGGGTTGCGGGTAGTCCTGTTTGTCAGCCTCCAGGTCCACCGTCATGCACGTCCACTTCTGGTTGGTGACCGCCAGCTTTTCCTCATCTGTGGCGTGGACCACCGCAGAGATCACTGGTGGTGTTTCTGGTGTAGCAGCTGGGGTGGGGTCCTGCAAAGAGAAGAGCAACAGTGTCTTGTCTCATCAGACTCTTGGTCAGAAACTGCTCCCACCCTCAGGTCTGGGGACCCATTAGCCAGGACAGGTCCCGGTCACAATCCTCTGCATGCTTTTCTCGGACTCTGCTCCAAATGGCCCATTAAGGAAATGGATGGACACACAGATTCTTCCCTCTATGAATCTCCTTTTATGATGGTTTGTTTCAGGGAATGACCATGAATTTAAAAAAAAAGAAATCAGGATTTTGTGTCTTGGTTACTTGAGCTTTCCTGCTAGTTTTATGACTACGACAGCTGTGTGATGCTCACACAGTGCTTCAGGCTTGCATATCAGTATCACCAGAATCACCTGACCATCATCACACCAGTCCCCGGAGGCAGAAAAAGGGGGATCTTCTCTCCATTTCCATAGGAGAGTGGGAAGTGGAGTAGGGCAGGGTGGGAACCTAGAGAGGTCAGGGCAGAGCTGCAGCTGGGACCTGAGCCCCTATCCCCAGGGCTGCGTGCTTCCCTCCACTGCCCCCACCCTGGCCAGGGTCTGCAGGCTGGGGCTTTGCTGGCTCAGACTTGGAGGGGCGGCAGGTCTGCTTGTTTTATGACCCAGAAATTAGCCCTAACCGTATGACTGACAGGCTTGAGGATAACTTTCCTTGGTCTGTAAAGGGTAGAAGAAATGGAATCTATCTGATGGAGGAACTGGTAAGAGGGACTCTAATAAAGAAAGAACCCAAGCCCCACTTCCTTAGGGAAGGGGGTTCCCTTTGCTTCCCACTCCAATTTTGGCTACACAATTCAGTGCTCCTGACACTTGCTGAGTTTTTTCACCTCATCTCAAGAGACTGCGTATTTGTTCATCTCAAGAGACCTGCTCGACTCGACAGTCCTAGAAGTTCACAGCAGATGAACTGGCCTGAATGGAGCAGAGCGGGTCCTCTAGAGCCCAACTAACATTTTTCCTGAACGTCTTCCTACTCTCGGGACACCCTCTGATCTTCTGCAAAGTGAAGGGATCAAAACAACGTCGGGCAAACATCGAGGGACCCTCCACACAGGAGGCAAGAAGAGGGTCTTGGAAACATGATCTTGGAAACAGGCCCGGGATGAGCAGAAAGCAAAGCTTTGTCAACAAGGGAGGAAAACCCCCCTGGGAGGGGAGGGCATAAACCATCAAGATCAAAGGAACACTGTACCTGGGAAGGTGGATCAGAGAGAGGAGACCGTTTTGGCGACTTTTTCACCCTAAATGTGTCACTGGAAACAAAATGGAAAACGTAAACACAACAAGCAGAGGGATGGAACACTCCAGAGCAGCACAGAGCGGACCGAAGCTACTGCCTCTGCAGAGCCATCTGGCCCAGGCCACCCTCCCGCCTCTGCCACTGCAACACCAGCGAGCAGACGGCCACGCTGGCTACCCACTCTCACTTTTTAACAGCTATTATTTTTGCCCCCAAGGGAAAGATCCATCAAGCTGGAAATCTTTAAAGAGATGCCATTTTGGAGAACGACCCAGAAAATGAAGCTAAATTTAACTAAATGTTCTTATTTTATAAAGCAAATTTTTGGTGAGCAGATTAATTTATCCGGATTCTTCCAGGGATGTCTGAACCCAACTAAGGCTCAGGGAGGGGCTCCAGGCTCAGGACACCGATTTACAGACGGGCAAGGCGACACCTCACTTAAGGAACAATTGAAGGAGGCCACGCAGAAAGAAAGTTCGGGGTCCTCAAGGAGAACCTGCTGAATCCTCCCTATCACAGGGTCCTCAAGCTCAATGGATTCCCATGCTCTGAAGGCTTCTAGGTGGAATCCTGATGAAAGCTAGGGCCAGGGGAGAGATGAATTTTTTGGTCTTCTCTTAACCATGGTAAACAGACAAGATTCACAGCTCTTCTCTCCCTGTTTCTCCTTCATATGAATAGCGGGGCTGGGAGGCAAAGGAAACACCAAATCAGACTCCTGAAGGGTCAAGGAAGCAGATCCCAGGAGGAAGGGATGACTTTTAGCCTGAGCAGTTCCATTCAGTCCACCGAGCAGTCTGGGGGTCACTTCCACAGTCAGAATGGGGGCTCTTTCCACCCTGTAGACTGGCCCCTGCCCCGTTTCAGCCCCTCCATGGGATGGTCTCACTCCCAGCAAAGCAAAGGCTTTGGGGGATGATCCCTCTCCTTACATCCCACCGCCCTCCCCTGCTTTGCACGTTAACTGGGTGGGCAGAGCAATTTAATTTGGCACTCAAGTTCCTTCCTTGTGTTCTCTCACATCACTCCAACAATGGCATTTAATCATGAAAAAAAATACTACAAATGGCTATTTACAGCTCTTATAACATTTGCCATTAAAACAGTGCCATCGCAGCTTGAAGCATATATTTATTCATGCATATAAATATATAATCATATATTTTATAGTTGCTAAGTGGCTCGAAATTACTCAAGGAATCCCTTGGGCAGAAGAGAGTCTGATGGACTCGACCCTATCCTGGGACTGCTGGCCACCTGGACTGGCCAGCTTCCCTTGTAAGGACAGGGAGAAGCTGCATGTCTTTGGACCCCCAGAACTGCCCACAGATCCCTCCTGGCCAGGGGAGGCAAAGCAGCAGAGGCACAGAAATGGTCAGCTCTGTTTCTACTGACAAGTGACCCAAAGATGGCAGACGAGGCATGCTGACACCCAGCCAGGTCCTGGGTGACTGAGGATGCAGGACTGGGGCAGCCTGGCGATGGCTCTCACAGCCATGTGCTCCACTCTACGCTGGCCCTGCATTTCAGGGCACCCTGCAGGCCTCAATTTGGAACGGCCCAAACATTTCTGCTTCACATGTTAGCAAGAATAAGCTGTGGCCATCGCTGCCTGTGGTTAGACCAGACAGTTATTTTAACGTGAAGCCACAGTAGTGTTGAAAGCAATCGCCCACGAGCCCAGTTTAAAATGAAAGAATGTAATGAAGAGTTAAAAAAAAAAAAATGTATGATTTCAGATGAAGACATCCAATATGCAAGGGAAGGAAAAAAGTTCCATTCCTGACAAGCAGGCAGATGCTGGATAATCACATTTTCACAGCCAAGCAGTCTCTTATGCGAATCACTATGAAACAGAAAAGTAATCTTTGCTACTGGGGAGCCCCATGCCCCGTCATTCCCAGGCCCACCATATAAATACATCAGTAGCAGCCATAGAGGGGAAACAAAATTGGCTTGGAAGCAAAAACAAAAGGCAGAAAAATAAGCGCATTTGGCATAAGAAGCAGATTGCATTAAATTTACTTACAACAGAGAACACACAGACATCACATCTTCAACCATCCTAAGACAAGAAGACAAAGAAAAAGAGAGACAGACAGAAGGAACTGACAAAAAAGATAAATCTGCAGACAACTGGTTATTAATGGGTTAGGATACGGCGGCCATCGCTGTAAGGTCTACTTCTGAAGGTGGGCAATGCCCAGCTTTTTGGAAGGAGCTGCTGGGGAACACCTTCCTACCTTCCTCTCTTGGTCCTAATGATGCCACAAAGCTGTAGTGCCCCAAGAGCTTTGTCAGACCCATGCAAGATCTTCCAAGCCAAAGTCCCTTCTGCACTAGAGGTGAGACCACAAGCTGGGTAAACTTCCCCGACCCCTGTTAGCTCTGATGCTCAAACAAGAAAGTGACTGGGGATGCCTATGAGACACAGAACATATCTTGGAGAAGGAGGAGGCGGTGGCTAAGGTTGGCTCTCATTCCACAGATGAGAGAGCATGGCCTTGCAGTCCAGCCATTGCAGACTTCTCCTCTTCCAGGCTTGAAATCAAGTTTCCAACGTGAATTCTAGGGAGTCTCTAGGAAGGACCTAGTTGGGGAACTGATCTAAAGAAAAAAGTCCCTATTGTGGCCAGGATGGCCTCCAGCCACCACTAGACAGTGGCAGGTTGATCCAAGGTAACCTGCTACAGAGACCTCCTCTCAGGAGGCCCTGGGTTCTTCTCAGATGTTCAACGTTAGGGGGAGCCCAGAATGGAGGTAAACATGTCGTTCTCTTTTGTGCCAGACAGACCCAGAGGGGCCAGCGCTTGTGGTCTGTTCTGCTGCCCCTGGGAGACTGATCTCCTTAGCCTTGTCAAATTATTGACAATACTGCCAAAGTGGCCGGCCGGGCTCACCTGTAATCCACCTTGGACCGCCATCCAAGGTCAATCGCCACGTGAAGCTTATAAAAATTACAGCCAGAGTATAAGCAGAAATGCGCCAAAGCGTAATTAACCCACAGAGGGCCAAAAAAAAAAAAAAAAAAAAAAAAAAAAAAAAAAAAAGGACCGCCAAGATCCCATCCAAGTTAGAGCCCCAGGCCGGGTTTGGGATGGATTCTAGAGGCATGGGTGTTTGGTTTTTAAGCACAATATACTTGACCCTGTCAAGTGTCTGTGTCTTGCCAAGTCCACAGAGCCAAGGACTAAGGGCTTCCTGGGGATTGTGGGGATTTGCTCCCTGCTTTCAGGCTCCATTTATCTCTTCAGAACTTGCAGGGACTTTGTCTACAAAAGATGACTGGAGAGGAGGAAGGAGACAAAGAGGGGTGTTTCTTACAGGCTGGTTGGGGTACAGCAGGGAGGGGCCCAGGCCACATCTCTCATTCCTGGGCCTCCTGGAATCTACTATGTTTGCCTCCTGGGCTAATGTCTCATTAATAGGCAGAAACAAGTACTGTAAATTTTAACATTTTAAAGGGTGTATCTCCTAGCTTCTCCAAACAGCAATCACTCACCAATAGGGAGATCAACCAGATTTCTAATGGACCTTTCCCCTCTCTGGGATCTCCCAGACTGCTCTGGAGCTGAACATCAGGTCTTTGGCTACAAGTAAAGCTCTAGACCATTGATTTATTAAAGCAAAAGATCAAGGACACAAAGGGGTATGTGGATGGGAAAATGCCACCACTGTGACCGCAGAGAGAAAGGAAAACACGTATATTGTCTGCCTGGTGCAACGGCCATAAGCGTGGCATCATCACAGCACCCAGGGGCAAGGTTAGGGCAGTCGAAGGTTATCCAGGCACATGACCAACAGTCACAGTCAATGTGCACCCCCGCCTCCGATCCTTACCACCACCACCCCTGAACTTACGTCTTTAGGGGCGTCTTCTTCTTCTTGGCGGGCTTGTTTAGCCCATCCCCGTCCACTCCATTGGCTTCGATAGCACTGGCTGGGATCTCAAAGGAGGCTGGGGATTTAGAAGGTGAGCTGGGGGTCTTAGAGGATGTCTTAAAGGGGTCAACGGACTCGTCACAGGTGTCTGGGTCAAAGCTGTATGATTGTTGGGGCAGTTTGGGAGACTCCTGCATTTTTGAGGTGGAAGAAAAGGGGTTAAAATTGGGGTCATCCCACTTGTCAATATCAAAGGTGTAAGTACCTTTAGCAATGGGGATGTCATTGGGTTCAGCAGGGGATCTGGGAGGTGAGGCAGGAGTGTTGTCAAGTTTCTCGGGTGTCTTTTTCATCTTTGGCCTCCTCAGGGGCATTTTGGCAACTGGCTTTTTGCCTATCTTTTTGGTAGGAGGGGGGTTTTCCTGCTGGTTGTCCCAACTACACTTGTCCTCAGAATAGTCAAACTCCAGCCTTACGGAGAGCCCTTTGGCTGGAGAGTCCTCTTGCCCCCCGCTATCTGATGGGGTCACCTCCCCTGCCTCCGGGGCCGTGGTAAGAGGCAGCGTTTTCCTCCCGACAGGGGGTGAGCTCTGCACTCTGCCACCTCCAGAAGCTGGGGGGACAGCCCCTTCTGCGCTCTCTGAGTCCAGAGGGCAGGCAGCTTTGGGCCCTGCAGCAGGCTCAAGGGGCGTCTCCTCCAGTAAGGCTGGGCCAGGACCTTCCGTCTTGGCAGATTCTGTTTTCGTCTCAGATGCTAGATTCTCCCCACTGGGGACGAGGCTCTCTTCATCTGGTTCCTGTTGCGTCTCCTTCACTGGGGGGGTCTCTGTGGGTTTCTTGGTGGTCTGTTTCTTTTTTAAGGAAGGCGGCCTTGGTTTTTTAGTTCGCTTAAGGGTACTGGAAGCACTGCTGGAACCCGTGCTATATGCATCTGGGGCGAGGGCCACGGCCTCAGGATTACCTGAGGAAGAAGCACCATCAAAGTCACTGGCTTGCAGGCTGAGCGACCGGGACAGCGTAGACTTAGAGATGGGGACGGAATCCGTGGACTTCCTCCGTGTGTTCACTTTGCCCTCCTGATTCTTACCGTCTGAGGCACGAGGTTCCAAGGTCTGAAAGGTATCCACAAGCTCAATGTTGTCAAAATCCAAGTTGTAAGTCCCGCTGCTGGCTATCGGCTTGTCTTCATCGAAGACGGCAGAGAAGGAGTGTGACGGGGGGCGGAAGGGACTTCCTTCCACTGAGTCGCTCCGTGGGCCATCAGGGACAGGGACTGTCTCAGAACCACATCCTGAGGAAACAGAGACAAATCCATCAATTACAGACACAGGATACATTGGGGCACCTCTCCTCTTGTGCCAAAACATCACCTTCCAGCGTAGGGGTTGACAAACCATGGCCCCAGGCCACCCCTGCCCATCACGCTGGGTGTACTACTTGAGTACAGATCCTGGCCCACCCATAATTAGCTCGAGACCCTGGCCAGGCTTGCCCAGAGTTCCCTCATCTGTACAATGCGGGTGATGAGGACCGATTAAAGAACCTAGCTCAGAGTATTCATTCAAAAACATTCACCAAGTGCCTCATCAGGCCCAGGCATGGTTCTAGGTACTAGAGATTCAACAAGGAACAGAAATAGACACAATCTTTCCCTTCCTGGAAGTCACATTCTTCAGGGGAAGATAGTGAATAAATCACCAGGGCCAGCTGTGGTGTCTCATGCCTGTAATCGCAGCACTTTGGAAGGCCGAGGCAGGCAGATCACTTGAGGTCAGGAGTTCGAGACCAGCCTGGTCAGCATGGTGAAACCCAGTCTCTACTAAAAAAAACACACAAAAATTAGCCAGGCATGGTGGTACACGCCTGTAATCCCAGCTATTCCAGAGGCTGAGGCAGGAGAATCGCTTGAGACTGGGAGCCGGATGTTGCAGAGAGCCAAGATTGCGCCACTGCACTCTAGCCAAACAGACTAAGACTCTGTCTCAAAAACAAACAATGTACAGAATTTCAGAGGGTAACACATGCTAAGGAGAAAAATAAAGCCGGGATAGGAGATTCACTTTTAAAATAAGGTAGTCAGGCAAGATCTTCTGAGGAGACATCTAAGCAAAGATCAGAATCAAGGTAAGTGCATGAACCAGGAGGACTCCTGGGGAGGAAGCATCCTGGGCAGAAAAGGAATAGCACGAGTAAAGGCTCTGCGGCAGGAGCGCCTGGTGTGTTACAGAAATAGTGAGGAGGCCAGTGTGGCTAAAGCAAGGGTCAGGAGTAGGACAGCAAGACAGAGAAATCCTGCAGGAAGGCATATGGAGCCTTCCATAAATATTAATACCAGCCACGGCCACCAACAAGCCTGTTCTTGACTCCTCAGAGCCACTGTGAAGAACAGGGGAGCCTGTACACGGAGGCCCCCAGCACCTGTAGTGGCACTTGCTGTCTGCCACCTGCCGCTCCAGCCATCAGCTGTAACCTCTCCTTCAGTCCTGCCTGCCTATCCTTGGCCCTGCTGTTGCCTATTCTCACGGCTCTCCCAGCTGCCTCTTCTCAGCTTTTCTACTCATCAGCCACTGCCAGCCAAGGAGGTCGCTCCTATTTCCCAAACACGCTGCAGATGCTGCAAATGTTGGCCAAATGACGCTCTAAGGTCCCACCACCCTACTGCCCATGGGGATCCGGCCAGTCCCAGCTTTGGCTCGGCTACTCAGGGATCTGCTGGCACCCAGCGGCATCTTTCATGTATTTCTGAGTTCACAGCTGCTCCAGGCAGTCACGGATGCCAGAAAAAGATTTGCCAGAAAACTAAAAGTGTGTCATTGGACAAGGGGGCAAACACGATAAAGCGGTCTGCAGGCCGAAGTACTAGGAGGATGCAGAATGAGGAATAAACGGAGCTGGCACAGGTAAGACCTAGGTGTGTGCCTCATGACAGGTGTTACGTGCCCCCAGTCCCCTTCCGCCACTGGCATGGTTGCCAGACAAAGGACAGGATGCTCAGCTGGATTTGAATTTCAGATAAATCAACATTTTTTAAATGTAAGTATGTCCCATGTCTCAATGATTCTTTGTTTACCTAAGATTTAGATTTAATGGGCACCCTGTATTTTCATTTGCTAAATCTGGGAGCCTTATCTCTCACCCCAACAAACAAACAAGGTTTGGGAAATGCACAATTAACCCCTGAACTGGTCTCTTCCTGTTGATTTTCTCAGAGCAATTCATGCTCCCGACTGCAAATCTCTGGGCAATGAGTATTTTGCGCAGTGCTTGCCAAGCTTTGCTCATAAGCACCTTTCTCCTGGAGTACCTGGCAGAGAACTCAGCTCACAGCACAAGAAAACCTCAAGCTTCTTGAGTTTAGGAACCGGCCTTAGCTCTGTTTCCCGCTTGACTGGTCACACTTTCTCTTACAGGATCAAGAAACGCTTGGATTGAAAACATCATTTGGAAGCACGTCTGTGAGCCAGTCCTGGTTTCAAGCCTCTCACTCCCCTCCTCTCCACCCAGGGCCTACCTGGAGCAGATGCCCTAAATACGGAGCTCTTTCTCCCAAATGGTTTCTCCAAACACTCCTGCTTCCTTCTCATTTCAAAAGGTGCTGCCTCCCTTCTTTCTAAAACCAACTCACTGTTTCCTCTAGGCCCTAGTACTCTCACGTACCACATCCTCCCACCAGCGGCGACCTCCTCTTCCTGCTCCGTAATTGCCCCTGGATACACGGAGGGCACAGAGGACCAGGGGATGCTGAGGGGGACCAAGTGCTTTCAAATGGGCCTTGGCAGGAAGAAGGAGGAGCCTCGGCCTATCCCATCATTTCTAAAGCAAGGCCCACAAAAACTAACCTCCGTCTCAGGCTGTTACACGTGCCTCTGCAGCCTGCAGAAGGAAGCCTTCCGAGGCCCTTCAAATGTCAGCAGTTATCACGCAACAATGAGCTTAACCATCTGCTCATTGCTTCCTCCAGAAGAAAGAGCTCCCTGCCTGCTTAGCATGGCTTTCCTCTTTAGAACTGACATGCTCTCATTAGCTCATCATGAACCAGGAAACTTAATCTTGCTGTAGGGTTTCTTATCCTTGGCATTATGGACGTTTGGGGGCAGTCAGATTTCCATCCTGGGGGCTGTCCCATGCCCTGTAGGATGCTTAGCAGCATCCCTGGCCCCCACACACTGGATGCCAGTAGGCCCCACGCCCTACCCCAGTTGTGACAACCAACACTGTCTCCAGACATTGCCATGTACCCTTGGTGGGGGCAAAATCCTCCCTGATTGGGAATGGCTGTCTTATTGTGTTGGTCACCAGAGCAGGCTGCTCCAAGGGGTCCCTCACAGGGCTGGAATGGCCCCTGTGGTCCAACTGGGTTCCAAGTCCTCCCTGCTCACCTACTGGATTTTCTTTTCTTTTTTTTGAAACAGTCTCACTCCATCACCCAGGCTGGAGTGCAATGGTACAAAATCTCAGCTTACTGCAACCTCCACCTCCCAGGTTCAAGTGATTCTCCTGCTTCAGCCTGCTGAGTAGCTGGGATTATAGGTATGTGCCAACATGCCTGGCTAATTTTTCTATTTTTAGTAGAGATGGGCTTCACTATGTTGGCCAGGTTGGTCTCCAACTCCTGACCTCAAGTGATCCGCCTGCCTTAGCCTACCAAAGTGCTGAGATTACAGGCTCACGTGAGCCACCACACCCGGCCTCCCTGCTCCCCTGCTGGATTTCTAAACATCCACACAGCATATCTGCGTGAAGACAGATGCAGATGCAATCAACTGTGTGATTCATTTGTTCATTCCACAAATAACCTGGGGTGCCTTCTATATGTCAGCCACTGTGGGGTGCACTGTGGTCACAGAGGTAAGGAAGGACAGGACCCCAGATGAATACACACACGACACTTCCTTCACCTCCTGTCTCCACTGGCACAGATCTGGGCAATGCCCTAGAGAACAGTGCCTTGCACACGGGCTCCAGGTTTCTGGCTCAGTCTGGTAACAAAGTCAGCACCCGCAGTTCATCAGATGAAAAGGGTCACTAGGGTATCCCAGTTACATGAGCCTGCTGGGCGGCCATCACCAAGGACCACAGACTGGGCGGCTTAAACCACAGAAATGTATTTCTCACGGTGCTGGAGGCTGGAAGGCCAAGGCCAAGGCGCCAGTGGGTTTCTCTCCTGAGGCCTCTCTCCTTGGTTTGCAGATGGCCTTTTCTCTGTGCGCACTCCTGGTCTCTTTCTCTTCGTATAGGAACACTGGTCCCCATGGGATTAGGGCCCCACCCGTATGAACCCATTCAACCTTAACTGTCTCCTTAAACGTCCTCCCTGCAAATAATCACATTGGGGGTGGAGGCTTCAGCATACAAATGTTGGAGGCCACAATTCAGACATAGCACCAGTGCTGGGCAAATAAAATGCCCAGGTTGAGGGAAAACAAATGTGTTAGAAATGACAGGAGGCTCCCAGGAAAAGGAGAACGCTAGGACAGGGCAGCCGACATCACCCAGCTGATGTCACCCTACCTTCTCCAAAGGCCACACTCTTAGCCTTGCTGGACTATTTCTCACAGAAGCACTTGCTGCCACCCCCCACACTGGTGCTTCTCCATCCTTCCCTCCTTCCCCTGTCCTGCCGTGAGTTCACTCTGGGCAGGGATCCTTGGCGCCCAGAGGGCCAGAGGTGTGCCCAGGCACTCACAGACTCTTCTCTTAAGCTGACACATCACGGGTAGATGGTCTCCTACACAGGGAGCATGGCTTTCTATCTTCTAAGTACATGAATAGTAATCTTCAATTAGTAATATTTATTCTGGGAAAAGGTCTCCATTTTAAGTAGGCTAACGAGATATAGATAAAGCAGTACTTGGTCTTTGTGTGGCAGTTTGCTGGTTGCTGTGGGCAGCTCAGAGCAAGTCCATGATGAATTTAATATTTCCCAAACTTGTCTAGCCTAAGACACACCTGAGACACTCATTAAAACCCCAGGCTCCGCCTCCATCTGCCTCCTTCCCCTGCAGAGCGGGGGTACCTTCCAAGGGGCTGGGGTGGGGCTCGGGCCCCATTGTAACAGGTGCCGCAGCTGCATCTCCTGATCAGGAAGTCTAGAACTGGGCTGTCTCACCTCATCTGCTTCTATCTGGGTCTATCCTCATTCTTAAACCTCCGGTGGGCAACGCTTTCATATTTGGCCACAAAAATGAGTGGGCTTTGAGGATAAGCTCAGATGGGCCTTTGAGCTCCAATTTCCTGTGGGGGTTTTACCTCAGAGGCGTGAGGCATCAGGGCTGCAGAAGCGCCAGGCAG